TGTCTGAGGTGAAGAACTTGAAGGAAAATATCATTCCAGATCTGAGCCAAGGAATTTATCAGAGGCGAACAGGTGGCACGTTTTCATATTTGAATTACAAGAAAAAAGGTCTCGTTTGACATTCATGTGATCTTTTGACAAGTCAATTTGTGAAAAGTTTTTTCTAACGGGAAATTCCAGATTAAATTCTACAAGGCCACTTTTGCATCCGCATTTCGGAAGCGGAGATAGATACTTGTGACACACATACATTGTTAAATTTTTTAGGTATAATGCTACCCCCTAGACTGACGAAAATCTGCTTTTGTTGTTGGTTGGAATTGATAAATTTTTCCAATCTCTTCCTCCCACCCACGACCCACGACCCACCCATCCGCTCCATTTTATTCAATCCGGTCCCTATTTCTTACCACACAATGGGACCAGATGGGAACAAAAAGATGATGATGATGATGATGATGAAAATCTTAGTTTTAATATTTGGAATTGAATTCTGATCTCCACTACGAGCTGTTTCATCTGATTGTGCACCTGCATCGTCATGATCAAAGAAACAATTCCCCGGTATGAAAAAGGGTACGTAAAATACGTAGTATGGATATACGTACGTAGCTGTATTGTGGCGTAAACATGAACAACACAAGTCTCATTTTACTGCTGAGAGAAAGTTACAGTCAGAATTTTATCCTCGTTTTGTGTCAGACTAGAAGTTTTAGACCGGCAAAAGTACGAGGGGAAGGAAGGAACTAATATTTATTAGACCTTTGATGATCACAGGGTACGGTACGATTAGATGATGATGCATCCCACAGTTTTTTTTATTTCGCTCAAAATTTCACAAATAATGTTCCCACCAAAACGGATTATATCGAATTCCAATCCGTTTCCATTTTCAGACCGGTAAATAAAATGTGCACATTCATCTAGACGACAGAAAAAAAGATCAACGGCTTAAAGCCAGACCAAATTTTACAATACGATTGAGGATACAGATCAAATAGTAAGTTGGCTTTTTATTCGATCCGTCAAACAGGAATGTGGGTGTTTCCTCGATGCATTTCAGTAATCGAAAAAGAAGAAAAAACTCGCAAAAAATACAAGTTTTATAACGACAGACTTTCACTCAGCAATAAAATGAACTGTTCGTTTGTTTTGTGACATGTTTGTTAAATACTCTTTGTTCCATTCAAGTATTTCATTCTTCAAATACTTGAGTAGTTGTGATTCTTAACTTTATGCAAAACGAGTCCAAGACGGGACGGGAGTGAAAGCCAGTGGCCGCGGAAGGGAGAGGGACAATGTCCCCAAGGTTATTCGATGTCGGCATCATCTCTCCACCTTATACAAACCCGGCCCTCCTCTATCCTACAATGTTAATGCCTCCAGATGTCCCCACAGCTTCCGCGGCCACTGGTAAAATATATACAAGTGCATGATCCCAGCTTCTTTTCCCCTGCCCTCCGAGTTAGTCGAGAGAAATGAAATGTTTACTGAGCCGTAATGAAAAAGTTTGTTGTTTTTGATGAAGCAATCAAGGAAATTCGACTTTAATTGAAAAGAAGTCAAACACAGTTTGCTTCTTGGTGTCTGTGCGAAATGGAAAGGCAACACGAAATTTGCTATACTTCTAGGTAACATTATTATCTTTGTCCGTCCAGCTCAATCGCCTCCTCCTCCGCACTTTATGCAAACAGCTACAAGACACTACACTTCCGTTGATACGTACGTAAGCTAAATCCACGAAGCGAGAGGTAAACAAAATTGATTTTCGACCTGTTTTATAACTTTTTCTATCCAGAAACTTATTTAAAGTAAAGATTTTGTGTTCCATAGGCGGAATTTTGTATGTATATCGCGGCGAAAGAAATATTAATCTTCTTAACTTCATTCAACCTGCTGCGTAATGGGATTAAACCGTTTGACACACGCCACTCACAATTTGTGTCGAAAAAGTAGGAAGAAAATTAGTTGTCTTGAAACAATGATGATGGATACGTAAGTAGGCTGCCGTTCTCACAACCCATTTCCAACAGAGGCGGCGGAAGCTGCGTGGGGACATGTGGGGACATTAACATTGTAGGATTGGGGAGGGACGGGTTTATTTATATAAGATGGGGACATCGAACAACCGTGGGGACATTGTCCCCTCACCCTTCCGCGGCCACTGATTTCCAATATGCGTGACTTCGTGGGGAATAAAATGTGGAAAACATTTTTGTGCAAAGTACTGCTCTTAATTGCTCAAAAAGTTGTCGTCATACTTTCATTTTCTGTGTGTTATATAACGAGAAGGATAATTTATGATTGAACGCGTAATAAAAAATCGGGCCTAATAAATAAAGTGATGCCTCTCAATATATAGGAAAATACAATGATAATTAATGCCTTATATAACAATTTATTGTTATTATGTATCAAATTTAACCCTATAAAAGTTTTTTTTCGGACTTTAATATGCTTAATCGAAATTGGGGCACGTTTGTAAACACCGCACCGCAAGAGGTATATATAAAGAGGGAAATATTTACCAGTTTATGCGCAGGTGGTAATAAGCTCGTGGTTGTTTCTTATCTCGCTTAATGTGCATTTATTATATTACACAACACAAGAATAGCGAAACAAATCAGGCAACGAGGCCTGGCTGGCTGGCTTTCTCCCAACTCTCACCAACTGCTGCGGCTCCTACGTCGGCGGAGAGAAAATTTGTGCATGTCTTTGTGTGGGGGTCGATGTTTGGAGAGGAACGTCCAGTTAATTTGGCAGTGGCCACGGAAGCGTGGGGACAGAGGGACAATGTCCCCACGGTTGTTCGATGTCCGCATCATCTCCCCATCTTATATAAACCCGTCGCTCCCCTCATCCTACAATTTTAATGTCCCCACGGCTTCCGCGGTCACTGAATTTGAGAATATATTTTAGGAATGAAGTATAAATTGAAGTCGGTCGGGTCGAAACTTTTGTAAATTTAAAACCACGCATTTTTACGGTAGCAGCATTTTTCAGCGTAAAATGTTATCCACTTTGTAAGACAAATCGTGTCGTGACAGTGTTACGCAACTGTTGCCAATCTCCAAAGCGCATTATTTATTTCGAAGCCATAAGTTGTACGAGAAACATCTGAGAACGGGTAAGAAAGTGAAAGTCGACATGCAACCGGACTTTAAAAGTGTGGTTGGTGTCCAACTCGAAAAAAATTGTCGGTTGGTCTTTTTACCCGTGGCAGACGTGGTTTTAGTAAAAATGTTACATTTCTTCCCTCGAGTCCCATTTGCAAATGCATACTCAACAACACTCTGGGTCGATTCGTCCAATTTTTGGTAGTAAAGATGGACCGAAGTGTAATGCGTCAATGGGAGAGGTACTTCACTATGTGGTGAGAGAGGGGAGAGGGGGCCAAAAGTGGGTGAAGGGCTGGGACCTTTAAAGAATATATGTTTAAGGTTGGAGAGGCATAGAGAATGTGGTTCTGAAATTTTGTTGGGCCACACCCCCTTTTGGGGGAGTTAACCCCCTAGTGGGAGTGGTCTGGAACTTTTTATATTTTCCGAATCAGCAATTAATGCCAAGCTTAATTCCCAAGTTTGGTGGATTTAAGAGTTAAGCTACAGGCATGGATGTACCCAAAAACGTGCGTTTTCAGGCTACTTTGCTTAGGGGTGGTTCTAAAACGTGGGGGCAGTTATCCAGCCAAGTTCTTTACTGTTTCTGACAGCCATGCAGGTGTACTGCTGCTCAATAATAAAAACTAATTGTAAATGTGTAATCTGCCCCTGGGGAAGCTTTTCGCAAGTTCAGCAGTTTCCAAACTTTCGAAAATCGTGTGGTTCTCGAGTTTTTGGGTAAATTCTTTTATGGACGATTTACTTGGTGTGGAGGAGAGATGTTTCTTAAATAAACGGCTATTTGGTAAGAAAAATACAGAAAGCCTTGAAAACTTCGAAGGAAGCACGATTTTCGAAATTATGAAAATTTTGATCTTTTTCCTCAATTAATGATAATTAAGATCAGCATTAGTTGCTGATTCGGAAAATATAAGAAGTTCCGGGCCACTCCCACTATGGAACTAACTCAAAAGAAGGGACGTGACCCCAAAAATTTTCAGAATCGCATTCTCTGGGTCCGTCCCACCTAAAATCTATAGCCATTAAAGAGCTCAAACCGTTAACGACTTTTTGCCCCATAATCCGTCTCTCACCACATTGTGCACTTGAGAATACTTTCCTGTCTGTTCAAAAACAAGTTTCAAATGACGTCGCAACAGCGTTTGACTCTTCAAAAAAACTCATTTTCCATTAAATTCCCCTCGGCAGATATGTACGAGGACAAAAATGAAGTATTACTTTCTTCAATAAATGACGCAGCGACAATTCCAACAAACTTGAAACTTTTAACACCCCAACTTTTTACTTTGGTGGAGTCGGATTATTCAAAAGGCGATATTGACACAAAGTTTATAACTAGTTAATGCACCGAGGGGAGGGCATTTGTAGGACAGATATAAGCACCACGTGCTCTTTTAATTACGCTTTTCCTCCACTACACTCGCACAATCTGTACTGCTCAGTAATAATAATTATAATAATCATAATTGAGCATTTACTCCTGAATTAGGTAAATATCTGGGATGGTTAAACCGTACATGCACGAGTTTAGGGAAAGTGAGACTCAACATACACGAGTCGCACATGTAGCTCGTCCCAAGTCTCGAATCAGCCATGCATATTTCAGTAGCTTTGGATAGAAAGCACATTTTTACCAGAGAACAATTCTCTCCTAGTGAACTCGACCGAGGAGACAAAAACCTAATGTAAAGTGCATATGTCGAGTTTCTCTCTCGCATTGCAAATTCCGCATGTGGCAGTAATTGGGACTGTTCTGAAAAGAATTTTCAATTAGCTCCGCCGAATCTCGCTGGCATGGCACATATCACAACAGAGCAATGCAGAAGTATGTGCTATACAGAGAAACACGACCCACCAACCAGGCATTCAGGGCCCTTGTCCAGTTCAAACTTTTAATTGACTCTCTTTTATTGTAACGACCATTCAATAGTCAGCAGGCCTTTGCTACATAATCCGCCTTCTACTACCACCTACGCATTCAAAAAGGTGGTACACATACGGTATTGGAATTCTCTAGAATTGACATTTTTTTTGCTTCAGATTAAATAAAACTTGAGAAAGTGTTAAAACGAAAAAAAAACAAGGATTGATTTGGCAAGATACTACTTGTTATTATTAAGACTAGAAGTTATTCCTTGGGTTTAGCAGGTGTGAGAAATCGCGAGTAGAAATACTGTCGTGGTGGTGAGTAGCCAGAGATTATTATTATTCCGGGCGATGGAAGGGGTCGATCCGCCATTCGTTTTTCCAGCAGGATGACCATGACCCTTGGAATGGTGGTCACCACCACCACCACCACCCTTGCGACACTTGGTCTCGTATGGTCCGATGCAGAGCGAGTAAGCCATTGCGAAAGGGACGTGAGTCTGTTCGTGAACTCCGTGCAATAAGTGACCCATGGGTCCTATGAATACATGGGAAAAATATTTTATGGGTATAATACATCACACTTGCTCAAAATGGGGAAAGTGGGACGAGCATGATAAATCACAAGAAGGAGAAAGTCTCACCGGTGGAAAATACTGGAACGTCCTCACCGCCGTGAGTCTCCTGTAAAAAAAATTGTTTGTATTTTTTAACACATTTACTAACGTCACGACCGACCACGACATGTTATGATTTTTGACTTTATACCGAGTCCATCCAGAAGCCGGCTAAATGAACTTGAGTCCGATCAGATGTCACATTTACTCCCAAATGTGACAAATCTTTCCAAGTGTTTCTCGTCTGCAGAGTGGAATTCGTCCCCGGCATATTGTTCGTGGTTCGATGAATCGTGTAGCCAGGACCGTTGATGTACGAGAGGGTCTGGTAGGCAAACCCTTCCGGAGTTTTGTCCCCGACTCCTGCAAAACCATGATCCAAAAAAAATAAATAAATGCCTCCTTCACTCTGGGCTATCAGTATTCCACAACAGTTTTGTTCACCTTCAATAGGATTTCCACGTTTGGGATATCCATTCATCGAGAAGGCGTGCGAGTGATCGGCCGTAACGACGATCATCGTGTCGTCCAGATTCGTCATAGCCAAACCCTTCTGGATCGCTTTGTCGAACGCTACGACCTCCTCCAGCGCTATTTTGGCAAGGTTGTCATGATGGGCGTGATCAATTCTGGGGAAATATTTCATAATAATATGTCAGCATTCTAGTCCATTCATTGCAAAGTTGTTACACACAAAGCTGCTACATTTCATGACATAATAAGGACACACACACCCACAGAATTTGAAAGGTTGGGGAAAAAATCTAAGTTTTTTTCAAATTCCTCTCTTCCCCACTTTCTCGTAAGTACTTTTAAATTAAGAAATGTAGCAGCAGTGTCAACCCATCTACTTACCGTCCTCCCTCTACCTACGGAAAAGTTATGATTGTACGTACATAATGTATGCCTCCTTCTTCACGCGTGGTTGGTGAGACCTGTTGACCACACATTCATTCCCCCTTTCGATGCATTTCACTAAATCCGAGTTCACTATGAAATTAAATTCTGCTTCGTGTCGAGGAAAACTCAAAATTATTATCTGCTGTGGTCAACAGCTTCGCGTTCCACGCCTGAAGAAGCAGGCACAAAAAGGGAAGAAACGTACAATCAGAACCTGAAAAAAAAACTTTCAATATAGTCATCGCCATCATAAAGAAATCCAAAAAACGAAAACAAATTGTCCCACTTACAAATCCGTTGGGGTTTCGACTCAGAATATTTATGGCTTGATGTGTCATCTCCTCCAGACTGGGTTGACCATATGGTCCCAAACTCCGCTCCTTGTCGTATGGGATGTGATTTGGGGCGAATAGGCCTACATGAAACAATAATTAAAGGTTAGGGTCATGGACGAGAGGAGAGAAAGTCGGGACGGAGAGAGATTCGTGGTGAAATTGAATTTGTATGTTGAACTTTTCTCCACCACGGCAAAGAGAGAGAGTTAGTTGTTACATACTTGTGGTTGGTCTCTATTTTCCTATGAATGTCTCTCCCTCCAAGAGAAAAGAAAACAGATTTTCGGACACACGTGCACAAAATTACGCAACAAAAACCATACCACGGCACAAGGTCAGTTCGTTCCATGGAGTGGACAAGGGAGTAACGAAATTATGCACAAATTGGTCTCTGAGGCAAGAACACAGTCAAGACTAATAAGAACGAACGAACGTCATACTGCTGTTGCACAAATAATGATCAATACAGGATCAAGGGGAGAGTTTCGTTTCAGAATCCAAATCTAATTGTATATACGTAAGACTACAGGAGTGTCGTTCGTGAGCAGTGTTACGTAGTCGGCCGGCATCACATGGTCGGTGACAAGTTCAAAGAAAAAAGGGACGAAATTGTTGAAATAGGATCCAGTTGTGAGAAACCCCTTGTTACGGATGCAACTGTTACATGATGCAAAATCTGCATATTACACAAACAGATTTTTCTGTCTGTGCATAAATTGACAGTTTCAAATGCAGGTCCATTACTCTCATTGTTATCTTTATCCACGATGGCGTTTCATATTTTGAAATTACAATTAACAAGGAAATGGATCCCTCATCTGTATCGTATCATCATCCACCACGACTTTTGGTGTCTACATTCGTAGCCGGTAGCTCAGGGTGGACGATGAGTGAGCTGGACGAGATTGAATTTAATGAAACAGGGAGAAAGTAATAATAAGTATTAATAACATCCCTCGGCAGCAGCGGCACCGTGTTTCTTCTTTCTCTGCTTTCTCTCTCTCTCCTCCAACCGGGGAAAGTAATGGGATAATTGCACAGTTCAAATTATGGCTTCTTCGCCCACAGGAAGCATTTCTCTCTCGGCTCGTGCTGTGCCGAAAGTGAAAAGCTGCTAACCTTCTTGTGTTCCTCCTCTGGAGTCACTTACCCAGCAAGAAGTCGGTGGAAGGATGAACTCCTTCATCCAGCAATTGCTCTCTCGTTCGAACGTAGCGATACTTGCGTTTCTGGGCTCGTTGATACTGCATCCAGTTCCACACCAAGTCTTGACCATCCCCTCGAACGCAGGCTTTGCTTTCGTTCATCTTGGCCCGCAAGACTTGCTCGCCTCCGCCAAGAATTACCTGTGCAGTGAGATCAACTAAATATGTAGCCTGGACTTGAGCTCAAGGGAATGAATGGATGTAGTTATGTAACAAAATGGCATATTTGGGTCACTGTATATGTACAAGTTCTAGCCCGAGTGGGTCTGAAGGACGGAAAATAATCTGGCAAATGGGTCATTTTACAACGCGACGATGTGAATCAACAAGGAAAAGAGGCGACGAATGGGCTTCTTAGATAAACACGAAGTTTGGAAAGTCAAGAAATTTAAGAGCAGCTATTCCGCAATCGGATTGGTGAAAGGAGGAGAAGAAAGAGCTCAAAAACGGGGACAAATCTTAAATTTCACTCTCTTCAAGAGGAGGCTGACGGAGAAGGGGAGAATACGTACATTGATGTTTCTGCCAGGCTCATCTTCCACCTGCAAATAAAAAAAATGAATGCAAGCGCGTCAATGACATTGTTTGTTTGATGCTGTTTTTTCAATTTCCACTACTGGTTGCTGGGTTTTTATGTAATAATCGTGCATTTTTTTCATAGTTTGAGGAATACATAACTTTTTCACTTTGGATAAGCAGTTTCATTCACTAATACATATGTAGTAAGTAATTAATGTTTTAGGATGGCATTAAAGCGATATTTAGGTTGGTCAAGGTCAGTCGTAATCAACATGGCTATTAAAACAACAAAAACCACCACTGGAAATTGAGCCGGAAACATTACCAGGAACGGAACATTGATAAAGGACTGATAATATCGGTCGTTTATCAACTCTATCGGTCCGATAGAGTTGATAATGTGCGATGGTGTATATACAAAGTCTGCTTTCACCAAGAATGTATGGGACTTTAATCAGTCTAAAATTTCCCAATCAGCAAATACAAGTCTTTATTATGCTTTCTCTATTAGGCTTTCTCCATTCATACGATTCAGTGGTGGTATTAGGTACCTCAAAGAATAATGACTCGCTCGTTTAAATGGTAGCAAAACTGGGAGGATGAATTCAAATCTGTACACAATTCATACTAATCACAGCTATTTCATTTTACTACAGCATCTGAACCAAATAACAAAAGAGTTAAAATAATATTCCCAACTCTTAGAAATTCAGGACTTGGTCGAAAAGTATGTATAGGTAGATACGCGAAGAAGATTAGACGCCCACGCGTCTAAATTTCTAAGTACAAGGCATGAGTTCCCCTCATCTTTTAGTAACCCGAGCCCAACTTTTAGAAATATGTACTCTAAACCAACAATTCTGAGGACATTATTGTCCTGGCTGTCGACATGAGATGCATACATATTTACCCAGTCTTCTTTAAAATGCATACTTTAACATGCAATAATTGTCCATATAATTTTTACGATTAACTTAAAAACTCACAAGTTGTCGAGCTAGATCCTTGCAGCCGAAAGCTCTCTCTGATTCTGGGATTTTGGTATCACATTCCCAGTCCCGATGAGCACAATGTCCATAAGCGGCGGCCGGAGTGGCATGCGTTATCCGCGTTGTAGTCACAATCCCTGCGTAAAAAATGGCAACGTCATAAAAAAATCTCATCATTTTCATCTAATACTCTTCCTCTATACTCTTGTTAAGCGGAAAAAAGAGGGAAAATGTTCTTTTTTTTTGTAGGCAGTAAAAAACGAACACAACAGAACAAATGCATAAAAACGAGTGAAAGGGAAAAAAGAAATGGCATTTTCTTTCATGAAAGCCTTAAGGTTTTGACAACTACAACAGGTGGCACGTTACAAACTAGGTTCGCACACCCGTCAGAATGAGAGGAGAGGAATTGTTGATGTGTGAGTATTTACGACAAATATGGAAAAATGTGGGTATTAAGTTGTCCAGTCGTAAATAAATTGCACTTCATATCCGTTAGGATAGAAATTCATGGGTATGAATGCAACATTCATCTCTTAAACTTGAATGAAAGTCTTATGTACGAATCCGTACATATGTGTGGCATACACGTATTTATGCACCTACACATTTTTTAATAGTTTATTTATGGAGTGCTATTTACGAAATCAATGAATTCCATGCTGACCAAAACAGTCTGATTGAAAGGGAAAACTTAAAGGGTAAAATTTCTCCAATAACAAACTACATACGAAAATATTTTGTGGAGCATTGCCAAAATATGGATCGTTTAAGGCACGAGGAAGAAATATGTGTGTGGCTGTTATCCAAACCAGACTACATAAATTTAGTTTCTTTTTTGTTGATAACATTTTTGACCATGTTGACATCGTATCGTTGGTACGAAACGACTACAAGTATGGATTTATTGTTAGTATTTCTATTTTTATTTACACGTTAAATGCATATATATTTCTGAATTCCGTATAATTTCATAATTCCACCGCGTAGAGTTCATCGTTCGCAGTTAATTATTATCATCCTCAGAAGATAATCATTATCATCCTACGCAGATAAGCATTATCATCCTCTGCCTATATTCCATCATTTATCAGGTAGATACATGTCTGCCATATATAAACATATGTGCTAAAATGATTCCCCTTCATTGGGCGTACTGAATATATTATTGCCATTATTGAAATTTCAATCCTGGAACCCGACAACTCAATTTCTGATCTTCTACGATGCTGGAGGACGCGGAAATCAATCACATTTCTCTCCTCCTCGTTCAACAAGATTCGCTAATACCCTACCATAAACGGTCCCAACTTTATGACTGTCTGGACATTAGTCACAGTCTTTATTCAAACTGGGACATGCGATTTCAAAGAGGTGAACTCCAAACGTACGACTTGAACAAAATGATGCTTTATGAGTGGCGAAGTTCCAAGGGAAAGGATGCCAATCTTCAAAATCTAATTGTAAAATGCCAACAATTAACATTACATGCTGCTGCAGGTAAAAGGAGACTATAATTATTTTACATATTAAAAGCTAATAAAATTGCGTGTAACAACTTTTCAATATTTCAGATTTATTGCAAGATAGAGGGGACGTGTCCATAAACCAGATTTCGTTTTCAAATCGTAGGTCAAGTTCGAATTCCATGACGTCTTTGTCTGACTACTCTTCTTCTTTCCATTCGAAACCATCTGCACCGTGGTCACTAACATCGAGAAACTTAGAAATGGGTCACTTTCTCGACCAAGGGTTCTTCAGTGTCGTGTATAAAGCGAGGTCAGGGTTTGACCAGGTGGAGTACGCCATTAAACGCATCTCGGTCGGGAATTTTGTTAATATAATTGACACAAAAACCCACAACAGTGGGACGCTCTACTTTGAGAAACTTTTACGGTAAGTCAGATATGTGGAAATGAAACATCTTTAATTGATTGAATTGCATATTATGCAATTTTAGAGAGGTAAAAGCAATGGGAAAATGTAAAAAGTGTCCGAATATCGTGGTTTATCACGATGCATGGTTTGAAGGGTCCCGAGAGAAAGACTTTCAACCTCTCTTCCTTAATAACCGTTTTGACGAAGAACTCTGGGAGAGGAACAAAAATGGACAACTTTTAATCCATCAGGCAGACATGGAGACGTTTCTCTGTATTAAAATGGAGTTGTGTGACATGAATTTGGATACATGGATGGGAGCCAATCCTCCACAAACAAGTATGACCACACACAAAATCAGGCAAAATGTGTAAAGCCTAAATTTTCAAAAATAAATACAGGATCGATAAAAATTTCGGATAACATTGTGACCCAAATTCTGCAAGGGCTGTCTTACATCCACTCGATGAATTACATACACCGAGATATGAAGCCACGCAATATTTTGATTAATCTTGTCAAGACGCAGTTAGTCGTGAAAATTGGGGACTTTGGACTTGCCCGAGAATACATAGGGAACGACACGATGTACTCAAACCTGAAAGGGCTCAATCGGTGAGACAACAAATAAAAGTGTGAAGATTTTTAAATGGGCATTCATATTTCCTATTTTTAGAGAATTTCAAAGTCCAGAGATGCATCGTGGCGACAAATATGACCCCAAGACGGACATTTTCTCATTAGGATTGATTTATCTATCTTTACTTTATGATTTTGAAAAAGATACGACAAAAGCTCAAAGAATGTTTGACAACTTGCGTGCAAATGAAGAAAAATCAAAAAACGAACTTTTCAAATTGCTTGAAAAGAATTATGAAAACGTTGCTTTTGACTTATTGAAATCAATGTTGAAACGAAATTCGGGTGATCGTCCAAATGCTGAAGAAGCTCTAAGTTGGCTGGAGCCGAAGTAATTTGCGTTAATACATCCTTGATAAAAGGATGGGTTTATTTAAAACATTCAAATTTTGTGTTAAAATTAAAACTAATGCGGAAACTAGAATTATTTTACCAAATGCAACAAATTGTCAAACTCAATGGCTATTTGCAGTGATTTTGGCCCAATGTATAGGATTTTGGGTGAAAAATAAAATTTCTTAAAATCAACAAGAAAATCGAACATTTTGGCCAGTAGAAGAGTAAAATATCTGAGGAATCGAATCGACTCCTAGAAATGCTGACTGCATGCATTCATGTTGGAGTAACAAGATAACAAGGCCTTTACTGGTGGAGAAATGAATGGGAAAAGTGAGACTGGAATAACTACATGGAACGAACTCTACATACATACTCGGTAATAAAAGCAGAAATGATCGCACATTGTCCAAAATGGCCAGATTTGAGGAAAAAAGTCCCCGAGCACTTTTCTCCTAATATTTTTGCATATTCTGAGCCCTAGGTGGCCTAGGATGTGTTCATAAAAAATTCGACGAGCCACACCCACTTTGGGTGAGGTTCTTTCCTTGTGGGTTTATGGCCAATCGCCCAAACGAAATTTGTAGCCCAAGCGATTATACACTTTCAGTAAAAATTTCAACCAAATCGGTCCATAAACCAAAAAGTTATTAAGGGTAAAACTTTGGCGAAAGGCACAAAAGGCCTACTTTGGGGGCCCGGTTCTCTGAGTTGGGCAAGTAAAGAAGTGCAGAAAGCATTGCAAATTGTGATCCCCAGGTAGATCTTCTCAAACCAAAAAGAACTGAGTTTCCATATCTGCCCCTTTCCAAGATATAAGGCCGGGAACATTGAAAAAAATCTTGGCGAAATTGTCCAAAACGGGCGAAATCAAACATGACGTAGAGCGATAAAATTTAATATCTAGCTTCAGCTGGTCCTAAAAAGTACGTCACAGGTGAAATTGAGCCATGTCGTCATGGAACGACATCGACATGTCGAAATTTCGACATGACTGTATAGCGCTCAAATTCAAAACAAATACTCCCCTACCTCTCCACAAACGCATACAAATTTTTTTTCATGTCGACATCCAATTTTAGAAAAAATTGACTTCGTTTCGAATTTGAGCGCTATACAGTCATGTCGAAATTTCGACATGTCGATGGCGTTCCATGACGACATGGCTCAATTTCACCTGCGACGTACTTTTTAGGACCAGCTGAAGCTAGATATTAAATTTTATCGCTCTACGTCATGTTTGATTTCGCCCGTTTTGGACAATTTCGCCAAGATTTTTTTCAATGTTCCCGGCCTTATATCTTGGAAAGGGGCAGATATGGAAACTCAGTTCTTTTTGGATTCAGAAGATCTACCTGGGGATCACAATTTGCAATGCTTTCTGGAGTTCTTTACTTGCCCCTCTCAGAGAACCGGGCCCCCAAAGTAGGCCTTTTGTGCCTTTCGCCAAAGTTTTACCCTTAATAACTTTTTGGTTTATGGACCGATTTGGTTGAAATTTTTACTGAAAGTGTATAATTGCTTGGGCTACAAATTTCGTTTGGGCGATTGGCCATAAACCCACAAGGAAAGAACCTCACCCAAAGTAGGTGTGGCTCGTCGAATTTTTTATGAACACATCCTAGGCCACCTAGGGCTCAGAATATGCAAAAATATTAGGAGAAAAGTGCTCGGGGACTTTTTTCCTCAAATCTGGCCATTTTAGACAATGTGGATCGCCATTACCACGTATGTGTAAACTTTAGAGCTATTAACATGTATTGATTTATTGTCACTTGCCTAAAAATTTAATTAATTAATTAATTAATTAATTAACACCGATGCCAATTTTCAATCTAACAAATGTCCATAAAATTTTTGTAATACCTTTCACTTTTACCAATACTAAATTGGTTTGTTATTTATATTGCAAAATTTGAGACTCGATTTCAAAGAATTTGTGCACAAAACTTCAAGTAAATTAATAGTGAGTTAATTATGTCAAGTTGGTCAAAAAATTTGTCCTCACGTCACCAACTAAGAAGAAAAAGGTTACTTAGTTTGGTCATTTATTACGTTTATTTTTGCATCGCGTGCCTTTCGCTTTACGACCAGTGATTGATTATTCGCCCAGAAAAATCCTCAAACCCAACCAAAGATAATTAAACATGAATGCGACGAAAGGCAATTAATTGGATATTAGCAAACCAATCAACCGACCAAACCAGTAAACCATGTATTTGTCTACCAACCACCTCACTCACCAAGAACAACTAGACAGACAACTCTTGTCCTTATAAACAGGTGACAGTTGGCTACCAATAAATTTTAAGGTATGTAATCCCATTTTGATGGAATAAGCCAAGTAATAAGTGAACTACCTACGAATAACTCCACTTCATGGCCAACTTTGCTGATTAGTTTTCTGTATGATTCTGACCCTGAAAACGTGTAACGTTCAAATTATCGGGCATAAAATTAGTGCTGACAGTTTATCCATCTCTTCTTCCATCCGTCCGTGTATGTACGACATCACATGACAAAATATGGCATTTGTACGTTCACAACCATGCTGTAGTGTCAGAGAGAGAAAGTCCGGAGTAAAGTACACAGAGTGAAAGTCGTCGTGAGGACATGGGGAAAAGGTCGAGGGAGCAGAGAGTAAATGATGACATGCCGTGATTTCACTTCGCAACTTGCCTGTAGATTTCCCAGCAGCAATGGCCCAGTCTATAATTGATGAGACTTTTGCCTTTGCTTCCACGTCCGTTCTGCAAACATTGAACTGGGCCGTGCCGTCCAGTCCCATCGTGTAGTAGTTGGCTTTCACCCCGCTGAAAAGGGCCGTGGCCGTGGCGGCACTGTCGGGAACTTGACGGTCCACGTTGTACGTCTGCAATGAATTATTTCTCTCACCTCATGAACACCATGAAATAGTCATGACGCCACGAGCCATTGGCGTCATTGGTGGTACACATACAAAACAAAAACAACAATGAGAGACCACCAGCAGCAGTAGACCGACGACAAATACACTTTGTCTTGAAAGTGAGACGAGTCATGGGTGCCTGCACTCTGCACAAATCTCCGGACGTTGAAATTAACAGCGACAAGATATCCGCCTTGTTGCATCGTCGTTAGTCAGGCAGTGGCCGCGGAGGAAGCCGTGGGGACATTAATATTGTAGGGGAGGGGAGGGACGGGTTTATATAAGATGGGGAGATGATGGGGACATCGCTTCCGCGGCCACTGCACCCCAGAGGAAATAATAATTGGGGACAAAACTTAACTTACCTTGAGGAGACCCACGTTGGGGAACTTTTCGAACGTGAGGTAGCCCTCTTCTCCCGTACGACCTTCACTTTGACCTTTGAATATCCGTCCAGCCGTGATGGTCGCCATTCCCATGCCGTCACCAATAAATATAATCCCGTTCTTAGCCATCCCCTCGTTCTTCTTCACATTCAAGGACGCCTCGATACTCTCGGCTCCCAGCTTTCTCCAGAACTCGGCATCTGTGGAAATTCATGGAAATGGTGTGTTTATTTTTCCATGGAAAATTGGACTTGACATCCAACACGACGATGTACATACTATGCATGAATATATACATCGAATACATCGAAAAGAAAATCAAACAGAACAACACTTTGACATTTTCCTTTTCTTCTTCGAATTCCATGATTTTTTTGCAAATCTCTGCCACGGCAGAGAGAATCATTTTGCTTGAATGAAACACATACGTTTATTTTTGATTACCTTCAATCGAGAGGATGGGAAGGATGGCGATGGAGCTTATCAGGAGGAGGGAGGAGGACGAGAATATCATCAACATTCTGCTTCTCTAGCTGATCCGGCTGCTGGAAAAGAGGAGAAGATACAAATTTGAAGTGATTGCAAGGTATAAATCCTTGGAGGCATGGGCATAATTCCATTAATACAGATGTAAGTGAACGCACAATGGAGGTCTCTCAGCGGATGCGATCCGATTTTGAGCAAACTAGTCTCAATCGATTGCTAATTTAATTAGTATGAAATTTGCGAAAGACATGATTTCCCAATGGGCACGTTTGGCCGAGATATTTGCATCCGAAGAGGAAAAAACGCGCCTAAAAGTCGATTTGACACTTTTCAAATTTACTGCTCGTTTTCTCCTCGTCGGTTGCAAATATTTCGGCCAAACGTGCCCATTGGGAGATCGTGTCTTTCGCAAACTTCATCCTAATTAAATTTGCAATCGATTGAGACTACTTTGCCAAAATCTGGGAGCATCCGCTGGGAAACCTCCATTGTCTATCTAATGGATGTAACAGTAGCTCAAAGCTCAACTTAAAACGAGAAAACTTGCTTGCAAATTGCACAAGCCATTTTGCAAGCTCACACGTGTAGAAAACAACAAACCATATTTTGAATGGAGATTCGAAAACTTGCGTCTAAATTATCCAAAGCGTACAAAGTGCCGCGAGGTGTCATTTAGAAGCATTTAAATTTTAGCTTCTATAAAATATCGCCTCATCACCGTCTGTCTGCCCTCCTTCCCAATTTTCCTCGCTTTGTTTGCTTTGCTTGCATACGTAATCTTTGCTCTTTCTCGTGAACCTGGCGAATGCACTGGGTCCAATTCCAACAACCATTATTATAACCCACGTATGTACGTAAAAACAACGAGTAAGGACCAAATTTCGACATTAAACCAAGCCTAAAAATAGCATCTAGTTAATTTCTCTGCTAAAAAGACGAGTACATACTTCTTCTATTAAGTAGAACCAATAAAATTAGTTAATTATAAAGACCAGCAAATTCAAAAAAGTTCACAAAATTTGTGGGAAAACGGAGAAAATAGATTCATCCGTAACTAAAAACCTCAACATTTTCCAGATTCCGTTTTCCTCTCCCAAACATTTCGTGGAAGTCAAGGGGAAAACAAATTACCAGAGATTACACAATTTCGTCAGATTTCCACCACACAAGGTGAATTGAATTTTCATGCATGAATACGCCAAAGTCAGGTCTTGACTGATGTTTTTGTTGGCTAGTACTTGATGATCACATACAAAGGTAATTGTACGAAACACTACTGCTGGCCGACTACCGTGGATAAGCACGGATTTAAGCGGTGTGCATGGTGGTTCTGGTTACCAAACAAAATTCCTTTATCGTTCCAGAATACATATTCCCTTTGTCCGTCTAGTATGTAGTTTGCTTTGCTTTGCCTGCCGTGCATAACTTGACTATTAGCAATCTGAATTTGTTTAACGAGAATACTCTGGCAGAAAAAAAAGAACCCAAATCGGTTAAAAACTCTTGAACATTAAAGGATTTTCCAGTCTAGTTTACTTTGTACACACACACGGAATGCAAACTTTGGTCGTTTTTTTGTACCTTTTTTTAGCCACAGGCTGTCCTTTCTATATAACCACAGTCAACTCACCTTCAACTAAAAACAAAGCACATCCGGATAAAGTAAAATATAAAAAGAACACAATTTGGAAGATCCTTTAAAAGCATCTCAATCTAATTTTCATCTAAAGAGAAGAGAAGAAAGCAGCCAGGCAGGCATGCATTTACTGGAAATTGGAATTAAGTTCTTCAATACGTGCGCTTTCCAATTCTCGTCACCGTGAGTAAAACGGATATCAGTGGCCGCGGAAGTGTGGGGACAATGTCCGCATCATCTGTTCATCTTATATAAACCCGTCCCTCCCCCCATCCTACAATGTTAATGTCCCCACGGCTTCCGCGGCCACTGAAAACCATGCTTCTACTGCATTTGCTAATGATTCCTAAATGTGTATGCAGTGGAGAGATTTTCATACATTGAGAGAGACAATTTGGCAGCCAGGTGTCACACACTGAGATTCTTCTGCTCATTTGACTCACTTTACAGGTGAAAAATCTAGGTCAAAAATCGTATCTGGGAAAATGATGTGCAACAACAACAACAGGTTTTCGTCTCATGGCAAAAATTGAGTTTAGTTTATTTGCTGCCACTCTGTGGTCTGGTAGGCAGGTAATGATGTGCTGTGTATTTTACAGAATCGGATTCCTGTGTGAGTTTTGGAGGCTCGGTTTACATGAAATCTAATCTCAAATCGGAGTGCAATGCATGATTGAGGCCGATGCGTCAAAAAGTATTTGTATTATTGAGCTTATCTTGAACTAATGGTTTTCTGAAAAAAATAACCTGGAAAAAATAAGGAATCAAGTTAAAATACCTACCTTTTTTACAGGTTGCAAAGAAATTTCTCGGATAAATTTCTGCACTCTTTTTTTTACTTATTTCCACCGAATAAAACTACTTATCAGTTTTTAAAACACGATATTAAAAACTTCGTAATTGTACTCTTCCTCCAGTTCTCACACACTTGTTCTCGCCTCCCAACTAACCTTGCAAAAGGGCAAGGACACTAATTTTATGCAGAAATCGAAGGTACTTGAACTTCAAAAGGAAGAAAAAAAAACTGTAAAATAGCCACCTTTACCTCAACCCAGCTAATTGTTACAACAGTCGTTAAATCTTTACTAACTTGTTTTTCTGTCTCGTTAAACGAATAAATTTATTTATGCATATTTTTCACTTGTTTAACATATCTGAATGGCGAAAACACGATTTGTTACAGCTGCATAGAGAGAGTGCGTTTGTGTATGGAAATTTTTCCAGAGGTTGACTAACTCTGGAAGTGTTACAAGTTTTCCTGGAAATTATGTTTACGGTTCAAAAATACGAATGAATAAATTTATTGTTCTCGATCTATTAATAAATAAAACTGTGTGGTCAAGGGAAAGTTACCACCAGTTTTAACCCGTATTCTGATTAAGAAGAAGTAAAATCAAGTTGTTACTGGCTCGGTAATAATAATAATCGTGCTGATACTAAAATTGATAAAAATTCTTCTGGACCACACAATCACACAGGTCGTTCACTGCTGCCTGACTTGTTAATAGCTTTTTCTGAGCTGCTGCTGCTGGAGAGAATTTGCTTTGCTTAACCACGCGAGAGGTGATCAGATCCCTGTGACAGTTGATGTCTGAATAAACCCTCGATTACTTAAGACTCGACTAAAATGCAGTAAAGAATAATAAGTAATAAAAATGTTCAAGGCCTAAAAAAAGTATGTATGTGATGTGATCTGCTACTTCCAACTTCACGTCCACAAGCTCAATAACCATTCAGGCAGGAATAACGTTAACGTTAATGGATAAATTACACGTTCACTCACTCTTATTTCTGATTATATGTATGATGGTGCCTTATTATTGGTTTGGTTGGTGTGTTCAGTTCACCATGGGTCGTCTGCTTGTCGAATTTGTTTGATTTATTTGCAATATTAACTTGTTGTATTGTTGAAAACTTGTGTACAGATCCAGTTTGAGAGAGGATTTGATTTCTCTCTCGAGAAAAAAAATATTTACGTACGTGGCGTGGCCAGATCGTCGTGCTTTAAATGTTTTAATCATAAAGTAGAGAAATATTCCAATATTTTAAAATAGATGATATATACGACACGCAGGAGAGAATCACCACTGGTGCAAATAAGTAAATGGTGATGGGACATGGCCCCTATTCATTTGTGATATTTGGCATATTCAAATCTAATAATACGTGCAAGTCTGTATTATTAAATTCGCCAGGTAGGCAGGCAGAAGTGGCAAGCACATGTATTTCAAATAGGCAGCCCTTGTATTGAGAGAGAGAGAACACAATAAATATGTAGGGAGCCGATAGCATCATCGTCACTCTGCACGACCAATGATGGACCAATGCAATGTAAATCTATGAACATTGTCGTATTAGTTTTTGGACCTCATCTAAATATGCATTTCAATTATAACGTGAAACAACGAGAGAGACGTCACACACGCTGATCGGCCAACCACCACCAATTGTTGGGGATGAGGAGGCATAGCTATTATCAGGGGCCGCGGAAGTGTGGGGACATCAATATTGTAGGAAGATGGGGAGATGACGGAGACATCAAATAACCGTGGGGACATTGTCCCTCTGTCCTCCGTCCCCACGGCTTCCGCGGCCACTGGTACCTATTATTATTGTTGGTGTGTGTACAATGCAAAATTCTGCGTATCCGCATCTATTCTTAAACACGTATGGGCATAAGCCGAGATATGCAGGTGATTAAAGTAGGTGGCAAAATATCACCACGTTAATACGACTTCCGTTGTTTGCATGGTTAATCGGTTTGACTTTTGACTTTGAATCCAGTATAAATCAAAATGTGTCTGCATGTGATTTGTATAATTGAAAAAATGGTATTTAACACACAGTCATTTCCCATCTCGATTAAATTTAGTTTCATTACGTATTCATCATTATTCTCGGTCTAGGTCAATACGTTGTATTTTAAGGTTCTAGTTTTGGTCTTGATTTTATAAAGTCATCAAATTTCTGGTGGAATTATGATCCGATTAGTTTAAACAGATTTGTTAAAGCATCGTCATGAAAGGGAGTTATTTAATATGCATGTTTATCAAAACATATAAGTGAGTAATTGCATGATGATGATGATGACTACAAATTCATGGCATTCATACTCAGTGGCCGCGGAAGGTGTGGGGACAATTGGGGACATTAACAATGTAGGATAGGGGGAGGCCCGGGTTTATATAAGATGGGGAGATGATGCCGACATCGAACAACCGTGGGGACATTGTCCCTCTGTCCTTCCGCGGCCACTGCTCACACTTCCGTCAGACTATAAGTTATATGAATGAGTCGTTTTGTTACACGGAGAATTGTTCTCGTTTATGACTTTGCTGATTCGCGAATAAATGTATGCCTCCAGAATTCAGTAGGTAATTCTTATCCTGAAATTGAAATCGACTTTGAATAAATTTTTCACTACTCACTAAACCAAGTCGATTATAAAAGTTTGATTGTTCCGTAGAATAAAAAAAATAGCTGAAATCTTACACGCCATTCTCCAGTGACAGACAAAATATATAAGTTGATTGCTTATCCATATTGAATTTCATGTCAAACCCGAAAGAATTGACAGCACTCATTTCGCATTACATTATACAGTCGCACGTCTCACGAATTGTGCCATTTTGTATTTAGTTAAGTTAGTTAGTTGCTAAATTTATATGCTTGCACAAGTTAGCACAATAAGGCTGGTGAGATGATGGAACGACATGTACATTCCATACGTATGCATATACAGTGACCGCGGAAGCGAGGGACAATTTCCCCACGGTTGTTCAATGTCCCATCATCTCCCCATCTTAATGTCCTCCGATGTCCCCACAGCTTCCGCGGCCACTGTGCAGATATGTACGTATGAACGTATATGCTGTACATTAAGTACAAAATAAATGGGTGCAAAATATTACAAATTTTATGGATGACCAAAATGACTTTGTCAGTTTTTCGCCTTTCAAGCGCATTTTTTCACATTTTGCTCCTCGATCCGATACGAATCCCAGGAGCCAAATCAGGAAAGTTTTCCAACCTGTGGTGGTACCAGATCTACGCTAATTTTCAGACCCATGACTCTCGAGCTTTAGGGCAAAATGTGCCTTTACTTATAAGCTAATTAATTGCTATAAAAACTTTCACACTTTTAACAGGCTTAATTTTTACAAACATGGCCAAGAAAGAGGAAAAGTTTGCAGTATTAACAACCCAACTTTGCAATTAAGGTTAGGCCATTCACTAGATATGTAAATCATTTCGAAAAATTTTCAAGAGCAGTGCAACGCAATTTGTTCCCGTCAAGTCAAAGAAGTTACACAATCTATCTGGAAGGAGATTAGATGACAATTTGATGAGAAACAGAATACGAGACGGAATGACGTTTTTGCACTTATCATACCAAGAAGTCATGGTTCTGGCACATTTTATTTTGGCGAGACACACTTTTTCATCACTGACTGGCTACGGCGTCTCGTTGAATTAAATAAGTATACGGTTGATGTCGTTGCATAAATAAGAATTAGGCGTTTACTTAATTCGAAATTTTTATTTGGATGCTACACACACATAAATTTGTATCACTTGCATTATCGCGAAAAATGTAGGGGACTAAATGATCATTATTGGCTGAGGACAATTATAATGCGTCCGAGTTGAGAGAAATGTATGAAAATATTTGCATAAATAGAATTGAAAGCAAAGGTTTGTAGCTGAGTAAAAAGAAAAAAAGTTGTTAAAATCATCATTAGGATTTCAAACTGGCGTCGAGTACACAAAGAGCGAATGGCAAGGAAAATGTGCCAGCCAGCGTTCTCACCTATTCCAGGTTAATGAGCAAAAAGCTCCACATTAGACAAAGTCTTTAAAAGCTGGGCTAATTTTTACACGACGGCATTTTGTTCATCAACCTCTTCGACTTGGTGGGCCTCAAAGTGTTGAAAAAAAACGGATAAAAGGTTCCAAATAAGGTAAGGTTTTCGATCTTGATTTGCAATCCTGTTTCAAATTTTTGATACGTTTTGTACTGACTTATTTTATATAATTCAGTCAAAAATAAGTAAAAATTAGGGCTTCAGACACCAAAAAATTGACAGGGTGCATAGATACATATCGTATTAATAGAATCGTAAATAGCGTGGTTTGGACGGATCACCACAATTGTAACGGGTTCACCCTGAACTTGACCAAACTGTAAATTAAGGTGTCAATTTAAACCATGTTTGTGTTTACATGATTCATGGAATATGTATGAAGTCGTGTATTCAAAACCTTACTTGTGTCTTAATGAACGTGTCCTTCTTTTCCTATCTGGACTACGTATGTACATAGGTCCACATAGCTCACAGCGGACAGCACATCGTCTCGTCTTCCATCATTCTGCGTATGTATACAGTTGATGCGGTTAGTCTAGCAAAAAAAGTGCAGTATACATAATTATCTTGACCCTTGAACTCTAGTTAAAAGTGTGACAAGCATGCACGAGTTGTTTTCCAAGTGAGTTATCATTTTAGTAGAGAGTGAAACAATAAAAAAAAACAATCAAAATGCCACCCGGTGGAATTAGGAGGTGGACCTGTCTCGTGATTTTTGGCTTGATAAGCACCACTGAACAAAGTGTTGGAGGAGGAACGACCCCGTCTCGGAATGACTCTACTCAACAGTTCCCAGTGTACTTATCTCCAGAGGTTGACAGTAAAACAGTTAAAGTTGGTCAGTCCTTTGGAATTCAGGGTGTCAGTGATAACAGCAGAGGTGCTGCGTCAAACAGATCACAAGCAGTGATTGCTGCTGCCTCGCCTCAAAGAAATGTTGTAGCCCCATCTTCATCACATTACGGCAGTCAACCAAATTCCTTCGTCCCTTCGCACTTCATGGGGTTCAAAAAACCAAACCAGGAGCAAAATTCAGTTCCTCCTCCTCCCACCACAAATGCGCAACGGAGGGTCGACTTCCACGTGGCTGACGACGATTCCGAAGCCTACAACGAGGACGATATCTACGAACCGGAGAGAGACGGGTATTATCACGGCCGACATGAAATTGAGCACCACTCTAACTCCGGAATTCGGTATGAAGACGACCATCAGTATTTAGAGGAGCCAAAAACCAGGGAGGAACAGCCCCCAGAAACGCGACAATCGCTCGGATTTCCCGTCTCCGGTCCGGGATTCATCGGTCCGGCCCCGTTCGATCCGCTGCCACCCCCACCAACCAGCATTAAAGGGTCGGTCGACTACATTCTGATTCCTTTGGTCCTCATTGGAATCGCGGGGCCGATTTTTGTCGTTCTTTACGTGATTTTGGGCGCATTTGAGGCAAAGATTAGTCCAATTTCGAGATCTTTGAAGATGGATGGACTCGACGCGTATAAGGTAATGTCACAACAAGATTTCAGTCGAAGAGAATTATTTGAGTGCTAGGAAAACCTAGGGAAAAAACTGATGGGGATTTTTCTCAGCCGTATTTAGAAAATGTGATGTCATCCGTGAGACGAGCATTAGACACGGAGAAATGTCTGGACTATGCAGCCTGTCAATTTGGATCATTTTGCAACCGTCTCGGCTACACCGACACGTTCCCAACAATACAAAAGTAAGTCTGAAAAAATTGAGCAGATTCAGACCCTCGGACGTGGACGTGACGAAGGACATGCAAATAACAAATCCGGATTTAACTCATAATTTTTTACACCACGTAGATTTTTACTAATGAGGTTAACATGTCGGATCTACCACTTAAAAGTATGACAGCGGTGTCTTGGGCTAAAGTGGTTTTTGTCAGAGAGGGTTTTTAACTCTGTTTAGTTATCCAATGGAGAAAGATTATGTCAATTTTGCCATTTTAGAACTTGTCTGAACACGAGCAGAAAGATGAGTCCTTGGCCTATTTTTGGATGAAATTTGTGACTTTTTTTCCTCAAGTGGCTAGACTAATGTAAACATGTCTTGTCTGTAACGAGTCCTTATTGACGCACGAATCCATCCCATTTAGATCAATTCTAGAACAATGAATGAATCAAAAATCGAATTCGCCCTGTATAAAAATGAGTCACGGGGTGGGTTTTACGAATTCCTTGTAGAAAAAAACTGATTCGACCACCTTGATACACATTGAGAAACCATGATTGGAATGCGAGACGTTATTGAGCCTCCATTACCGTTACTTCATCCAACTTTCTGCTGCTGCTGCAGTTTGTGGCGTAAATTCTAAACATTTAATTAAAATGAATCACTCGGGAGGAGGATGAGACAGACTTGTTTTAATCGGGAGAGTAGTGTGGTTTGCCAGATATAGCGTGCCTATTAACCTATGTAACCCAACCTAACTCGGCATTTTATTAAATATTGGGGGTATTCATTACGAGTCCGCATCGTGAGCAAAAAATCAAAGTTCGCAAGTAGTTTGCAAATGAAAAATTGGTTTAAAATTCATTTGATAACTTGCGGATCTCCAAGACTAGTATAAAACAAATTTAGTTCGGAAATTTGTTTTTCAAATACTGTGAAATTTGGAAATTTGTTCAAAATTATTTTGTGAACATGCAAACTCGTTATGAATACCCCCATTATATCCGATATCTGTTTAGTAGAGTTTTTGCTGTAAAGAAATATCCATCATTTTAATGAAACTTGCATTTATAAGTAAATTAAGTATAACAATTTTTTTAATACCCGTGAGTTTTGGTGCAATTCCTTCATTGATTTCCCAAAATTTTATTCTACATATTTGAACCCCTATTGAACCCTCTTGGTTTCTTTGCATTTGAATGCCATGCAGTATTATTCCCAATTGAAAAAAACTGAATTTTGAACTTTCCGTTAAATAATCTGAACTTTTCCTAGATTAAAAAAAAATAGTAGAAAAATAGCGCGTCCTAATTAATACTAGACCCAACTTATTAGCTAGTGACAATTCCTAATAAAAATAAAAGCCTGTAGATATAATCCGACTCAAGATTTCTTCCTTCTTAAATCACATGCACGGAACTTGATCAGGTCAATGCAGCAAGTTTTACTTAAAGAAGAAACAAGCCGATCTTGCTTTTGCTTACCAGTTATTTTCCCCATAACAGTAAAAACCTATGAAATGCTGCTAGTACCCTGTATGAAAATTATGAAGTTTGTATGCACCGTCTGGTCCAACTTATTGGGCAGTTTTCAAAACATTTGCATTTTATGTCACATACATACAATTATTGCCAAGTGAGACGCTGTACAGTTTTTTTATGTGCGATTATTACACTCTTCATGACAATGAACCAGCCCAGCACAACTGCCGGGATTAATGAGCCATACTCATTTCTTTTCTGATTCACCTTATCACATTTCGTACAAATATTTGACTTCCGAGAGAACGACATGAATGACCTCGCAACAATTACATCAGTGGCCGCGGAAGCCGTGGGGACATTAACAGGGAAGGGCCGGGTTTATATAAGATGGGAGATGATGCCGACATCGAACAACCGTGGGGACATTGTCCCTCTCAAGCTTCCGCGGTCACTGGGTGCGATCCACTGTTATATTTAATACGACTAGATTCGCAATCTTACCACCGAAAATTTACGTATTTATTTGACATGAAAGGACTTAATAAGCATGACAAAGAGCTCTTTTTATACACTTTTTTAAAATTCATTTATTTACTTATTCGTATTCACCCTCCTGGGTGTGTTATGTATGTTCCATAAATTTCAATTTTTATATTTATTTTCAGGACAATGGAACCATTCATGCCTCACCCGTACAAAAGGAGGATGCGAGCAGTGTTCGATTCTATGACGAAAAATAGTGGAAACTGCTCCATCAACAGTTGCATTCGTCTCTAACAGTAGTTAAAGGAACGTTTAATAAGTGGTTAGTTAGTTAGTTATTAATAAATTATTGTAATTAATTTGAAGGAATGCGATAGAATTTGAGTATCTTGATTTAATGCCTGTCTCACTTATCTGTTTATTGAAAATTTGGTAATGAAATAATCATAGATAATTTTCATATGCGTTAAAAAATGGAAAGAAACTATTTATTTATTTATTAAATTTTTATTTAATAAAATTCAAATTTGATTACAAGGTATGAAGAAATAGGTCGAAGAGAAAGTATTAATTAATTAATTAATAACCGATTTATTTCTAAATAAGTTTAACACTTGTATTTATTGCTGAAATTCCTAGAATATACTTATTTACTATATTAAAAACCTACAAAATTTGTGAACACTTTTTGAAAAAGAGTGACCAAATGACGTCACAATGAAAATGCCGTTGTTGTTGGAAAGTGAAGATATCATGACACGAAAGAGATGAATGTATGAGAGGCATGCAGGTAGAGAGGTGTGTGAAACGGGTTACACGAGCACTAACATAATTGTAGTAACAACTAATAATCCTACAAAATTCGAAACATCAGTAGTAACCAACTCACAAATAAATTATTCTACAATAATTTTAATACAAGTCTTTTTTCTCCTTGAGTACGACTCTTCTTCTGATTGTAATGTAATGCTCAGTCTTTTTTGTTTATTTGATTAATCATAAAATGTACATTAGTATGCACGGCAAATTCCAAAATGATGAAAATCTCGTCACTTTCTCCTCTTTCTTACTGAGTCTCCACATTCATATTTTGGAACTTCTCGATGGCCCTGAGAACTCTTCTGGCGACGTTGGACGCGTCGTCAAAGTCGATTCCGGCAAGTTCCCGCATCGCCCTGGTTTTGACCTGGGAGCCGACCCCGTTGTACACGACGGTTCCGCCGGCAATGATCAAGCCCAAGGAAACGACCACGTAGCCGACGTCCACCCACGGAATTCGGGAGAAGACCGAGGGGGAGGAGTCGTACGGGACTGCAGTCGCGGGGGTCTGTCCAGCACGATATTCGGGGTAGTAGTAGACCATGTAGTTCTGCAGAAAGAGAGAGAAATTAAGACAATTAATAACAATAATAATAATAATAACGATAAAGTTAGTCTTCTGTATCAGAACGTGGTCAAGACACGCTTTTCTTTCGTCCGTCTCAGTCTCACACACTTTCACGCAGACAGACAGAGATTCATTTTTCATCACATCGATAAAAAAGTAAAGATGGGCACGAGAGCAATTTGAGATTGTGCCGAGCCAAAGAAACAGAACTGTGTGAGTTTTAGGTGATTTGTAAGGCAACATACGGTCATTAACCACAAGGCATGTTTGAAAATGTTTATGGGATAAGTGAATTGAATTGACGTCATAATAATTTGCGAAATCGAGCTTAATAGGGGAAGGAAAGGGAAAGCAGGAGATGATCATTGGGGTTGAGTAATAATACAAAATAATGGAGATAAAGGATAATTGAGATATTTAATAATAAATTCTGCTCGGTAAGAGCTTATCTGGCCGATAAGATAAGACATACCTGCGCATTGTTGGGCGAGGTGTTGACCGCCGCGGCGTCCCCGGTCACTGGAACGGTTCCCTCTCGAGCTTGTGCCTGTTGCGGGGCCGGCATGGCGGGGGAGGCGAGTGGCAATTCGGCTTGTTTCGCTGGGGTCGAACCGCCCCCATTTTTGGCCGAGTACACCGGTGACCGAAGCTGCAGGGCTTGACTGCACCCAATGAAGAGGAACAGGGCTACACAAATCGACCTCATTCTATATCCTGAGGAGTAGAAACAGCATTTTATTTAATCCAATATTTCGAATGGGTGGACGAATTCAAAGAATAATAATACATATGCATGCAAACCATGAGACGGTGGTCTCAATTAGTCTGCTTAAAATTTGTACGACGAAGAAGAGGGCGAGTAATTGACCATCACAAGTAACTTTCCCCCTTTGTGAATGAAACTAAAATCAAGAGGATGAAATAATAAGGCGATTCGGCTGACTTACTTGGTTTGCTTTATTATTTATTATTACTATTATTTGGTACTTTTATCCGCTGGCTCGTGATATCACATTCCATTTGTGGGGCCATTGCCACCGAGCATTATTAAAAACTGCCCTAAAGTACTGCCTAACCTCATTGCACTCCTATTACTCCTACATAAATATGAAGGCTTGTGCTTCGTCTCATTGTTTTGTCGTGTGTCATGAATCTTCTTCAGCAAAAGCGGGACAAATTCTGAGTGACATGACACCTGAGCTACGTACGTAGGATTGATGATGACGCTGAGCGGATAATGACGATTCGTCGTCGGGCATGGCTCATCGCATCACAGGGATGAATGCAAATGAACGAATTAACTCATTTATTAGGAGGAGGAGGAGTGATACTTTTCGACAATGCAGGCTTTGCCCCCACAATACGACTACATGCTACATACACCAACCACCACGCACTCACAAGTGTATCAAGATCAAGACGGCTATTTGCTAAATTATGCACTTCCGGCTTTGCTAAATGGTCAGACTGACTGAGAAGTGTTGTGCGAGTAAAATAAGTAAGTGCTGCTGCATGATGATGAGAGTGTTGTTCAAGTAAAAGACGAAACGGTATAAGAGAGTTTGGTTTAGTTGGTGCTGTTAAAACTGAAACCACTACTAACCCAATTTATTCACCCTCGCCAACTATTCCCAGGGCAATTCATGCTACTTTCTCGCTTTTGGCGAATTTTTACTCATGCAATGAATTTACTAGTATTTTGTGTGACAGGAAATTGTGCAGAAAAAGTTCTCAAGTTTCCCAAAATCTCAGAATATACTCACCCGAGAAGAAGGATTCCTTAACGTCCACACGAAGGGAAAAAATGGATCGAGAAGAAAAAATGTGAATCCAACCAAGTCACGCACAATACACCGACTGAAATTGCGTAGGATACGTAGCAGACTTAAATAGGGAGTACCTTTTACCTGGAGGAAAAAGCCATCAGGGATCTGAGGCTGAGTCTCCGGTTTTCCCCAATCTTCCAAAAAAGGGACAGGTGCCCTTAAAACATGACCCACCCGACACGTCCACCTGGACAAAAAGCCCAACAAGCCACGCAATTGGTTCAGACACGGTTTCAAGGTCTTCTCAGGGCGGACTTGAGATTCCTTGAGTCAAAGTCAAGGGCGGATGGGGATGGGGATCGTCGTCCCATTAAGTAAAGCTGACCTTCGCAACGTTTCCCTCAAGAAATCACTTCCCTAAACAACATTCTTTTTTTTCTCATGGCGTCGAGATTGAGATAGATGATCCCTTCCAGGGCCCTGCCACAACAAGCCTCGAAACATGTAGGTACTTACCCCCAAGAAACTTTGGCCTTTAAAAATATCCAATCTTCACTGCACATATGCATGCATTTATTTATTTAATTGTGTGCAATGCAATTAAGAAACCATCATCATCATCCAATAAAATAAACCTTATTACAATTAGAATCATCATCACGGGGAGAGAAAACAATCAGAATGATGCCTCGTTTTTTTATTACTGTTTACGCTTTTGTTTTACGAATAACATAACTACACACTTGGTTTGGCCTGTTGGTGGAGCAGATTCCTCTCGGATAGTACAAGTTTTGGATTGAATTTTATGAATGAAAGAATGCGAATAATAAGAAGAATAATGATATAGCACGAATATTTATGCAGCATCGAGGAGGTGAACGAAATCTCTGATACGCTTTACGTTTAAAAAATACATCTCAAGAAGAAAGACGAGTTGAAGGAATGTTTGTGTGCGTTCTCATTATTTGCAACGTTAGGTTAGAGGGTTAAACCAGCTCTGGTACATAATCTGCACTACTCACCAAGTAACTTACCTACATCCATCTCGATAAACTAAACTGCCAAGAGTAGGGAAACGTTAAAGTTGTGGATTTCAAGAAATGGGTGCCACCGACGCTTCTCCCTGGCGCATACATATCCCGCATTGTGAATTTCATTGCCAACTATTCAACAATTTTGCTCACCCCCACAGAACGTAGCTAAAGGATGCATGATGATGATGTGTGTGGATTCAATATATATGCATGCACATCCACGAATTAACACAATGATGCGCACCTCGGAATAATGTAACATTGTTGAAACTTGCGGAAAAATCGCCAGGTATAAAATCTCATTGAGGCCCCAAAACCTGGTCAGTTTACTTAAATTCTGCAAACGCTATGGTAGTAGGAGTGCTTGTTCATTCATTATTGTTTTAAAAGTTTTGAGTGTGTGGTTCCAAGTTTTGAGTGTCTGGTGATCCTGAAGGATTTTGTAATAGTTTTGACATCGCTAAAAATCAGGTAATTTTTTTCTTCTTCCAGTGACGTTTTTTCTTGCTGTCAACCTTGTCCTCGATTTCGTTCCACGTCAGAAATTGGGACTGGAATGAGTTTGTTTATGTGACGCAAAGGACCAGTTGGGGTTCTCAAATCAATTTTCGGCAGGCTAGAATTTTATTTTACGAGGAAGAAGAAGTTCATCGTGTGGATGGATGGATGAAAAGTGCATTAAAACTTTGAGGCAGAGGCAGGTGCCTAGAGATAGAGAGAGACTGGTGTTTATTATCCAGTCTGGAGGAAAGATGGATAAGTGTGCAGGCATGAACAGGGTCTCAAAAAAACTGCATTTGAAAGCAATAACAATAATACTGGGTTGGTGAGAAGGGTAGCAAGGAACCAATTTCTCCACGTACTTAAGTACCTGCCTTGACTACCTTCTTCCTCTTTGAAAATCTTCTCAAAGAAGGAGCACAAGTAAAGAAACCTTTGTGTGGAATAATACGGAACGGTATTTTTATTTTCTCAAGGACAACGTCATTTCATTATCCGATGTAATCTGGAATGTCAAAATGCACCTCTTGGTAGAGAAATCCTTAGCACACAAGTTTCTTAAAAATTTTCATGTGCTCCTTCCTCTGTAATCCTTGTTGAGGCAGTCAGCCATCCTTTCATGACTTGGTTTTACTTAGTTCTGGGATGAATTGGTTGGTGGTACACACCACGACCTTTGTTCCCCTTCTTGTAAAAAGTGTAGGGCTTCTTTTTAAACCAAGTCTCACGGGAAGAAGTAAGTAACACGATTTGAGAGAGATCATCTCAAGAATAGAAACTTGCCGAGGGGCATTTGGGAGAAATGCTGGCAAGGAAAATACTTGACGACGCCATGTTATTGCATCCCATCTTTTTAGACGATATGACCATTAACACTGGATGATGGGGAAAGTTGATGTATTATCCGAAAAAAATACGTGTCCCTAATCTTCTTCGGATTAGTGAAATAATAATCCATTGGTCAGACTAACCTAGATTTGAATCAGATTTATGCATGTCCTTCCCTACATTGCCATGTGTGATTTACTGTGCCGATTCTTCTTTTTTTACTTGAAATTCTATACGGGTTAAAGAGATGAGGGATTCCAAGTTTTTATAGGATTTCTAAGGTAGTCGTGGTGTGGTGGTGAGAGATTAGGAAAAATCTGTAAGTAAGCAGAGTCGGTCAAGTGGGGAAGATTAGGATTTTTTGTCTTGTTGACGCGTATTAAAGTTGTTGGTGAAAGAAAAATCAAGGGGATGGATGGATGGACGAATAAGATGCAGCACATTACATTACATACGTATTGCATAGTTTATTAGCATGGAGTTCACCGTCCGGGACGACGGAAGGTAAATGTTGCAGGTCAGTGTGAAGGCCGAAATCCCGTTAGTCGTACCATCTCTCTTACTACCTGTCTGACAGGTTGCCAAACCAAATATTTAACGGCCCCGGCTGCCTACACAATCCGTGTGTATTGTACCGATTTATGCGATTTAATACTCATGCATTCACCACAACAGGAGAGAAACCAGGAAAGAATTGGTCTTTTAATCTATTCGTTTGTCCCATCTTTTTGGCATGATTCACCTGAAATACCTGTTTTTTCTTGGGTATAATGATGTAACTTGGGTGATGCTGCGTCTCTCACCCGACATGAATGCAGAATAGGAGGAGGAGGAGAAGAATATTTCGATTTCTGAGCAATTATAATTTGATGTTGAAAACGGCTTAATTACTCACAAATAGTTCATATTCTTCATAAAATGGTGGTGGTGTGCATTTAGGCATTTTTTAAAAGTTAGCTTCCCATTCACAAGGAACGAGTGGTACGTATGTACTTTTTAGTCGAAAAGTTGTTGAGAGTCGTCTCGTAAAGCAGAAAACCCGAAAGTAGGGCATTCAATGATAATAATCAACTGCATAATAATTATTACCGGTGGTGGTGGTGGTGGTGGTAGTATTATTCATACGTCCTGTCTTAAAAAATTCTTATTTTTCTTCATAATAATATACATATACGCATAAATAAATTGCCAACACCGTAAATTTTACTGCATACTTCATGTCTTGAAGAATCTTTTCCGCATCAGGGATGGCTTTTACCTTGTTTCTGTAATGTAACGCATTGTTTCACTTCTTTTTCATGCATGCACAGGCGATGAAACATTTTAACTGCAGTAAAACTAAATAAATCTTCTCTTCTCTTGGTACACATGCTTTGTTTTCACTCATTTTCGCACTAAATATTTGTTAAAAATTTTCCATCAGATTACAACAATCAGATCGTATGTACATATACAAATGTGTACATAGGTGCATACATACACGTCTACGTGCAGTGAGTGATGTCAGTTTAAAAAAGTACGATGCAGCAGGCAGACGGTTATTTATTTATGTATGAAAGATGCTGCTTTCATGAACAATAAGACTTTTCAAATTGTGACTCGTTGATTAAAAGCTTAATTGCCTCTAATTTCTTTAAAACTAAACTTGCTCATCACTTTTCTTCTTGTTTTTTTGGGGTAGACTTGGCAAATATGCATTGGCAAAAGCTGACCTTGTTAACCATCAGCATGGCGGTGGCCACGATAGGAGCCCCTCAAAGCCAGCAGCAAATCTCTACTGCACAACAGGTCAGTATTATGAGGAGTATTTGAAATTGGGCGATAATATTGTAAGAATTCTCTTAAAATCAAATAGCCACAAGTTGCGGCGAGTCAACAGGTCGCGCAGAGTAGGGACGCCTCCGTGTATCCGTCGGATGGCGGGTATTCGGGTGGGTATGCTTCGGGGGGAACGACGGGAGGTTATGGGGGCGGTGCGGCGGCGGCGGCGCCCTCCGGGGCGTACGGGGCTCCTCCCCAGGCAGCGTATGGTGCCCCCGCGGGAGGTCAACAACAGGGAGGATATGGTGGCCAACCCAATGGAAATAATGGATATTACTACTACTACTATCCAGTACAGGTGAGTGAGGAGCACTTGATAAGTAGGGTGGATAAGCAGTGGCCGCGGAAGCTGTGGGGACATGTGGGGACATTAACATTGGGGGTGAGGGACGGGTTTATATAAGATGATGGGGACATTGTCCCTCTGTCCCCTCAAGCTTCCGCGGCCACTTTGGATAAGAAATGACATTTTACAAGGATATCTTTCTGTGTAGGAGTCCAAAGCCGACTTTCATCCCCAGAACAAAGAGGCAGCTTACACAGCCACCGACTCGTATGGGATCGACCCCTTTGGAATCATTGCCGTCCTCGCCATCGCCGGCCTCGTGATTGCCGGATTGGCACTCCTCTTCCCAGGCTGGGCGTACGTAAAGAGCGACGAGCATGTCTACTACAGAAGCAATGATGGTACATATTTACATACTCAAAAAATAATACATGCAAAACATGATAATCATATTATTTTATGGTACATATTCGTGCTAATTAAGAGAATGGGAAATGGGCAAATTCAATTCAATCCAATTAGTAATTCATGAGACCACTTTCGATTTTGATTTTTTTCTCTCTCTTCGTCTCGCATTTCTCATGATGTGAAAATGATATATGTGTATTAATCATGACACAAAGTCCTGGTTTACAAATTTGTGTGTATGCATGATTATTAACAACAACAATGAAATACTTTTTGCAGGTTCATCTCCTTCCTCGAGTTTGTTAGGATTGAGCAAAGAGGATTATCGGACTCTCACCAGCCTTGTTTTAGCCGCGATTGAGGGTGAGGATTGTATCGAGAAGATGATGTGCGATGCTGGCAAACTGGTTAAGAAAGTTAAAAAGGCCGACACATTTTTGAGGTGAGGGGGCAAATTCGTGAGTTTCCTTGATTATGATTATTCGATGAGTGATCGGTCGGTCGATGAATGACCAGAATAATGAATTACTAATTATTTATTATAAGTTTCTCTCTTTCGGAGGATAATTTTCGAAATCGAGAGTCTACTTTATGATGACATGTTATCAATCATTTTTTTCTTTTTTGTGCCAGACTAATGGAAGACTTTGCACCCGTCTCGGTCTCCGGAAACATCAAGAAACTCCGAACCGCCATGAAGAAGCCTGTAGAAGAGTGCAAAAATACGACTTGTGGAAAGAAGAAGAAGTTGTAGACGTTGTACTTAATATATGCAAATTTATATAGGCTGTAGTTAATTTAATTTAAAATAACACTGACGGGGGACTACATACTTGACTCATTAGCTGCTTAAAAAGCTAAGTAAATGAGGAAATATTTTAACGACTAACTGACTTTTTGTATCAAAATTATAATGCTGATACTGCTCTTTTTTATGTATGATTAACACAACGACCAGAAATAATTAGGAAGAAGGGCAATCTTTTTGTAATGACGCGTTTACAAAATCCGGTGTATTTAATCATAAAAATTTTGATGGCACGCGTACGTACGATAGAAACAGCCCAGCTTTATAATTATTATTTAAATTAATTATCTAATTAATACTCAATTAAAGGTGATCATACATAAATTAATTTAATAGTTTTTTTTTACATAAACGGGAAAGGGGAGAAAACTGGAGGAATAAAAATACATAGTTGCAGTTAATTTTACATAACAAGCTCAGCAGCAGAATTTAGCTACCGATTGTACTACAACTGCTTCAAATATTATTATTGGAACGACTTTTCTAGTACATGATTTCCAAAATATAATGATAATTATAATTATTATTATTATTACAACGACACACCAGATTGCTACCTAGCTTTACTGAATTATGAGTGGTGACGACATTTATATGACAAATGACGTGATTAAATGTAAAGACGAAAAAAATTTGGTTTTGTTGCGTTTTCATTTTATTAAACGGCATCAACTTAAATATTTGCATACGAGTTCGAAATCAAGCCTCAAAAAATTGGAAATCATTTTTGGAAATCATCATCGTGCAATAATCACAATTAATAAATAAAATTGGATTGCAGAATTTTGCATCATTACAATTTACTAAATTTTACGCCTGTACAGTCCCGTCGGCTAATTAATACTGACCACTGGTCACTATTATTAGTGCGACTGGAGGCAGGTTGAGATTTGGTCACTATTAGTGTCACACTGGACTGGAGGCAAGTTGAGATTCTCAACCTGCCTCCAGAGCAGTCTTAGAGCGAGTCATAGAAATTTCCATGTGGGGAGAAAAATCCCGTTCAAAAAAGCCAACTCTTTATGATCGTTCATTTTCATTTCTGTGTAAAGTAACTTTACTAAAGTTATTCATTCAACTCAGATAAGAATAATTTACTTGCCGGTAAGTATAACTAATATTAAACATCACAGTTAAGTCAATTTATTAGAATCGTTGCTGATCCATCCTTTGGTTGTTTTGTTGTTTAATTTAGTTCAGCCGTGGACGTTATACATTTATTAAAGCGATATCATAATTTATTATAAGCGTTAACAATGGAAATGAACTTTCGCGAGTTGCAAGAGCTCATGAACAAGTGGACAATAGACTTGGGCGAGCAAGAAAAGCAGTTCATCGAGCAGGCAACTAAGGTCAATGCGTGGGATAAAACTGTGATGGCGAATGGAGAAAAGGTACGTACGAATTGGTCAAGTACTAATTGACTTTATTTTATTGTTCATAGTTTTTCATTTTTTGGTTCAGATCGCCGAGTTGGATGCTACCCTGGCCAAAGTGAAGGTGGAGGACACCCGTCTCTGCAACACTTTGGAGTATCTCAAGTCGCAGCAGAAGGATTTTGAATCGTTTCTTAAACCAATTGAGGACTCTCTTCCAGTCAATATTGCTGCCGAGCCGGAGAGAGAACAATTGTAGGATGAGTTAATTAACTTGTGGCTGTAAATGATTAATTGGGGAGGCATTGATTTGACTGCTTGTCATTAATATGTGCATAGGTTTACGCTTGCGGAAAATGTAGATATGGAGTTGCAACAGGTTGCGGAGGATATGAAGGAAATTATTCGACATATTAATGAAGCAAATAAGACGATGGATAAGAGTGATCCGGTACATCGTTATGCTCTTTTTTATATATTTCACAATATAGAAAGAAGAAAAAATATAAAGTTTTTTTTTGTATTTTTTGATGATAGATTTACCAAATTTTGACCATTTTGAACGAACATACTGATGCTCTCCAATGGGTGGAGGATATTTCGAATGATGTACAAAAGGAGTTGGAGAATGTGACGAGAATGCATCAACTTTTTAAAAAAGATCAAGCACGTTCACTTAGCAAAATGTTTCAAAATTGAGGGTTCATTATGATTGATTGTTTACTTTTTGTGTGATGCAATTGAATAATTATGCTACTTTTTTATACTTTCTTTCTGTAAATTAATAAAAACGTGTTCTTATTTTGTTTATTTTCATTACTATTTCAGTCCAGAATGAAAGATGGACATTTGATTTGTTTGCATCATAGTTTTAAAGATTACATAAGTGATTTTAAAACAAATAAAAATATTTGCTTATTAAATATTAACAATGAATGAAAGGATAGATCGGAATGGTTTTTTCTTTGCAGAAATTGTTGGTTTGTTTTAGTTACAATAATAGATTTGAAATAAGTGCAAAACTTATTGTCACTTATACTGCATCATTATCTTGTTGATAAAAATTAAATTGTAGAAAATATGAGTCTTTTCCGTGCAATTACATAACAATTCTATATAATAGTACATCTATGTATGTATATTTGATAATATCACAGCAATTATCCAATCTGGAATAGTCATTGGCCACACAATTTCCTGTAAAACTGGAATAATTTGAATTAATTTTGCTAATGATAATTCTTATCATTCTTTCTATTCTTTGATAATTCTGAATCCAAGGACATTCAGTTGTATATTCTTTAAAAAAAACAATGGACAAAGTTCCCTGCTTTACAGCAAACGTGACCGACTGTGTAGTGTGCAGTCAAATCTGTATATAATCATAATAATAATCACTATATTAATGAACTAATTAACACCAATGTCCAGTAACGACGTGTTCCTCCAAGGCGTCTGCATTTTCTTGAGTATCAAATTCTATTCCACATATTGGACACGCTTGGAAGTTGAAACCTGAAAGTAACGAGACGATAAAAAGCTTAGTATTTATACTTTATACTACTTAACTTTTCTAACTCATCCCAGTCTAGTTAAGGTTTTTAAGTAATTAATATAATTATTACCACTTCTGTCAGTGGAGGAGCAGCTAAAGAAATGTGGAACGTTATCTTGAGGAATATCCGGCTCGGAAGAGTCAGGCACAACTTCTGGTTTGTGATGAGGGGATGATACGTTTGGAATATGCAATGTGTTTGAGGAGGAAGCCATCTGACGTTGTCGACGAGTTTGTGGTCTCCTTTTCTTCGCCATCTTAAAATTTAATGCTTCTAGTTGCTGCCGTAAAGCCATTTGTTGAGACAGTAAAAAGTCTTTCATTTGGCAAAAAAATTTGACTTGTTCTTGAAATATCGTATGAGTCAACTCCCTCTCATCTCCAGACGACGACGTTGATTCAGAGTCGGAGTCATTGTAGTCGACCAATGAACCACTCGAATTCTGAAAGATATTTATGTCGTATACATACGTACTTATCGAGCATGTTTTTTTTTAAAATTTAACAGTTACAGTAGAGTTAAACTTACATTTGCGTACTGTTTTCCGTACAAAATATTCTGTTGTAAGGTTGAGGCAAGTGTTTTCGAAGCAGCACCATAACCCTCAGCCGTTGACATTGACTCTGTAAGCACAAAATAAATAAGAAACCGATAAATTATACGGGTCGCTAATCCTAAAACTAATAATAAGTAATTAAAATTGTGCTAGTCGTTATTTACTCACCAAGTTTTAATGACTGGAAGTCCGTGGACAAATTTTTGGAGGCACTTTTACTATCCCTGGAATAATGTTCTTTCGTCCTACCCCGACCACCAGTGGAATTACCGACCCCAGATGAAGTACTACTTCCTGGAGTCGAGGATTGATCACAATTTGGGTGTACCACCCTTACTAAGGCATCATTATGGGGGGATTTGGTTGTCGCCGTTATCGTCGTCGTCAGAGATTCTATTTTGTGGATGGGCGTTGTGACGGTGGTGGGCGTAGTGGGTGAGAATATTTTACTTGAACTCTGTCGTGAAGGAGTTATCTGCTGGCGAGAAGAGTGCAGCATAATAATTCATATTGTTGACGACACAGGACAATAAGGAGGGTTAGTTATTTGTTTGCCTGGGAAGAGGCACATTTGGGTTTTCACCCTGATAAAATTGTTTCAAAAGATCGATAGCTTCCTCAGCTCTTACTCCGGACACGACCGTGGGCGTGAAAGCACCTTCTAAATTGAATACGTTGAGGACAGATTTACAACCGCCGAAACGTTCATTGTCAGCTCCATACACGATGAGAGGGACTTTGAGCTGCTCAAGGGCGGACGCACCTGAGGATAAAAAACTATAGTTCTTAGCCATTTCACATCAAGGTCAGACCTTCACGAGTAAAATTCGATTGTTGATTTTCTCACACATGATACATGGTTCCACCGTGACGTAGAGGTGACACTTTGAAAATATTTCTTGAACGGAACCACCACCACCTTCACCGTTGTTGGCCAGGGACCACTCCAAAACCTGGTCGACAGCGACTAGCTCGGCGTGGCGTGTTGCATTCTTCCTCTCATTCACAATATTTCGTCCTCCACCAATTACTTGAGAGTCGAGGACAAAAACGCACCCAATGGGGACTTCGCCTGCCCGCAGGGCTTCTTGAGCATAAGTAAAGGCAGCATCCATAAACTGATTGCCGATCGAAGGGGTGCACATCACAGACAAGGCAACTCGACCCCCTTCATCCTCCTCCCAGGCTGGCGGAAGATTTTGGGATTTCTGTGAAATCACAAAAAAAGTACACTTTAAATAAACGTTAACATCTAATAAACAATGTCAAATTTACAATTTCAATCTTTTCTACTCACCAACAGAAGTTACCAAATCAATTACTCAATAAGTCTCCAAATTTCACCAGCAATACACGAATTAATACTGAATTTTCGAAATTACAATCATTCCTTCGAGGCTCTGCTGACGGTCAAACTCTGACCACAACCACATTGATTTATTCAATTCTTTTTCAAAAAAAAGTACAACCCTGTCTCCTCCCTAAAAAAATCTGTATTTTGAACCTAAAAATTTGAGCTGCCCAAAAGAAACATACCTAAAACGGACCTTTACTAATAACTTGTCTCCTTACTTGGTAATAACTAATTGGTAATAGGATTTTGTCACAAAAATCGTGATCAGATCAGATCAATGCAATGTGTCGAGTCCTGTTAGGAATCAGCAGCAGAGAGCAGAATTGCATTGCAATCTGGGTTAAATTATGCTGGGGGAAAGCTAGGCTGGCAGCAGCAGAGAGGGCGAGGAGGCGATTTCTTATAGCTCTCGGCCAACTCGACGAGCAAATATTTATGTGGCTTCATCATAATACAAGAGATGATGATGACTCGTATTATGGTTTGTATTTTATAATTGAAGCCTTTCCTTCATAACAAATGCGTACAAAAAGGAGTCTAAGTTAGAAATACAAACCATAGTTGGATCAGAATTTTAGTAGTATTTGAGACGGAATCAGGATGGGGCGAGCTATAAGAATCTCACTCGCATCTCTACAACCAATTTTTTGATAAATTTTGTAGTTTAATAATACTGATGAATTTTTTAGAGTTGTATCTTCTGCGGTCCACCACGAACAGAAATGTCTGTCTTTTTTACGTCATAAATTTTATTGAAGCGTGAGAATTTTAGTCGGCAAACTCCAGTCTTTCATGATTAATAAATTGGTTGGATTTTACCAACTCGAGTTTTTTTAGCATGCACGTAAATAATTGGCAGGGAGGGCAAGGTATACGCTATTACTGATGCAAGTATCAGAACATTTGTTGAAGCTATTGACATCAGTGGCGGTGGAAATGTGGGGACAATGTTCCCACGGTTGTTCATCATCTTAATAAATCGCCTATCCTACAATTTTAATGTCCCCACTGCTTCCGCGGCCGATTGACATAACAAAGTTTCCCACCTGACCTACATGTAACCTGGAAGAATATGGGACGCATTTTTCCGAAGGTTACGAGTCTGTGAGATATTACTCTCTTGGTTTAAAATGTTTAAACATGAACAGTTGTTCATCTCAAAGCGAATTGTTGTGGAGAAATAAGAAATCCGTTATTATGGTGTGGATTCCGAATTCATATTCCAGTCAAGAAAGGTGTGTAACATACTTACAAATGAGGTTCATGGTTGTACTTTGAAGTCCTTATGGATAGGTCCTCATTCCTTGGCCCTGATTTGAGGTTCATTTTATGTCCCTGCGAAGGTATAAATGTGCGAAGGATGTAAATGTAACGGGAAAAGGTGCCTTGCAACAACAACATCTTTACAAAACCCTGGACAGTAAATAAGGGTCAGACCCTTAAGTAAATGGTTGAGCATCATTTTTCTTAATCTTTCTGTTCGACCAGCCTACACAGAATCTCGAGTTGCCTCTTTTTGAAACATAATACGTACTCACTCAATCAGTAGTTGGTTGGAAGAGTTTATCTCACGTTCAATGTCACGTATCCCTAAATATTTTATTACTGCGTCTTGTCAAGAAAATATATGCATGGCGATAAAACATATTTGCATATGCTCTATTCAATCCGATTTAATTACACACGCTCTAAATTAATGCCCATCCAGCCGGGACGACGACATGACACGGGTTGCTGCGTAAGTAATGGAGAAATGTAACCTGAGACACTTTTTTATGTGTAAAAATCCGATCAGATAGCAATTTATAGATGGTTGGTGATTATGGCGAGATGATTTTCGGTTAGTGTGGGACATATTGTAGGAATCGTTCATCTCTTATTTTTAGTTTAGTACGCCTCATATTTATTATGTATAGTGTGCCTTCTTTCTAAATGGTATACTATTTCAGTTTCAATGGAATTGTTTGTTTTGACATAAATATCTTGGGGTGGATTTAGTCATGAGTTGTAAAAATGAAATCAAGGACTGTGAACCTGGTTGTTTAAACCATTTCGATAAGGCATATTTCTAATCAGAACAATAATACTGTAGACAAATCAGTTTGTGTGGGGTGGGTGGTCAAGATGACGACGTTATCAAGTAGTGAGACTTAATGCGTGGAAATGTCCCATTTATTTTGCTTTGATCCCCTTTGTTATTTACATACGTGCTTCATTCACGAAAAATGAAGGAAATCGGTCGGGATTCTTTCTTACTAATCTCGTATCATCGAGAATGAGTCATCCAGACTTTGGAACTTGGTTGTCATCATCTAGACTATTTTGATAAAGTAAAAATCCTATCTTTATATGGCAGTGGTTTCGACGTGGTACATATTTTTGTTCAGTTCAACTTGTTTTCATCCATTATCTTATGACCAGACAATAATAAGTAGTGTAGTAAATAATATATGCACGATAATCCATACAAAATTCGAACAACTAAATACAAAGTTAAACACTTTAAAATATAAACAAGGATCCCAACATAAAGAAAATCGGATGATTGATTTGATGCCTTATTTTATTTAAATCAAAATGTAGAGTCAGTCACCCAGAGTAAAAAGTACAATACAAAAAGAACAAAAGTCGGAGCATGTACCACTTACTTACTGAAAAAAAAGACAACAAAGTTCAAGTTTACTCCCTCCTTGTCATTAAGTCATTCAGATTCATTACACGCGTTTTACTTCAGAGGGCAAGAAATAGTACGTGGTGCAGATGTTGACAATGCACTAAAGAATGGTGATAAATAATGGTCCAAACTGAATCTCGAGTCAGAGAATAAGTAGGATACACACACGCTCATCTCACAAATAAATTGCGAAGGAGTCAGTTTTTTTCAGATTTATATTCAGTCAGACAGCTCTTATTTACTTTGTACTATTATAATAAATAACATGGGTTGTTATGTGGTACTCGAACTTATGTACTTCTTGTCGGTTAGTTCTCATGCATCATGCCATTTAAAATCTCAACCAGACTCAAAAAGTCTCATAATTACGATGACTGTAATTTAATTCCTGGTCGTAATTATGACGGGTAGAGCGACTAATTACCACGAGACATGACAAGACATCATCATTATTATCCATCAAAGATATAATATTGCACGGTTTTAAGTTTAAGTTTTACAAGAATTACTGGACTGGACCAAACCATCGAATACTTATCATTGCACAATATTTGCTATAAACATGCATCCACACAACTTTGCATACAAGGCTTAATCGCGAATCAAATCGTCAATCCCAACTGTCCATACTTTTTTTATTCATGGTTGACCTGGATGAATTCACTTCTAATTGGCGTGACTTCACCCACGCCAAAAGTCACTGCTCGTTCGTGTTCGTATTCGTACCACTCCTCGTAAGTACGTCAACGTCAACTAAAACAACCACTAACTAACCAACAGTATTATTATATACTGAGTTTAGATTTTACAAAGATGATGATGATGGTTATGCTATTTTGTGGTGGTGGTGATGATGACCATGCAGAAAAACAAAGTGAGACAGCTCAGCAACATTATAATTCCGTTATTAGAAGATATGGTGACATAACAGAACAGAAGCCCATATCCGTCCTGAGAACATCTCGCACGTACTAAAAGACAAGAAAGAAATGAAATAATAAAGACTTGATCCAACCAAATATTTAGCTACTATATAAAACTTCTTATTAAAATGTGATCAAGTGTGTCTGACTGATTCATATTCTGGCAATAATACTAAACGCCTCTGAATCATCACGTCAGAAAGATATCGTCATCACCATTCTCACTCATTCATGGCTGGTGGTTGTGCCATTACATTACTTACTTGTATACATTTCACAGTGCATTTATAATAGTAGGTTGGCTTTGATAATACAATTCTCTAGTTCCAATTCCTCTATCACTTAATGCTGCTCTTGCTGCTATTTACTTTTACATACATGCACGGTTATTCCATCCCCTTCACCCATCCACAAAGGCATTACATTTTGTGGACTTGGTTAAAGCTCTTATTTTATTCGTTACTCACTCGCAGCAGTGAGAAAAGCGTGTAAAAGTCCGTTTAAGAAGAAGTAAAATTGCAGCAGCAAATTGTGAGCAGGAAAACAAATCTGTGCAACTTTAACGTCCTCATATATGTTGTTGCCCTGTTTTTTAAAGGAATATTCTGTTCTTGTTCTTGTCTCCGTCCTGTTCTCGACGTATTAGGATTTTTTCGATGGACACGACTTTTATCACCAGAATGTAAACGGAGAACGAGAGATGAACTGAAATACAGGACAGTTTGTAGTATTTATTTATTATTAATGTCCACCAGTTGTCCTGTCATTTAATTTAATTGTGGTGGGTGTAAAGAATATTGTGAAAAGTACAACGGGCTGGAGGGATAAGCCATATCGTATATTATTTAGTGATCCAATATAACTTTGGATGAGGGAAAAGTGTGATATTATTTTATCAATGTGTTTTACTTTACTAAGGAAGAAATTGTGTAGTTAAATTTGAAGTGAGGAAGCCATAATTTAACTAATAAGCTGGGATTGGGACTGAATTGTGATTAAATACGTTTTTGCAATTATTTTTGCCAATGTACGTGCCCTCGGTTAAGGAAGAATTCCGTAGGCTGGATATGATATGCGAATAACGGATCTGCGTAAAAGTGCCATCAATAACAGCTCAAGTTGGATTTTTTAAAAGAAAAGTTTAACCAAACGATCTTGATTTTGCTATTTTTACTTGGTTTAAGAACGTAATTGAACTGGGCTCAAACTGAAAAAGTGAATATTGAATATTGTTCAAAGTATTATTAAAGAAAAGTGGATACCAGAGAGAGGAGGACTATTACGAATTATCGGTAATTTACTTTAGATTTCTAAAAATTTTTGCACCATTAAGAAATAGAAACACTAATTCTGGCATTTTCTGTGGACGAAAAAAATATTACAATTCAGCATGTTAGACTCGTTTTTATAAATATTATATTATACGCATCAAATTGATATCACATCTTCTTGGGATTCACATTCATATTCATTCCAATAACATTTAAGATATGCTCACACTATTTTTAACAACAGACGAAACAAAATGAATTTTTTCCTAAGATTAAGATGCATCCAAAAAACTAAAAAAAACATTGACACATTTTCAACATGACTGAACAATGCAATTTGTCATCCATTCCTCCGTCGTCAGTGATTAGTGGCAGTTTATTTTGGGAAGTAAATTGTGCTCATAAGGCATAACTTTCTTTCAGGGACTAATCGGCTGTAAAATTACTGTTTGTTTCTTTTATTAACTGCATATTTCATTGTTGTAGCAGCTCAGAATGTTCTTAAAGTAAATTACAGGGTCACAGAAAGTGTAATGCAAAATGTGATCGAATTTAACTATTTGTCTGGAAATCAATTTAGTGAAAAGGTGCTGGAATCAGCATAAAATTCGTACAGGAAGATCAGAATTTTTGCTTATATGTAGGTACGTACATAATTCTAGGAAATAGAATTTTTATGAGCTTGTGTGAATCCTGGATGGAAAAGTCTCACATTTTATATTGTGAATTTATGACCCAAATTGGCAAAATTATTCATTAACCAACTTGTAAAACTTTAAATAAATAGTTTATGATACACAAGAGTTTCAAAAAATAGTATCTTGGAGCACATCCGGTTCTTTCGTAAATCATATAAATTAGTGTCTTAATTGTGTGTTTGGAATCTCCTAAAATTGAAAATTCTGCAGTTTTGAAAAATGTAGCTGTTGCCAAAAGATAATGATTATGGGACAATTTTTCCAACTATGTAAGCAATCTAAGAATTAATTACATTAAAGTAATATTTAGTCAACGGTGTTAAAAAAAACTTTTCGTAACAATCTTTAACAATTTCCTCCTCCTCCGCAAGCAATCACCGACATCTGGCTATGCAGGAGAGGGCATAAACCCAAATATAAACATTTACACTGCAATATCCGCAAATATAGAAGAAATTGGCATGTTGCTAAATAAAAACTAACTTTGCCACACGACACAAAATGCTAAACGCAATGTGAACAACCGAACAGGGCTTCCGGTCTAGTGACGAAGCGTGAATCATGTCCACAAACTATGTAAAATAATAAAAACAGCTTGTTTCGACTTAGGAGTAGTAGTAAGTATGCGCATATGCATACGAAAACTAAAAAGCTTGCCAAAAATTGCGAATGTATTTATTTACATTTTGGTACCATATGCATATTAGAGAAAGAATTTGCACACATCAAAGTTTAGAAACCATGAAAGTGAGGGGTGAGGGGTTAAAAAGCTGCAAAGACGTAAAAAAACAGAGTTTTGCAAATTTAGACAACATCTTGTTATTTTTTACCCTTTTTCAGCCGGATAAAGCCTTTCATTTCGACAAATTCTCATCCGGCAAATAGATACGTTTGTGGAATAGTGGTCGCCGTCGTCACGAAATGCCAACATCCTAAAAGACAAAAAAATAGAACAAAAGTCGGAAATCAAGATGCATTTCAACCCCACCCACTTTTCTGTCGTGGTGGTAATCCTCGCCATCCACCTCATCACCACCACCTCCACCACCACGGTCGTCAAAGGACAGCCAAAACTGTGTTCAACAAGTACCAAGTGAGTACAACGATCGATTAAAGTCGTACAAGATGAAGAATCGAAATGTATTTATTTTATATGGTCAATTCCAGGTACAACATGACGGTGACGACGTCAGAACAGAAGCCAGTCCGGGTACAAAAGTTTGATTGGTGTTTCAGTTTGCAGTTCAAATGCAGCAAATATGTCACGGAGATACGGACAATTACAAAGAATGAGGTAAAAGTTTGCAATCAAAATTCCACCAATTCCCATGTAACTTAATGTTCTTGTCCTATTTTAGACGATACAAAAGACCAGACAAGAGTCAGTCTGCTGTCCAGGATATCAGGTCGGGAAGGACGACAAATGTTACCCGAGCTGTCAGCAAGAATGTGTCCACGGCGTGTGTACTGCGCCCAACAAGTGCGAGTGCGAGGACGACTATGGTGGCCTTGATTGCAGTTTGAGTAAGAGATATATTTCGGATTAATTTATTTATGCACCACAAGCGCCTATGTAAATTATTGGAGAATAATCCATTCATCCAGGTGCATGCACCTGTTGCTAATCCACATTTTTTCTTTATTAATAGAATGTCCTCCTCAGACATGGGGAAACCATTGTGAGAACAAATGTCAGTGTGATCATGGCTCAAAGTGTGATGTGCAGACGGGTAAGAACTAAGTCACCAGAAGTCAAAAATAATAATATTGGATTGAAATCTGCTGCTGCAAGTATTAAATTAATACATTTTTTGCAGGGATTTGTGCTTGCGAACCAGGATGGAAGGGAGAGCATTGTGATATGCCATGTCCTGCAGATTTCTACGGTCCAGAATGCAAGGAGCAATGTCGCTGTATGCATGGCGGATCATGTGACCCGGTCAGTGGAAAATGTAATTGCACCTCTGGATGGAAAGGACCACTGTACGAACTAGGAATACTTATTACATTATTTTATATATTGGATTTCGAGTGACAAATATGTGGATTTTTGCCAGATGTGAAATTCCTTGTCCTCCTGGAACACACGGAAAGGAATGCTCTAGCAATTGCAAGTGTCAGAATAATGGCACGTGTGAAAGTAGAACGGGACAATGTTACTGCAAAAAGGGATGGAGGGTGGGTTAAGCAAAATACATTTATTTGCACAAGCCATATTACTGACACTGCATGTGCATATGTAAAATGAGGGTACTTTTTATCGTAAACAGGGCGATGTGTGCGCTAGTCCGTGTCAAAATGGAAAGTATGGTCTTCAATGCAAGGAGAACTGCGAGTGTTACAATGGCGCATTGTGTGACCACATTACTGGAAAGTGTACTTGCACGCCAGGATATCAGGGAGAATTTGTAAGTTGTTCTCTGGATAACAGTATTTACACATATAAATAAATATCAATTGTTAAAAATACAAATTTCAGTGTCAAACGGAATGTCCTTCAAACACATGGGGGACCAATTGCTCGTTTACGTGCACCTGTAAAAATGATGGTCAGTGTAGCAATGTAAATGGATCCTGCTCTTGTCCTCCGGGATGGACGGGAAAAAACTGCGAGGAAGGATCATGTCCAGCAAGCACGTACGGACCTGGTTGTCAGTGTCGATGCAACTGTAACCAGACGAATACGTTAGCGTAAGTAACAACATTTTTATAGTAGAAGACCAAGGTTTATAAAGTTAATAATTTGAAACGCTTCTTGTTGTTTAGGTGTCACTCCAATGATGGACGATGTAAGTCTATAAATTTATACTTAAATTAATTTATACATGTTGCAGATGATGACAATATGCACATATTTATATAAAAAATTGAAATATATTAATGCATAATTTATTATAATAGGCATTTGTAAAGCTGGATGGAAAGGGATTGATTGTTCGAGACCCTGTTCACTAAACACGTGGGGGCTAGAATGTAGCAAAACTTGCGATTGTCAAAATGGTGCATTCTGTGACCCTGTGAATGGGAAATGTACATGTACTTCCGGTATGCATACACATGCTTTACTTCTATATATTTAATACAGTATATCATTTAATTTATGAGTAAAATGTAACTAATTATAGGATTCATTGGACAATATTGCGAAAATTCTTGTCCCGATGGGAAATACGGGATTGATTGTGAACATGACTGTAAATGTTACAAGGCGACACATTGTGATGCAACTAACGGTAGGCGCTGGATTCACTTGGCTTATTTAATTTAGCCTCGATACATATTTATTGTTTAAAATTTAATCATTTAACTTATTTTTTCGTATAGGGAAATGTAATTGCGAACCGGGTAAATAAATAAATTACAACATTCATGCGTTAGATATTTAACACATGGTGAATATTATTCACTTCTGAAAAACTATGAACTAATTATGAATCATTCTTGTAATTTTATTAGGGTGGCACGGACTTTATTGCGACAAACAATGCACGGCAGGTCTCTGGGGTCCGGGATGTATTAACAAGTGCGAATGTAAAAATGATGGGGTTTGTGACCCACAAAATGGAAAATGCTCCTGCCGCCCAGGCACTCACGGAACAAATTGTGAGAGGACCTGTTCTGCAATGCAATTTGGTTTAGACTGTCAACAAAACTGTTCTTGCGTTCGGGAAAATACTTTAAAATGTGACGCTACCAATGGAACCTGCAACTGCAAAAGTTCTTGGAGTGGTAAGTTAAATATTTGAATTTTAATGCATGAATACAATAATTCAGCTACTAGCAAGAAGTACGTCATTGTTTGATTAGGTGCCGAGTGCGACACCACTTGCGAGCCGGAAACATGGGGCGAAAATTGTGATCAACCGTGTCGCTGTAATGGTGCCAGTTGTGAGCCGACAACTGGAACGTGTCACTGTCCGTTGGGGAAGACAGGAAATAATTGCGAACAAACCTGTCCTCCTGGGTCATTTGGATTAAATTGCGCTCAAAAATGTCCCGACTGCAAACATGGGACAACTTGTGACGTTTTCTCAGGCCAATGTGTATGTGACGACTATTACACGGGGTGGTTTTGCTCGTCTCCCTGCCCCAAAGATATGTTTGGACCCAAGTGTAGAAGTAGGTGCAACTGCCGAAATGATGGTGACTGTAATCCCATTTCAGGTATGTTCTAAGAAATTAACGATTAATTGTGATTTTCTTAATGTCTATGTATGTGCATCTATTTACTTATTATAGGTGTTTGCCGATGTTTGCCGGGTTGGACAGGCGAAGATTGTTCCAAACCTTGCCCTCCTGGAAAATATGGTTTCAATTGTACTCAATCCTGCCAGTGTGCTAATGGTGAAAAATGTCGAGCGCATGATGGTCATTGTCACTGCAAGCCGGGATCAATGGGTCCACGTTGTGAAGAAAGTGAGTTTTCTGTCTGAATGTATACTTAAGATAATTGATGCTCTTGAATGAATGAACGCTTTATTATACTGGCTTATTAGTACAAGAAATACAAAATTTTATGCTTAACACTAGAGAAGGAGGCTCTAAATTAAACATTTTAACAAATTAAAGTAACTTACTTGCCTAGTTTCGTCAGTTTACATCCTCTCTAAGCCAATACTTCTACCAACAAATTAATAATTTAATAATTTAATTTAATAATGCTCTTGGTTAAATGCACTATCATCAATTCTGCGATTTTATCAGGTTGTCCCGAAGGGTACTACGGCGAACATTGCGTTCATACCTGTCTGTGTGAGAAGGGTCAAGTATGCGATCCTGTTATTGGATGCAACATTCTAGGTTCTCATCAAGGTAAGTAGGAGACTGTAATTAATTATTACGCTACAACCTGAGGGAACCCCATCTTGAAACTCTTTACAGAATTCACCAATGAAATCCTCTCCCATCACGGGATGGACATTACGTGCTACAAGGCATCCGGATCTTCACTTCCCGACACGATTCACATGCGTAATTAGTGTTCCACTATACCTATACTAACTAACTCGTTAACATATATATATATTTATGTATATGTATATGTACTACATTGTTTGTTGCTGGTCTGTTGTAGCTATAATTGCAAATATTCTATTTTATTGCGCAGCTAAACAATCGGAGGAGGGTCACATGGGGAATATACTAATTATAACAATGACTGTGCTAATACTGCTCATAAGTGTGCTTGCCATTGTCGTTTACTATCGTCGCCGCATAGCCAAGCTTAAACATCACGAGCACAACGTGCATTATATGGCCAACCCTGACGACCCGCAAGGTAACCTTCTCCACCCAATCAGAGAACCATTTCCATTCATTCCAAGTAGGTGTATATATTCACAGAGACAGACATGTTAATTTTTATAGGAAACCGACACCACTTCGATAACCCCGTCTATTCTTATCAAGGTGTTCCTCGGATGTCTGACCAGGCCGGAGTGCCACTAAATAATGGCCAGATTAATAACTTGAATGGGTTGACTGCAAAGAAAAAGCCGCAAAATTGGAACTATTATCCCAGCGAGGATGACGATTTTTCTAATCAAGGTAATAAATAGATGTGAATTTATATGTGATTCTTTGTTAACGGTATTGGGTTTACTGCATATGTTGTATAGTATTTTATGCAATATATTGACTGCATATTGTGTAAACTAAATATTTACATATGTATTGACATTGCTTTATTTCCTTTTTCTTGCCCTCTTCAGCTTTCGCCGACTGGTATTATGGCAAAGGAGGTACCTTATCTATGTATCTATCTGTATACACTAACTCACTCACCCGTCTTTGGTTTTTCTATTGAGCCTAAAAATATATACAACTTAAATTGTTGCTTATCCTTAAATTAATCTACTCCCACTCCTTTTATAACGCAGATCATAGTACCAACAAACAAATAATGTGACTTTATTTAATCACAAAATATTCTGATTATGCATAGGAGCGAGCAGTTCTTACGACCATCCTGCTGCACTCGCTGCCAAGAATCGAGAAGCAGATTTAACCAACCCAAATTTGGTCGCAAATAATATCTACCACAGCATTGAGGATTTAAACAGACCTGATAATGAGCACCTCTACGATGAGATTAATCAACAAAAGGCAAATAATCTACTGGGTACGGTTACTATTCAGTTCAATATCCAACACTTTACTTAATTGTTGCTACTTGATTAATTTTTTAAAATATATTTTTAACGTATAGCTGAGGAGGAGTACGACCACCTCGACCACACGCGAGCCAATTCTGTCCCAAATCCAAACTATACCCGAATGCAAACCATTCCGCGGAGTGATCGCAGTATTCGGAGTATCGCATCCACAATTAGTTCCAACACCAACGTTCCTAACATCCCAACCCCGAATGGAATTATTGGAGGTCATGGAGGAGCGTCATCATCCATTTTGCATGATAGCAACAATATCAATAGTGATACAATACGATCGAAAGATCACAATCAGAAATTAGCTTTATTCAGTAGTTCAGAAGAGAATGACGACTAAACTATTTATGCATAGCAAAACACAAGTTATTACATGCTAACAAGCTTCATCACTCACCTTCTCAAACTTTGGATAATCAATCACACAATGACCTTCTTCCACTTCCTCGTCTTCGTTTTCGACTCGTGTAATGTGTATTTAATGTTCTACATTATATCGTATTAATTGTAAAAAGTCTTCGCCTAAAAAACTAATACCTCGAGTCAATACAAATAGTTGCACACAAAAGAGAATAATATTAATCGGAGCGTTGTCTAGTTTTAACTTAATTTATAAATCCCTACAATAACTGGAAAAAGTGATTAACTTTAACTATTTCAACATTTAAATCAGTTTGACGACATAAGTGAACGAACAAGCGTATTAAGAAACTTCTAATCGTGTCCGCCCCACGAATCAAGCAAGTCAACCTACATACTTTTAATATACACTAGTAATAGCTATAATAATATAATGATACAGTTTTACCAAAACACATCGAAAATACTTAAACTACATAACTGCTCATCCAACAACAGCAACAACATTTCGTACAATATATATGAAAACGTCCTTCAAGAAAGAAAATTAAGAAATTGAATTATGAAGAGAAGAATAGTTCATTGACTGACTTATTAATGGACACGACTGAGATGAAAAATGTTTCATGAAAATCAACAACTTTTACTTTTTACTTTGTAACATTTTTATTATGTAATACCGTATTTTTATTTTTTGCTTGAAACTCATGAACATGTCTCCAACTCCTAACAGCTCTTTTAACTTACGAGTTTTATTAGTCTCTCAACAATGAGTTTACATTCATAATTCTTTTTATATATGTAAATATTTTAGCTTATCCAGTTCCAAGATATACATGTTGTTTGTAATGCTATATGTGTAGACTGATCTCTTATTTTAATAACTCTTCGTGTTACTTACGTAAAATTTTAAACATTTTTCTCAAAATTTTGAACATGGAAGACTTTTTTAGAAAAACACAAAAAGGAAGGACTACTTTTAATTAAGCATGTAGTTTGAGTCAGTCAATCAAAAAGTGATGGTGAAAATACTGATTTTTTTAAGAGAATTTATTAATTACTCCCACAAGCTTTTTTGCGTATACTATATTATATTGCTATTTAAATGTCCATAATCTTTAGAGGACTAGAGAGTGCGTAGCCAGTGCCTAAATATAATTAATTAAATAATTTAAAAATTGATAATATAACCTAGCATTTTGTAAAGTATTATTATTCATAAGCTCGTTGCTGCTGCTGCTGAACGCGATGATATCTAGTTTACAAATATATAGCTTACAAAATCATGATGTCACTAATTATTCGTACCCTGTACTAGAATACAAAGACGAGATTTACTATCATCATTATCGGGATAAACATATCCAAAATGTATGAAATTCCATGAAATTAATCGCTTCCAACATATACAATTGTATATCCTCAAGCAATGACGGGAACTAATAAAAGCTTGAATAATTTATTCAGTATCTTATGAATTCTATAAACCCTCATCATTATTAAACTAAAATACAATTAGCATATTAGCTAGTCTGGAAATTTACATACATACTCTGATTTCCTGCATTCATCTTCAAAGTAGCACAGCACAGCACTGTTGATTCACAGCAATTTTTATCAGGGCAGCATTTTTCACTCATAAAGACACCTTTAAATTCACTATTTAAATTCTTCACTTTTCAACACATATTACGTGAAATCTTAAAGATTTCATTGTTGCTTAATGCTTTGTGTGAGCGACCATTTTGTGAGTCTCAAATTGTAAGCGGCACCATCATCATCATCACCATCGTTCATTTTGTTTTGGTGGTAGATTTTCGTGTGCACTTCACTGTCTCGAATTTTGACTCGAAATTTCGAGTGAATTCAGAATTTGTGAGAGAAGAATGTCGACACAAACGACCACACCCCCTGGCACGACGAACCCAACCGCCACCACCTCCACACCACCACCCGCCGTCAAGGTGAGATAATAACAAATAAATACGCAGGGTTAAAAGAAACACGTTATTTTATACCGCAAATGTTACAATGAATTAGCGAATGAACTCGCATGTTTGTAAATAATTGGCTAGTTTATTTACAATTACAGTGCTTATTAATATTAACTATTTTGATTACGATTGTCCTAACTGTGAACTGGTTTTATTAGGTTCTCACAAGGAAGGGTTTGCAAGAGTTGGTGAAGAATGTGGACCCCAATGAACAATTGGACGAGGACGTGGAAGACCTCCTTCTCAGTTATGCGGACGAATATATGGAGAGCGTCATGGAGGGTGCGGCCGTTTTAGCGTCACACCGAAAGTCAAATGTGGTCGAGATTAAAGACATTCATACGCATTTAGGTCAGTTTATTTATTGGTTTTTGATATTCGGTTTAAGAGCCATGAGTAATAATTAATTTTAAATTTGCTTGGGTACAGAACGAACCGGACAAGGCTGGATACCTGGGTTTGGTTCGGATGAACTCAAACCTTATAAACGAGTCCCCGTCATGGAGGCTCACAAGCAGAGGGTGGCGTTGATCAAAAAGTCATTAAAGAAATATTGAAGGGATCAAGATTGATGTGCAAGTCGAAGGTGTCCTCCTGATAGCAGATTTTATTTCACCCATGTGATTTCATTTTTATATACTCGTAGGTTTTGCATAAGCGACCTTAAATCAGTTAATTGTACAGGAGAATTGTCCATTTTCGTGTTTTTGGCTCATATTTATGGCGATATACCTGATCTTCTTTAAATTTTTACCATTAGACCTCAATTTAATGTATAGACGACAATGGACTCATTTAATTCCATAGTGTAATAATATTAATATATAGTTTTAATGTATTAAAGATTGATACGTGTGTTTCTTAGTATTGTTACGATTAAAGATATCAGTGAATACGTTAATGAAATGATACACATCACACCATGAATAAATATAATCATTTCAAAGAATAATAATGTTTTAATGGGTGTACATATTCATTTCATTCATCAGTTCTCATTTCCAATAATAACTAATAAATTTTTTGGTAGAATTTTGTAATCAGCACTAATAATGGGCGTATTCATTAGAAGTACTGACTGAAAAATCCAGTCATCATTATTCATCACACATCTCTTAACTTGAGTACATCGAGTTGGATTAGTAGCATCCTCAGCGGTGTGAAGTTGACTGCTGACTGCTGGTTCACATTTCACGGTGCAACCCTCCCTTCGTGAATCGAAATAAACAAAACATAAAGTTTACGATGTCAAGAACAAGAATGAACTTATCGTGGAGAATCGCGGTTATCATATTGTTTTTTATTGTATTCACGAGTTTAACGGTCAGAGGTTCAAGAGTGACTGAGAAAGCGTTTGACTCCTTGCCGACTGAAATTGACGATAAGGTTCAGGACACGTTGGATGAAATCATTCAAGACTTGGAAGATAAGTATGGAACGTTCGACCCGGCAGATTTTTGGCACTCGTACGTTTTCGGCACTGGGAATCAGAACAGAGAAAGTGAGTTGTTTGTTGATGAAGATTAGTGAAATGTGAAATTGTAAATTGTCCCTTTTATTTGTGTAATTTATCTGTTTTAAATATTTCTAGTATTGCACGTACGAAATGTGGAACAGGTTGAGGTTGAGGGGGACTATATTCAATGGAAATACGCCAGATTGGGACTGAAACATTATCTGATTGGACTGAAACAAAGACAGATAACTGTTCGAGGATTAGATTTTCAACCAGTTGATTCAATGGGTAGGTGTAAATCAGTTTAATTATTTTTACCTTGCGTATAAGCGATTTAAAAAGAATGGATCACTAACGAAGTGCTGTAATTGTTTTTTACCTTGCAGATGTGGCACAAGATTTGGACGCTATTACTGTTTTTACGAAATGGAACGAGGCTAAAAACCATGCAGAAATGGTTATCCTCACAGTATCTTCAGAACCACGACTGTATCTTCATTTATTTGAGAATGATAACATCATATCGATAACATCGTTTCCGTTGCATTATCCCGTCAAGGCGATTGAGTTTTGTCATGTTGGACATTCATCAAAAGTTGTTTTAATCCCAAAGGATGCCAAAACAGATATTGACATTTACAATGTTGAAGTTCACAATAGTACACAAGTTTGGTAAGAATCTGAAAAAAGCAATTAATAAAATGTTGCAATGCTCAAGTTAATTAATTTGTAATAGGTTTTTCCAACGGATATCTGCTAGAGATGACAACACCAACGTCGTGGTTTATGATTCCGACATGTTAGAATCAGTTATCGCCGTATCGGGCGGAACTCATCTGTTTATTCACACCTTTGACCCCAAAGCTGGAATGTTTGCCGTTTCACAAGACGTTTCCTTACCGAACGCATGTAGTACCTTGTTTTCATTCACCGTCGCATATCAACATTACATTGGATGTGTTCCCTTGGATCCTGACCTCACCGTTAGATTTGTGTCTTTCAATTATAATTCAAACGAGTACGTTTTGGAGGATGAGGATAACAATTTCAAGGACACCAAGACTACCAGTGTGTACCCCGTCGCAGTACCTGACTACACTGACCAGTATTTCATTCTGATTCGGAATGTGGATGGCGATACGCGAATTATGGTTTACCATGGACGAGAGGCTGGATTTGAAATGGAGTATAATTGTACTAACAGTAGTAAGTCTGCGTAATAATCATTTCATTTTTTATTTTGTTGATTATGAACATATATTAATTTATACATTTTCAGCATGCCCAAGTGTCTCGGATCTTTCCAAAGGAGTCGGGTTTCGAAACAGGGACTACTCTGCATTTATCTTTCCGAGTGGAGATCAAGGAGGGAATTCCATCGTGTGGCTGATCACTAAAGAAATTCTGGATACTCGATCTCCTTTGTTGGACGAATCCCGTCAGCTTTACAACAATTATAATGAACTCTCCAAACGATTCCAAATGTAATATATAAACTAAGATTCATATTAATTATAACAAAAATCCATAATTCAAATTGCATATGCTAGATGGGAACAGGCTATCGCTGGAATTGGAAAAGTACTCAACAGCAGTATCAAAGTTGATCAGCCCAACGTTGTAACAGGGTCGTGGGATGTGGACAGAATAAACGCCACGAATTTATTAGGAGACGGCAAGAAATCTCAACTGGGGGCAGTGAAAAATCTTCAATTCGTCGGATCTCCATGGACTGATGAAGATTTCGAAACAGACATGAAGCAAATTTATGATGAACTTAATTATCTGCGGAGAAACGTATCTATTGCACAGTCCGAATTAGCATATGCCATCATGGCCGACAACGGCACTGTCCAACATGTCACGGCAGCTCAACAAGTCACAGGAAAATTTAACACCCAAACTCTTACAACTCAAAAAATTGTTACTGCAAGTTTGCGTGGAGACATTGAACCAGCCGAATTTTTAAATTCCTTTGTCTTAAAATCTAACGATGTTCGTGTTTCTGGGGGATTAGTTTTTCTTAATCCGGTCAAGGTTTCAACTTTGAACGCGTCTACAATTAATGGTGTTCCTGTCTCACATATTGCTCGATATTCTCAAGACAACGTTTTCGAGTGTCCGGTCCAATTTACGAATGGGATTCATGCAAATGGAAATGTTTTATCCCCAACAATTAATGGAGTTTCAGTTCCAGATGAATTGATGCTAGTTTCAAGTATTTCTGGTACGAGGACAATTGAACTAACCTAAAAATACCTTCCTATTAGTTTTGATTAGTAAATTTTGCATCAATGACTAATTTTTGGCAATTATTGTTTTTTAGGAGTGAACTTTATCGACGGTTTTGTAATCTCGAACAACACCAATTCCAAAGGGGAGTACAGCGTTGAGAAAGTCTTGCTAAAATCGACAAGTCAAATCGTAGAGTCTCAAATTCACTTTGACCACCTCGTCATAACTTCACCATTGAATGTGACAAATATCGACAACTATGATGTCAATAGCTTTCTCTCATCAGTCGTTACGAGTGATTATTCAGGGTTGATAGCCGGCAAGAAATCTGTGATAGACTCGGTTCATGCAAAATCTCTAAATATTGGCTCGACTTGGAATAATGTCTCGTTTCCGAATGGCTTTGTTCGCAATAATCAAAACCGAGTCGTCCTCAATTTGCCAACAAGTCTCAACTTTCTCACTGTCAAAAAGGTTGATCTTTAACTGCAATAAGCTGATTGAAATTATATTTGTAATCGTGATACATTTTTTGCTTAGGTAATTTTGGGAGGAACCATCAATAACGTTAACATCAACGATTTAGTGACTCGGAATACCAGACAAGATTTATCCACCAGTTGGACGTTCATCGGCCCAGTCACTGTAAACAGGGACATCGCTGTTTCAGGTCTTGTGGATGGCGTCGACATGCGCGAACTGGGAAACAAGGCCACTTTGAACGACTTGAAGGATGTTCACATCTATGCTGACGTCGTTTTCGAACGCGACATTATCGTGGACACACTGCAAGTGAAGAATGATGTGAATGGGAAAAATTTAGAGGATATATTTAACGATTTTCTACAATTTGTAAGTAGAAATGTATATATAATAATCTTTACTATCCAACAAATTGAACTGGTTTGTATTGGTATGCATAATTATATAACAACGGTTATTTATTTCAGAATGGAACTAATTGTCATATCCCTGGAGTGACCACCGTGCTCTCCGACATAGTCCTTGACAGCGTACAAGTAGACGATGACAACATTAACGGTCAACCATTGTCCAAATTCCTCCTCGTCAATGGAAATCAAAACATCACAGAGGATATCACCATTTCAGAAGACAGCAACTTTGCCTCACTCACCGCCCTTAAAACTTACGACGGCGTGAGCTTGGCTACCCTCTTGGATGATGCGGTGCGACTCACAGGCACCAATAAAATTGGTTGGAAAGCTGAATTTGAACATATAATTTGTGGCGGTGAGGGCATGGTGATTGGAGGCACAATAAATGGCTTCTCTGACTTTGGCAGCAATGTTGCCGTTACGAGTGGGCGACCTTCGCAAAAGTTTATTAGCCCAATTGAGTTTGAAGCTGTCGATTTCAATTCCGCAGGTGATCCATTGATTATCTCAACCCGCAAATAATGACAAGATAATTAAAGTTTCGAATAATTTTTTTGTTTGATGCATAACAGTTATCGAGCGTGATTTCAATATTACGGATGGCCAGAAAGTTGGAACGCTGGACATTAGACAATGGTTTTCGAGAAGGTTGAGTCTGTCAGGACGAGAATTCATCACGTCACCCGTATTAATTGATGGATCAGTGACAGGGCTACACGACATTTACACTCCCACAATCAACAACGTCTCGGTAGAAACACTTTCTCATTCCGCTTTCCGTACAAACGTTTTGAATCAGACTTTCTCCAAACATGTCACGTTTCAAAATGGTCTCGAGGTCTCGTACGGAAATGTCGATTTTGACAGTACCGTCTCCGGCTACGATCTGAAACACATTCACGAAAATGCTTTCCCTCTCAATTCTAGAGAAGTCTTGGAACTGCATGGTCTATGGCACTTCGAGGTTTAATTGATATTTTGTTCATTAATGTTATTTAACGGAACTTGTTTTAAATTACAACTACATTGCAGAGTATCGTGGTGACTAACAAATTGGACGTGGAAGGAGAAACGTGTGGCGTAGACTTGAAAGAGTTAGCGTCCACTACGGTTAGAAAAGATGCTCTAGATATCCAAATCTCGTCGCCAACCAATTTCCGTGATGTGACAGTAGAGAAACTCCTGAAAGTTAGAAGTATCAACGGGAAGGATACTGAAGATCTCATGACCACGAATACAAATCAAACAATCGATTGTAACTTTGAGGCCAAGAAGAATGTCAAAGTTACCGGAAATCTTATTACGGACGGTCACATCAACGGTGTTTCGACAGAAGTACTTTCCAAAACGTATTCCCACGGACCTAACAATGTTCACACGATTTCCGCTGAAGAGTACAAATTCAACCACAATTTAACCATGGAGAAACTCATAGTTCGAGGAACAATTCAAGGGAAGGACTTTTCCAACACGGCCCACACCCAACATCTCATCAAAGTTAGCGATGCTGGTCTGAGATTCACCGGAGTCAAAACATTTACATCTCTCGTCACCATTGCAAAGGACTCCACAGTAACGTCCTACAACGGTTTGGCAGTTGAATCATTACAGTTTCAAACGCTAGACGACGACATTGTTGTCACGAGTCCGTGCATGTTTCATGGGAATGTGAATTCTAAAATCGTGCAATCAAACGATGGAGATATCATTGCAGAAATTGTAAATGGTTTTAAATGGGATGACATTCTGACTAACTCGATCCCACTTGGGGAGAATATTGACCCGCACCACTTGAGGTACCTGGTCTTTGACAGTGTCGTTGTGGGTGGCAACCTGACCACGAAAACATTTCAAGGTCACAGATTCGAAGATTTTATCCGGCTCGATTCTACGGATCAAAATCTAGGAGATGTTACGGTTCGCAAAATTAAAATTATAGGACCAAATGTTCAAGTGGGAGGATTGATTAATGGGGTGAAACTTGAGGATGAATTTGATCGGACGATAATGGTATGTCGCATATTTTCTGTTCCGTACATGTATTAATTTATAAAATTAATTTATATATGCGCAACAGGCTGGGGATGCGGACAAGTTTGAATTCACTGGGAACAAGACCTTCCTTGGAACTCTGACTGTAGAAGGAGACGTGACCTGCTTCGGACCCACCTTCCAAGACAACGTGATTGATATTACGCAACCATTCACCATTTCCAACTCTGTGGAGTTTGCTAACCCGATTGTTATAGAGAATGGTCTCAGTGTGTCACAGACCGTGCAAAATACGACCATAGACGAAATCATGGCTGATGCTCTCACCAACGGAGAAAGTGGAGAGGAACAAGTTATAAGTGGTGAATGGGAGTTCACCAATGGACTCACCTTCACCGCAGATGTCGTCGGACCTGGTGAACTGAAGAATTTCGATCTTCAGAGTCTCATCACAGAAACCGAGTACAAAGTAAGGGCTGCCGAAGAGAAAATCGAAAGTCAGAAACACACCTTCAGACAAGAATGTCAGGCCGTGCATGACATGACTTACGATCTTGTGTACAATCCGATGAAACTGGATGCATTTGATAAACATCAAACTATTCCTCTGACCCAACAGGTAATTAAGCGACATTTAATAAGTAATGATGTTTAAAAATGCTATGAATACTAAACGATTATTTCTTTCATTTTTTAAAATACACACAGGCCGAAAAAATGATAATTGTCCAGTCCTCTGGAAAATTGGTCATGTTGACAGCTCTTGGATGTGGAATTATCAGATATGACTGGAACAATAGAACAGAATTATTTCACCAAGATGTACTCGCTACTTTGGCCTACAATATGTCGAATTTCGGAAAAGTGAGAGATTGGCAGTCTACCATGCACGAGAGCGACGGACTCATGATTTTCACAACAGAACCATCTCCATGTTCTGGCCTGGCTAGAGGGCTGCATTACACTGTTATGGATGCTACTGGGACATTCTCCCCCGTCCACACCCTCGATCATGGACATATCAAAACTTTCCGCGTGATAAGCGACCTGACGAATCAACATACTGCAGTTTTTGCCATTAAAAATGACACCCTTGAAATATTTACGTGGAACAGCTACAACGGGAAATTCTTCCATGTATCAAAAAAGCTTGGGGTGACCCACCACGACGGGATGGACGTAGCACTACATCTCTCCGGAGTCTCAATTCTGCTCACTGCTCCGTCCGAAATCGCAATTTTACACTTTAACTGGAAACATCATGACTTGTCGTTTCTTGCCAAGACTAACTTTGACGCTAGCAACAAGAGTCCAATCCTCTTTGACAATTTTGGTTCGCTCTATGCTCTAGTTTTGGGAAAAAGTTCACCGTTCTCAACGTCTACGTTTTCTACAATTCAGGTAATTACGACGTTCTAACTAACTACACACACATATACAATGTCTCTTCTCTACTAAATATTCTTACTGTGAAACGGCTAATTTCTAACGACTTTGTTTTTGTCTAGCTGTTCAGTCTAGTTGAAGGTGGGCATCTTTCCAAGCTGCAACCACTCCCACTGGGTGACTCGTACCTCACGACGGCCATCACCTTTTCGCACCAAACCTTCCTCGCCATCCTGTCCAAAACGTTTGGGCTGAACATCTACAAGTTCGCAGCACTCGCTGGTCTCCAGCGTCTGAATGCAAATCCTATCAAAATTTTTAATGGTATCGCAATTGCTAATTTTGATGTGCAAGCCTGGGACTTTAGTGCACCCCGGCCCTTTATTGCTATCCTCACGAGAACGACGGTGGAAATATTTCACAGCAATGTGTACGGTGATTCATTAGATTATACATCTCAAAATATGTGTAGGATAAAATAATAGGTAAATAAATAATTAATTGTTGATTAGTGTGTTGTTGAGAGTACATATATACTCACTTTAAAGTACAATAAAAAGACAACGAACTGCAAAAATCGTTATGCTTAATTGAAGTTTACTTCTTTTTTTGTATAATAATGCACTTAATATTTTGAGCTATTTTTCATGTACTACTACTGATGACAAGATTAATCATATTTTGAGACAATAATAATAATACACGTTCACTTATTACAGCGCCATCACGTGAGGTTTCCATCAGCACCATCAGATATACAGTTTTCATACATTATAATTGTCTAAAATGTCATTCTCTCTGTCAATGTATTGATAACTCAGGGATTCTGGGAGTGTTGTAGTATGAGTTTGAACTAGTATGGAATCTGATTCTGGTAAAATTGTAGAATGTCATAAGTTTTTGTTCGAATCGACAAGAACGACTTGTTTATAACGTCAATCATAAACAAGGCGGCATCTCTTTCACTCTTTGTCGTTGAAAATCTTTCCCGTAGTAATTTAATAGTTTGTCCTCTAAAACATGGAAGCCCAGTATCAAGCATGAGAGTCACCAGCGAAATGACAGACTCGCAGTACGGTCTGAAATACAAAGTTAACATGTTTGTTTTTAATTAGTCACTATTTTTTAATGCGTTTTTTTCTGTGGTTGAAATGAGTTGGATTTTTACCTCACGGCCAAGAAGGCGTGCACACAGAGATGAACAAACCAACGGAATGGGGGTGCCTCCATTTTTCCACCCATAATCATCACCATCTCTTCCGTTAATTTAATATCAGGTTCAAATCCCAAATTTCCACCTGGTGAGCTCTCAAACATGAATCCGAAATCTGAGGAGGAGTAATCACACTTGATCAATATTAGTGTTAAGTGAACAATAAGTTGACATATAATATGCTTACCGATATGAATAAGATTCCCTTCTTGGTCCAACATGATGTTTCCATTGTGTCGATCCTTGATTTGGAGTAAGAAGCCGACCACGCTGTAGGCTGCCATAGACTTGATAAAATTCTTCCTTGCTTCTTGAAACCCTGGAGTTTCTTCATCTCCAAATTGCTTTTTGAAATAGTCGTACAACGTCACGTCCGTCTGACGTCCTAGCTGATCTCGAGATTTCGCATTGGGAACACATTCAATAACTCCACACTGCAAACAGATAATAAATTTTAATATAATATATTGATGCAAATGTGCATATTGTTTTTATATAGTCTTGAAATATGTAAGAGACTTACGCCGGGTGCAGTAGCAACAACCCGATACGGAAACAAGTATAAATCCAGGTTTACTTGTTGGAAGATATTTTTGAAAAGGGAGATCACTTGCAATGCTAGCATGTCTTGTCGGACGTCATCTCCAACTTTGAATATTGCAGCTTGCCAAACCTCAGGATGCATGCTTAGAGATTTTTGCCCTTCTTGACCAGAATTATGTCCTAGACCAGACGTTTCAACGAGAGCAATGCCCGTTCGACGAACTCTGAATCTTGCTAAGAAGGGGGCCTTAGCAGCACTAGTAATATAGGATTGTTATGTAAGTACATACTCTCATGACCTTTACGTATATTGATATCACCTTTGCATCGGAGTTCCACTTTTGGCATCAATATCTAAGACAAGTGCTTCTGGATTGGAGGGCAAATAGCAGCCTTGTTCAACTTCAATCTTGGCTAATTCTTCCAAACAAGCGTCCTTTCTCTCCGGTCCCTTGGGGTATTTTCTAATTTCTCCAGAAATTGCCGTAACTTTGTCAAAGAATGAAAATTCCTTTTCGTAAAATTCTTTCGCATTTCCAGATAAGGATGATACAATCGATGAGATAAGGGCTTCGAGGGTATCCGCAATGGCGGCTGTATAATAAATCACACGTTTTAATAAATATAATTAAATATAATTTTGTAAATTGTATGGTAATTATCAGACGTCGGATATGTATGTATTTATAACTTTTACAAACCAAACCAGATCGCACTAAAACTTCGTACACTAAAATCCCATGTAACCATGATCTCAAAAATTCAAACATAATCTCCAATATTTTGCATATTTTGGGGTTTTTGTACATAAACATATTTTCATACATATTTTGAAGCTTTTTTGTAGATATTAAATATTTTGCTATATATTTAGAGGTTTTTTAAAATATATAAATATTTTAATACATATTTCGAGATTTTTATATAGAAATATCTTTCTTCATTCATAATTGAACGTTCTCTCAAAATTGTGTTTGCATGATACTCTTGTTCAATTCGTGTGAACGAATGACAAATTCAGCTTGACCCATTTTATAAGTTCCCCAGGCCAAGAAAGAAATTACTCCAGAAAATCTCAAACTAGTGTCGCACTATAAGTCATTAAATGAAGATTAAAATGTAATGGTGATATAATTAATTTATAAAGGTGTTAAGATTTTGAATATTACTAAAAAGAACATAAATGCAGCAGGGAACGTCTTTTTAAAAATCATTTTTTATGAACATCTTTTGGATCCTTTTATAAGCATATGTTGGATTTGTGAGCATATATTGGACTTTTTTAAGTACATATTTAAGTTCATATCGTGAGGGATGTAAGTTTATATTATATCCGCCAAATACTGCATAGTAATAACAAAACCATTTAGGAGACGTACGATCTCGATTGTGGCCTTCTTCATCCAAAAATATATTGGTTTGCATGTTCCAAATCAGTTGGTGAGCTACGAGTTGTGACTTTTTCGCCAAAGTTTTCACGAGTTCCGCGGTATAGCCCATCTAAAACATCCATTCACCAATTATTCCACTCGTCATTTACTTTTATTGGGCAAATAATCGTTATCTTACGGTGTCATGACGCAAAGCTTGAACAAGTTGAGGAATATAGAACAACACTGCATCGGCCGGATACGTGTTTAAAGTTCGAACAGCATACTGCGCCGTCAAGGGATGAGGAGGAAACTGTCGGCTGAAGAATGCCAATGCTCTGATCGGAGTACAAGGCGCCCAGGTCAAGATACAGGAGAGCTGCGAGTAAAATAGCACACATGAAACATGGAATTATAAATACATGGAAAATTTGCATGCTGAATTGCACAGCATTTAATTTTAAACTGTGATGCTCGTTGCTGTTAGTGCATACCTCTGGAGCATCATTGAGGACCATGTCGGATGTGACGAGGTAGGTCAGCCCTTCTGGAATGTGCATAATAGTTTCAGGCCAGTATCTTGCTAACCGTGCAACTTCTTCTGAAACAACACTCTTCTCGGTTGACTTTAAGCGGCATGGAAGATGAATAGCGAGCAGTGGACTAATTTCCCAAGCCAGTCGGACCGATTCTCTCCACATCTTGTCAGATGACTTCATCAACCTCCACGTGTTGATGGTGGCTTCTCCCGAGAGGACTAGTTCAGTCGAGTTTAACGGATTATTCCACGTCATGAGGACATCGACCTGGGATAAATTAAGGAATAATTACAGTCCACGTTTATAGAATTGAGCCCAATATTTAATTATCATGAAATATTAATTGATATTCACCTCTTGTGCCAACAATTCTAAAATCAAATTCCGTTTACGAATGTACTCCTTGACGTTGTCCTTGTCAAAGTTATCTTTCCGCTTCTTAAACAATGGGAGAGGGTTGTCCTTGTGTCGGTACATCGTGTTTAGCCAGCCATCTCCGAACCGTATATCTCCGCCCGACATGGTTGTCCAGCTCTCTTTTTCCTGTAAAATTAAAAATATTGACGATTTATGGAGCTATAAAAACATTGAAAACATAATGACGACCCTGCCAGCTTTGTAAAACATCTACATCTAATATCAGGAGATACCGTGAGAAACAACTGCAGATGTTAATGCCAATTAATGCCAAAAAAGAAAGGAGTAAGACTCACTGGCAATGCTTTACCAGGTTTGACCTGCCTCTCCGCAATGGGTCGAATATACTTTTTATCGTTATGTAGAATCTGCCAAAATTTAAGCACTACGAGAAGATCCTTCCTCAACGCTGATGCCCCTTCCGTTGGCCAGGCATACCCTTGACAAAAATAGTCAAAGCACGCGCAATAAACTCTTTCCCGGATGACGGCCTTCTTCAACATTGAATGTCTCGATGTGTCATCTTGGAGAAGGGTGAGAGCACAACTGAGGAGTCTGAATCTTGGCCGGAGTGCTGCGACATTTCTCGTCATGTAGGTACGGTCACCCACCTCCATTGGTAAAGTGCGATGAATCATGTAAATGAACATTTCAATCACGTCGTCATTACAACTCTTGCTGTTCTCGACTAGTTCACAAATGAAGGTTATCCAGAGGTCGTGCGGGGCGATGAGTGGAGCTGGAATGTCCAGTTGACATCCTTCATGTGCAGCAAGTGGACTTGTCGGTTCTTCATCCGGAGTGAACATTCCCATCCGACGTTCGACGGTGCACTGCCAAGAGCCCAACATTTCTTGGATGAATGGTAATGTCAGGTCTCGCCTGGCAGAGAGGATCCACTGCCACAACTCGATGGCACTTCGGATCATATCCTCAGTGAACATTTCAATGGGTCCCCAACACACGGCGTGCACCAGGGTTCGATTTAATCCTGGAAGTTGATAAGAACAAACAACGACGTCAGACTATATTACCTTATCATTTATGTCAAAAAATTCCTCATTTTTTGTAGGGTGGGGGTTAACTACCTTCTGTGCTAATCAATAGGGCTGCCAGTGTCCAAAGAGCATCAACGAATTCTTCTTTGGTGGGAGGAGTATAATCAGGTTCGTCCTCGGTTTGAGCAGACACAACTCTAAGCAGTTGAAGCGACACAGTTTCTACACTTTCCATCATTAGCATTCCTTTCACTAGACCCAAATATTTGCTCCGGAGAGATAAGGAAGATAAGAATTTGGGCAGTGATGATTTAGTACAATCCGGTCTTCTCGACAATGCGACATGCTGCAATACGGTAGAAATAATCGGAATAAATGAGTATAATACATACATACATAATTAACCGCTCTTGTATCTTATGTTATGGCAAACTAACTGGCAATGTTTCCGCAGTAACATTCAATCCCGAGTATTTTAGTAAACTTTCGGCGGCCATGGCAAGTCCGGAGTGGTGTTTGAGTCCATCGAAACTATGAATGTTTAAATACTCTTCTAAGTGAGATCGGGTGGTTTGTGGAGCCCACTTCATTGCTTCTTGAAGGAATCCAATACAACGTTCCGCATAATCCCGGACGGTTGCCTTAATTATGTATCAAAGGTTAATTCCTATCATAAATCCATGACATTAAGTACAATACCTCTCGTGCATCCATAGTGTCCATGCATTGAAGTTCGTACGGAGTGTTGGGAATCGAAAGTGGAGGATTATCAACAATTGGATTCGTAGTCAAGCTGTACGACAAGACTTCCAAGACATCCAACATGGTGTGCAATACAGCTCGGCTCCACAGCAAGTGAGGAAATCTAAAAGAGTTAAAAGATGAAGCTGCATAATTGTTAGCACGGTCTTGTATAAAACGTACTTTTCCACAAGGCCAGACAAGAATTTATCCGCGACTTTTCGTACTTGACGATGTGTATGATTAAATCGGACGAAGAGGAACTGCGCGTGTTCTTCCAATTCAATCTCCCTCTGAAGAACTTTGTCTCGTTGGGTCATAACTTCTAAAAACTTTGCAAATACTTTTTCGGCGACGCTATAAAAATAAGATATCAAATTAGTGAATTCGTTTAGTTAATTTTTGTAAATTTAAATCTTCAAAGTAGCCTCATTACCAGTTGATACACTGCCACAATCCCAATTTGTCTTTCATGATTGAAGGTTCACAAATATATTCAAACACGTCTTTGAAACTTGGGTGAGGTACGGTTTGAATCCTCAAGATTTCTAACCAGTATACGGACAGGACGTAAGCACATTGCGGGAATGGTAAGTTCTTGATTATAGCTGTGACATCAGGATTCTCCAGCATTGCGGAAATCTTTGTCTTAAAATCTTGCAGTTCGGTCTTAAATTTTGAACAATTAAATATATTATTAAGAGCAAAAGTTAATATTATGTATATTAATGTATTGTCATCTTAAACTCTAATCCAAAAATTAAAATAATCTCCTCCTTACACTTGAAACAGCGTCGGAACGGAGAGCTGAGGTGTATTGTAATTCCCTTAATTCTGATCTTAAGCTGGTTTTACATACGAGCAGTGGGCTTTTGAACGCAATGTCTTTGACACCGTCGTACCATTCATGCGGCCACAAACCGGCCTGCTCCACTGGTGTTACGAATCCCATAAGAATGCAGTACAGCCAAAAATCGCGAAATAACTTGTGCAATCTCGGTTTCACGTCCACTATTGGAGGCATTCTACGAAGCAGAAGGGCGATCACGGGGATTAACGTTCCTAAATTTCCAGCAGAAGTTGACGCCTGTAAGGAAGCAAATACGTGAATAATATAATAATTAGATGGACTTGCAATGAAAATATAACTATAATGTAGGTCATACTTTAATAGTTGCTGGAGATTTGTCAGCCGCTCGCTTCCCTTCCAGTCCCAACTGGACGAACAATTCCAGTAAACGACCGAGCAAGTCAGTCATACGAGCTTCGCCTTCAAGATTTAATGCCACATTTGCCAACGCGTTCATTGCTGCGCCACTAATATGACGATATTTTCTGTCCTCCACAACTTGAGAGTAGGCTGTCGAACTTGCTTCGATAGTGAACATGGTGAACATTTTCATCACTTCTTCGTAAACTTGCGTCTATAATATTAAAATAAAAAGTCATCACTAGTATAATCGTGCCTATGCGATAATAAGTATGAGAATAAATCGACCACTAAGGGCTTACTTCGCATTTAGCAATGACAATACAGGATAGCTGATCAACGATTAAAATGTCCAACACAGGAGGCATTTTTCCGACACGTTGTTGTAAAAAGTGGAGAATTGATTCAGTTGTTTTGTGAGTTTCTTTCAATTCAATCGCTACATGGCCCAACATTACGATTGCGTTGGTCAAGACCAAAATGGAATTTACGTTCGTCACTTCTTCGATCTTTCCTCCCATTCTAAATATAGTTTGATAATAAATTTACTGTGCAATTTTGGGCAAATAACTTGGACAGGAACAAAAACCACTTACTCTTTTTCAGCCATGAACACTCGGTTAGAAACTGATGCCAGAAATGCTTGTACGGAATTTGGATCCATTGTCAATCCAGCCTTCAAGGAACTGCATAGATTCTCAATGGCCACGTCACGTAACCTTTGAAATGCGTCCATTGCTGCGTCCTCCTTTTTGAAGACTTCGGATAATTCTGTGCAAAAAAAGTACGTTTATTTTATGTAATACAACAGTATAACATTTTCTAAAAATTTACTGTTCGCTTTGGCAGCTTCTCTATTATAAAGTCGTGACAGGATGGGTGAAGGGTTGACTAAAAACTCTTTAAGATATTGAATACTGGAGGATGCAATAGCTGGGAACTTTATGGCGAGATCTCCTAAGCCCTGTGAAAATGCGTTAAACAATTTAACCAGATTTACAATTTACCTTAATTATTTCTGTTGTAAAATTATATTGCATACCTGGAGACAAACTACGAGTAGGGGCATGTGCGCCAGGGCCATTTTATTGGCATGATAATCATTAATCTTCTCATTGAGTCTGCTACACAAGCTGTCAGCACCTGTAAAACAGTACCAAATTATAACTTAGTATTTTAACTTTACGCGATAATTACTTCACATTAATAACAAATCATTAATATAATGTCACGCCTTAACATATTCGTTAGAAAGTGAGTTAAAAGTCAAAAGTTAGCCAATACTTTTCACAGAAATACAGCAACATCATCTATATGATCACTATATTACATATCACTCCAAACACGACTTTTTATTTACTTGCAACATTCGACTGGATTTCCAATCCTCCACAGAATCCGACCAAAATATCGTTGATAAAGGAATGTTCAATTGCAACTATTTATAATAATGACGATGATTTAAATAACAGAGATACTTTCAAGTTTCAACTAAATATTTGTGTTTCAACTACATTTACTTTGTATTGTCTATAAATATGTATGTAAATAGTGGGTAATATTTATTATTATTATCGATTAATAGATGCACGCATATTTGCAGTTACCTGTTTCATCTCCGATAGCCCACACCAAGAGTTCGACACAGTTGGCGTTGGTTTGTACGTTCATGCGAAACTTTCCACACCGTTTATTGTTATGATCGGCAGCATCCAATTCCTAGCAGGAAATAAAAAAGCGATACTTTTTAGTAATCCCAATCTACAAGTCCTTCGCTTAATTGAAACTAAAGGTATTTATTAGTTCCGTCCATCACCTCCGTCGTTCTCTTTGAATATCGCATCAGTTCAGTTTGTCCTGAGAGAAATAAACCTTTCACAAATTCTTGAACTTCTTTTGTAAACGGTATGGGGAGCTCTTGATGTCTGTACAAGCATTCCTTGAGCAGCGAAACCATAACAAGGTTTAGAATTTCACTGACACTCCTACAAAGTAAATATAAATAGTGGTATAAATGTCACGTTGATATCTTTGCAATAATACAATTAATACATACTTGTATAAAAGCCCTTTTTCTCCTTGCAAAGATCGAACTTCCATCGTCCAAGCGTCCAGTGAGCTTAAAACAGTTTGATTCAGCAGGATTTTGGCAGAAGATAATATTATTTGAAGTTGAGCCACAGTGAATTTCACGAGCGGACGTTCCCCTTTATAAGATGCATAGGAGGAACCAGCTTTTCGGAAGAAAATTGTAGAATAGTCCACCATCGACTTTGGTAAAGCTAAAACTGCAAACCTGTCAAAGTCGCGATCAAAAAGTTACATAAAAATATGCATAATTTTAGCCATTAAATCAATCATTTCATAATTAATTACTTTGCAGGGTCATCCGGGTCGTACTCGGGAATGACAGGAACTCCAAAGTTTGACGATAATGAACGTGGAATAACGGATCGAAAATTGGGAATGGATCGCATGTGCTGCTTTCGATTGAAATCTTTTTCCAACAACGGGGGCGAAGGTTTTGGAAATATTAGAGAAAACAGGGAAGGATTCCCACTCTCAGTGTCGACAAATCGTCCAAAAGCTCTCCCAATTCCCAAAAGTATAGGAAGGTGAATATCAGTAATGAATTCTAAAATAATAATTTTCCACAATGAAACAAAATCTTATTATAACATGTCGTAATTTACGACCCGTAAATAAAGCCCACCTTTCTTGTGCTGTTCCACATGAGAAATTTTAATGGCTTCCGTAACACTTTCAGATAACCGTTGAAGGACTTCCAGCTGTACAGTGATAATTTGAGTTCTGTCATTTTCATCCAAAAGTACTGCAACGTCGCAAAGGAGCGTTGTCAAGAGGAAGGAAAGTTTCTCGGGCATCGGCATTCCTACAATAATTGTCCCATTTCATTTATCTTTAACTCACTGAAGCCTTATAATTTTTCTTATGTTGTTAATCAGTATAATTAACTATAACGTACGCTCATGATTATTTCCAGGATAAACCCACTGTGACTTTGTGAGCGACTTGAAGAGAAGGATCAAATATGGCAAAATCTGATTCTTGTGTTGGACACCAGATTCCAGGAAATATATCCCAAGCGCTACAACTGCATGTTGAGCCCGATCGTCCAAACGGAACACCCCATTCGCACTTTGATGAGGACAAAGGTCAAACAATCGCTGGACCTGTTGAACAAGCATTATTAACATTTCAGAAATTGTTCATCCATTCAAGATTTTTGGCATACATACCTTTTCCCACGGGGTTGGCTTGAGGGCTGCCAGACATCTTGCCAAGTGTTCCACCGTTTTGGCGAAAAAGCTCCGCTTGTCCAACATGTCTAGAATTAAGTCAAAAAGTGTAGTCATTTCAACCTTTTTAGTAGTACAAGGGAGAATGGAGAGGTCTATAAATCGCATGAGGGCAAGATAACCAGGTGTGAACACAGTTCGCTGCAAGTAGCGTTTAGCAGTCTTCTTTCTAAGAATATCTGAGAAATCTCTTGCAAGTCTTAGAACAGAGTTTGGTTTTTTATAGATAACGTCTTTCATTTTGAAAATTTTGAGTGTTTTTTCGAATATAAAATAGCCTGTTTTGTATTTGTGTGAAATGTGAATTGCAAAAAGAAATAATATCATCTGGACTGGTACATGACTCAATTTATTTTTGATTACCATGGTAAATTGCATATTTATGAAAACTGAAAGTGTGATGGGAATCCATTGCTTGAATTTTAAGAAACGTAGACAAATTTCTAAAAACATTCTACAGTCGTCAATAACTTGACCTTATCCTCAGTAAAGATAACGAGATCCTATTAACCGACATATTTGCAGAAGAGGAACCAAGACCGAACTGAGGAGCCGATATAATAATGCCATGGTTGAGAAGCATGCTGTGTGCAGCAAATTAAAATATTATGAGTAAATCATGCCCCATAAAAACAAGGAGCTCAAGGAAGAGAGCTCAAGACCGCTGCTGTAATCATCAAGTCATATTAATCGATTGTATTTAAATTTCCTAATTAGCATATGCAACACCCTGCCTAGAATTCATTCCCGTCGAGAGAAAATCAAGTTAAGCTCTCGTCTCCGGACGGATATTAGAGATGGATGGAATATATTATGGGATAGATAGATCATGGATGGATAAACTGAACAGATGATGAGTATTTAGATTGGTTAACCAGCTATGTAGTAATCTTGCTATTAGTTTAGTACTGAACTAGTGATTTCGACATACCTGTCAATTTCCGGTGGAAGATGAATCTTCAGATTTCGTCAAATTGAAGAAATTCGTCATACTTTCGTCAAAAACCAATTTCAAATTCAGTTATTCACCATCACATCGTCGTCATTTAGTTAGACAGAATATGAACTATTTTGCACAACAAATGGTAGTTTAGTACACAGATTTGTGTAAATTTATACTTGAAAGTGCAAATTTCTTCTTGTTAAATTTCATCTGGTGCAAAATTAAGTCAACAAATGAGTTATGTACACGTTGTTCGTTAACCATCAATCACGAGTCAAATATTATTACTGCATATGGACTTTCTCCACTTTGCACTTTGATTCCCATCAGCAGCACTGTTATTTAAAGTAGTTTTATTTAGTAGTAACACAATTACTGACATGTTATCCATTGATACGTTAACATATTATCATTAAGTGTGTTAAACATGTCAAACCTTTTCATTAATGACTTTTGGAATTGTATTGTATTGTATTTTAATAATAGCCATAAATATCAACCCGGTACGACGACTTATCGTTAGCAGGGCAGCCGAGTTAGTTATTTATGAGATGAGGTGATGGATAGTCGACCGACGATCATCATCAGGAGGCAATAGGCATATTAAAATATGAACCAGTTTATTTAATAATGGGAGCAATCCGCCCGTCCGTCAAGTTTTATTACAGAACTCATTCGCTGATGATTTGCCCACTTAATGTCTATGCTCTTTTTGCGCCGTATTATTATATTCAGTCGTTCGTTATGTTATCAATGCCAATTGCTTCAACAGAAGTAACCTTCCTTAACTGTATGCTTATATCAGTTATTGTACATACTAAATGAAAAATACATTCACAAACTAAGTATTTAATTGTGTTTCGTATTTTGACGGGAAGTCCGTTTTATTGTTTTCAACCCTTTTTTTAATACACACATAAACACACACTACTCTCATACTGAATGCATTCGTAAACCTGCTCCTTTTAGAGGAGTGGACTGGACACGTACAACATAGATAGAAATTCCCTGTTTTTAGGTTTTTGCTTGCAATGTAAAAGGAAGAAAGTAAGTGAGACGATATACATAGTCTCACTTTCCCATGCTTTGAAAGCAGAGTTTGGGTTTTTTCTAGCTGCATTCATGATGTAAAATGATGATTTGGTCTCAGAGTAAAGGCACATGGTTTTTAAAAAGTAACATAAACCACACTTTATTTGGTGAGGATTGCTTTGACTCATTATAAAATAATTGTTTGACTTATGTTATCTTAGACAATTACTAGAACTGTTGGTTATCACTAGAATTTGGGATTTTGATTAAAAATGTACATTCATAATAAAAGATAGGTTTGAGCTTCTTTGGAAGCATACATTATAACAGGATAGGAGATAGTAACAAAATAAATAACAATGATTGTCTTGATTTGGTATAAAATAAGTTTAGTGGATACGACTCAGCCTTATCTCTCTATTGAGCAGATGTACTATAACGAATCTAACTGAGACGTCCAAAAAACAAAAATCCGTTTCTGCGTTGAACTTCACGCCACTGGACCACGAAGTGATCTACACAATATTGTAGGATTTTTCCCGTGAAGGACAAACTTGTCACACGACACACACTTTCGATGTAGACGATGGTGCACTTGCATCGGAAGAGGTACTGTAAAAGAGACGAAAAATTGTCAATGTAATGCAATCTATCTCTCTCCCTCAACAATTAAACAGACAGCAAATCGAACCTGATATAACTTAGCCATTAAGCAGATGGGGACACAGATTCCGGGACCATTACATAAGATCTATAAAATGAATAAAATAAATAAAGCTATATATTGCATGCGCCATATATTCATACATACACATTTAATTGAACACTCACCAAAGCCGGCTTATTATACTTCATGATGTCGTGGCACTGGAAGAGGGCAATGGGCATTGACCATAGTAACGTTGTGACCCAGTCTTGCCCCACTTCCCTGACCCGATGAACATAATCAATATGACAATCTTCGCGACCTTGTTCGTACTCTTGCACCTTCTGAAAGCTCAGGGTGTCCGACTCTGCTATCACGTAGGTCCTTGGGGAGTACAGTTTCCTATTCAGACTTTTCACGATTGTCATCATTTCCATAGTATGGCCTCCTGCAACGTATAACAAGTCAAGTTTAACGACCCCTTGCACATTTTTAACATAAACATACCAATTCAATTTTTTAATATTTTTTAATACTCACCAGAACCGAGCACTATCAGCGTCCCGAAGGGTAGATTACATCGGACCTCCCTTCTGCTCGTCAGTGCCCGAATCCAGAAAACAAGGACAGTCAAACCAAAAATACCTCCGATGACCTCAAGGATTCCAACATCCAATTCGAACCCTCCGATAGCAAGGTGATAACCCATTTTATAGCAGCTTTCCTAAATTGACGATGAAGACGAAGAGGTAAAGCAATTAAAGTTTTAATTGGGCAATTAATTACTCCAAAAAATATTAACTATTCTTCTGATGACCGGTTTTCCTTGCGAGGTGACAGACAGATGTGATTTTTTCTGTTTTTTCACTTCACTTCCATGCGAGCTGCCCTCATTGCCGCCAAAAATTGTCCGCATTCCCAGCCCAACGTCGGCTCTCTCACGTCACACTCGTCACACTTTGTTAATTTTTAGTCAGAATTACTGACCGGCTTGGGCCCTGAATTGGACTATAATTTCAAAATTTTACGTAAAATAGTTTCAAAATTAAGATAAAATTTTAGTCAAATAAATCAAAATGAATTTCGACGATAATACAGCCATTGCGACGGCCATTAAGTCCGGAAACATTAATATTTCTACGGGTAAGTTAAGTTGACTTATCTTGTAAAATGTTGATTGTGAAATTATTTATAACGAATTTTTATATTTATTTTTTTTATAGAATACATGTCTATAGAGGACCACCTCGATAAAGAGAAACAAGCAAGTTTAGACGAACTTGAAAGGAGAAAACGTGTCCGGTTAATGAATGTAAGTACTGACGATGCAGAAGTAAAAAAAGATTTAAGAACACTAGGCGAGCCCATTTGTTACTTTGGCGAAGGTCCGGCAGACAGGCGACAGCGTTTGAAGGAGTTGCTCTCGAGGTAATGAGGATAAGGAAGTAGTTTTTATAATGCGTTCTAGAATTGAAATTTGAGTTGAGTGTTTTCACTGAATTGTTTTTGCGTGTGTTGCTTTTTTGGGGGACAGGTTAGGGCCAGAGGTTTTACGAAGGGATGTCTACGAGGCGGTGGAGAAGCCGTCACAGGACAAATATCAAGGCGTTACGTGGTACCATGAAGGCCCTGAGAGTTTAAGAATAGCGAGAGAATGGATCGCAGGTTGGTGAATAATATAGTTTTGATTTTGATGCAGATTATCCAACCTATACGATATCAATGAGATATTCTTATTTATTTTAGGATATTCAATCCCACGATGTAGAGCTAGATTGGATGAAGCTAGACAAAAACGAAATATTCCTGATAAGATAAAAATAGCACAACGGCAAGATTTACAAAAGAAAATGCAAGTGCTTACGAATCAGTGCAGCCAGGTAGGGGATTCTCGACCGATTTCTTATATTCAATTTAGTCCAAACTCTCAAATGTTGGCAACTGCTTCATGGTAAGATAAATAACAATTAATTAATGCCTTCGTACAAATATGCTGTAATCTGAGTCTGATTTCATTTATAAATTTGCAGGAGCAGCCTTATCAAGTTGTGGTCTGTTCCGGATTGCACATTAATAAGGACTCTGAAAGGTCATATGAATAACGTTGGCGCTGTAGTGTTCCATCCTCACGCTACAACGTCACTCATGGAAGACGAGGCTTGCTGCTTGGCGTCGTGTGGTGCGGATGGTTCAGTAAAGTTGTGGAATTTGGTGAGGTATTGAAAAAAAACGAAATACTTATACGTTGCTTTCGCCTTTTATCCTTATTTTGGTTTCATTACTGTGATTGTAGCTAATCGAACTAATTATTCTAGTGATGAGCCAAAGGCGGATGTTCCTGGACACAATCATCGAGTATCGAGGATAGCCTATCATCCCTCGGGACGCTTTCTGGGCACCTGCTGCTACGATTCTTCATGGAGATTGTGGGATTTGGAGCAAGAAGAGGAAGTTTTGCATCAGGAGGGTCACAGCAAGGCAGTGCATTGTATGTCCTTCCAAGTTGATGGGTCACTCGCAGTCACGGGGTAAGCGACTGGCATTAATTAGTAAAATCTGATCGAAACTTGTATCATAACATTTTGAGTTTTGTTTTTGCAGAGGGTTGGACTCATTTGGACGACTCTGGGATTTAAGGACTGGGAGATGCGTAATGTTTCTAGATGGTCATCTGAAATCAATATACGGGATTGATTTCTCCCCTAATGGGTATGCTCACATAATTGCATGTTATAATACGTGTGTATAAGTTAACTTTTTTGTGCCCCATCCTAATATTACGTATTATATTTCCATTTTTCTCAGATTTCATATTGCTACTGCCAGTGAAGATCACTCTACTAGAATTTGGGACATTCGGCAACGCTTGTCCTTATACACCATTCCAGCCCATACGAATTTAGTGTCGACATGCAAATTTCAGCCAGTCGACGGAAATTTTATCGTAACTTCGTCGTATGACAAAACTGCTAAGGTATTATCAAAATTAGGATCCTAATAATAACCATCTGATAATAATAAATCGTCTTGTTCTATAGTTATGGCTGAGTTCTACCTGGCAGCCCTTGAAGACATTAAGTGGACATGACGGTCGAGTAATGTGCGTCGATATTTCACCGGATTCTCAATATATTGCGACTTCGTCGTTTGACCGGACGTTTAAATTATGGTCTCCGGATTTGTAAAGTAATAATTTTTCATTGTTAATATGTAAATAATTTGTATCACGAAAATTGCATCTTTTAAGTTACACAAATATTTTTATGTTCATAGTTCATACATTAATTTCTGAGTTTATGCACGTGTTCTTTCTTCTTCTGTTACATAATATTTCAACATTTAATTAATCAAAAAATATACGATTCGACCACTAGGAGTGTACATAAAATGACGACATACATTGTGGAACTAAATAAATAGCTTTTTTGACACCGAGTAGATAATATATGTATGTTGGTAAAGTTTCTCCGCCTATGAGCAGGCTTCTTTGTCAGTTAAGTTCATAATTTCCAAACTCGATCCAGTTTCTCCCTATAAATTAAATAATATTTAATAATAAATATAAATGTATATACATATTGTAAATAAAATAATCTTCTTATCACCTTTCTCGTTAACGACTTGAGTTTATCTAAAATAGAAATTTTAGAAACCAAATTTCGTATGGCACCATCCGAGTGAAAACTCACTTCCTCCAACTGCCTGTGCCCAGAGGAGGTATGTCCCCGGTCTGAATTAAGTAACATAAGTAAATTGAAACTCAATATCTCCTACTAATTTATAAATATTATAAACTCGCCATAAATTTCCTCATCGTCGTCGTCATCATTTGGGTCGAGTGCACAACTCTCTGCAACGGGCATCATATCACGCTCCGAAATCAGGACATCCTTCACTCGTTCCGTGTTCGGTGAATGATTTCCTCTCGAGCTTCCGGATGCGACTAATTTCATGTATTTGTATTCAAGCTTCCGATGTCGTCGCCAAAAGCAGATGATGACGATGAGCAGGACGCCAGCCATGCCACCAGCTATCTGGACTGCTACCTAAAAAAACGTTTTTTGATATTGTGAATATCTATGTAAAGAAGGTAAATTGGAGCGATTGAAAATTTGAGGAATTTGGTCAATGATTACTCACCTCCCATAAGAATGGCAGATGAGTCACACACTTCTGCAGCGTTGGCCAAGTCGAATTGATTCTGGGGAGGCATTCCGAGTTTGTGGAGGGGAGATAGTGCACGTCCTGCATTCCACTCTTGCACTCGCCTTTGACAATCCTAATCATTTCATAGAATCGTAAAAATCAAGATATATATAAAAGTTTATAGTTTTTTTTTTAGGATTGTAAGCCGAAACTTACGTAAGCTCATCTTCCGAGCACACATGACATGCAAAGGGCGTCTCCCAAATGAAGTGGAAGTTACACCCATCGCACGTCCCATCCGAACAGCCCTCTAAAGTTTTTAGAACGCCAAGGTCCGAAATTGAGGTGCTATTGATGAGGAAATTCCACGTGGCGGTGGGTACTTTGCACCGAAACGTGATTGTCGTGCTTCTCCCCGTCGGACACGCGATCGTTCTTTCAGGGGTTGAGTAGAAAAAGTGAAGCTGGTGGCGACTCGTGTTGAGGATTTGGTTTCGAATATCGTCTGCAATTGGGATTCCGAGAATAGAAGGAGCCGGACTGATCCCCATTAAGTGGTCACCTAGCGAAGACGCGTGTGTCGACAAGGGTTTCATAATCATTTCAGAATATCCGTCCGAATAGCCCGAGCTGCTAGAATCTGGCTCCATCGACGAGCCACTGGACAAGGCCGGAGGAAAAATGGTGCTTTGGCATATCAGAGCTTCCACTCGGGACGAGGGGTCGATGCCATGTTGGGCAGATACATTTTTCTGAGTATTGTTATTTCACATGTAAATAAGTAAATATTTAATTATTGAGAATTTTTATAACAATTTGTTTCCATTTCGAAAAATGTTGTTTACCTCGCAAGTCGCATAGCTATCCGAGCATAAACTAATGTTAAAGACGTGGAAGTATTGAGTTCCACTCGCTGTGAATAAACTGCTTCCTCGCACAGTGTACGTTCTAAATTGAAAAATTAGTTGCTGAATGTATTTTACATATTATACGTGTGAATATCACACTGTATACTCATTCAGAGTGCTGGTAGGTACATGTAGGTAGTTACCCTTTCAAAGGCCGAAGGTCAAAGATGAAACTGTCCCTTTTGATGGTGCAATCAGTGACGCAGTCAACTCCGTTCATGGTGATCAACCCTGGACCACAGGGTCGACAGCTTTTAGAGTCTGTAGAAAAAGGGTCTACTCTGACATGACCGATGGGACAGGGGAGGCAAGGACTGGAAGGCCAAGAAGACGAGGTGGACTCACTTTCACTTCCGGTGGGAGGATGAGATCTGCAGGTCACAAAATAAGCAATATTTATATTCCTTGAATGGGAGAAAATTTCAAGCAAGAATGGAGCTTACCCAGCATCGTTATCATTACTTGGAGGCGTTATTTTTGGATCGCAAACGGTACAAGTGTCAATATTATGTCCTAACGTAGCTGCCTCGTGGCATGGAATGCATGAAGATGCTCCTCCATCGATACTGTTTTTTACATTAATTTGATAAATTTTGACATAGTTTTCCTCATCTCGATCAACGACTGGTTGGTAATTGATTGAATTTGTGTTCATTCCATCTTCAGGAAGAATTGCGGAATCCCAAGCCAGTTTTTGAAATGCCCTGCATACGAAATTATCATGGTACAAAATACAGAGGGTCAGCTTATCATACAATGTGCTTCGTCAGTACTTTTATTTATTTATGGGTATTACTTACCAGCTAAAGTCGTAGGTACTGTTGCGATATATTGGATGAGAAAACTCTTCAAAAGCATGCGATCCAATCCAGCGTTGAATGACGGTTGCATTTTTGCTGCTGGTGCCCTACATAAAAAAAAGTTTAAAAAATGCATCATTTTAGAACTTGACGAAACCACAAATATTAATTCGTTGAAAATAAGCAAACCTGCATAAATAAGAGTTCACAGTCGTTTGCACAGCTCATTTCGAACTGAAAAGTGACACGGCCAACTTCATGCAGTTCTCCATTTATTATTCGTCCAATTCCTCGAAAACCTCCCACGCCTAGAACGTAAATATTATTCTCCCTGATAACTTGAAACAATTATAAAGTAAATATGTGCAATTTACTCAAAGTCATGACGAGGTACACCCATTTCGCATGGCCTTTCCCAGTCTGAGTGTAATTGCCATGCAGTTCCCACGATGGCGAATTGCTGCACCCGGTATCTGCACATTTCACAATTACGGAACGATTAGAAATTTTCCAAAACCTTAATAATTAGTTCGATAAGCTGCTCACCTTCGGGGCTGATGCAGGTAATGTGAAGGCTCTCTGGCCAGGAGTACCACTGCGTCAAGTGGTGACCTCGACTGGGTTCCGTGTCACGAGGACAGGTCATGCAGGGTGTCACCCCGTCCGAGAATTCCCTACTTTTACACGGTTTGCAACTCCCATCGCGATACTCGGTCCCCGCATTGCACGGGGGACACTTTATGTATTCTCCAGGTGGGGGAAGACTCACGGCTCCAAGTTTCGTCTCCAAGCAAATCTTGGGGCGCACCCACTCATACGTTATCTGAGTCTGTGGAGCAAAACAGAAAAGTCAAATGACTACTTGGCATGCAAATTAATATATTTTCGCATACCCGATTATTTCTGCAAGGTTGGTGGATTTGGTAGTAATCTGTCTCTGAGCAGGCGGGTCTGGGCGTGCATGAGTCAGACCCCGGCTCCGAGTAGTAGGTCGACCTGTCGCAGGGGATGCAATTAGTGGATTGGTGGAGGGAAAATGTATCCTTTGCACAAGGCAGGCACATCTTCGAAGCTTCTTGATTATTGTACGTGCCAGCTGAAATGTAAATCGAAACTTTAGTGTATGAACTTTCTGGTAGTGTAAAGTTCAATGTCCAATACTTACCGGGACAAGGGTTGCATGAGCTGGTGTATCCAACGCCTAAAATTTAATGGTATCCATACATATTTAGATGTTAATTTGAGATCATTGTTGTGTTTTAATTTCGTCTCACCTTCAATCTCAATCCTCTTAATCATTACGGGTTTCGGTCGATGGGACGCCTCGATTCCCATCGTTTTCCACTGGAAAATATTGAGACCGGTGTGCAGCATGATTTCCTCAGTTCGCCAAACCCCATCGCCCGTTAAAACGGGCCACCTGCTGCCCTCAGCCTCTCTCAGACTCTCGCATTGATCGCTATTCGCCTAAAAAGGATGAATTAGTGGTCAATAAATTTGCATCACTTCAAAAAATATGCACAGGAGTTGGCTGACTAACTTGGAACTGAAAGAGCACACTGTCATCAGCATATTGATACGTGAACTTGAGTCTGCCTGGTTTGACTAATTGTGCAGTGTAGACTAAAATTGCGACACATGGACCTAAAAAGAGCAAAGTTTTAAAATTCCAGTCTGCAATTTCAACGTGTAAATTGATCACCTCCTTGGCTCACAACCATGTCCTTGCGCGTCTTCCAACCATACCTGCAAATATTATTTTATGTACATGTACATATTCCTAATTTGTTAACTTATCCGTACTTTATCATTGGCCACTCACTTGCTACAATTCACGTTCGAGTATTGCCTCCCAATGGATGAGAACATGCTCCTGAACTTTTCCACTTGGACTTTAAACCCTGGGGGGAGATGTTCATACTCGTCGAAAACGATCCCTCCTCCCAACGAGTACGTCCCAGCGGAACAGTCCTCACACTCCAAGGACGTCAAGTTCAAAAACTGGCCAGCGTCACATGATTTATCTGGAGGATTAAAAAAAATGTCGAATTTTTAAGGCATTAATCGGATAAATTGAGAGTTATCCTTACAGCACTCGTTCAGCCGTCGGGGAGGAATGGGGGGAAGGACATCTTCACAAAGCTGGTTCTCCGGAACGGCCACTCTCCATCGACCCCCAGCAGCGTCACAGTCCGTAAACTCGTAACGATAATCATCCTACAGTTCAAAATCATATTAATTTCATATATATGAAAATTCGTAAAAACCATGTAACGATTAAATAGATTGCAAAACTCACTGGAGAACAACTACTGAGAGTTTCCAACTTTCGACTCCGTTTGGAATGAACAAAGCACCAAAAGCTCAGTAGAACTACGAGACGTAGAAAAATTTTCATTCTGTTTTTTTTTCTTGTCGAATATCTCTCTTTGAAATCTGCTCTAAAATCTAGACCAAAAACGTGTCGATAAGTACTCTCATTTCTCACTGCTCTAACTTTTTTTAGGAATAATCTCCACTCAATTTGTATCCATTGAACTACAATAAAGCTGATAATACTTGTTCCATGTTGACTGACTGATGGTGCGTCTCTGATCGAGACGTCGTGCTTAGTGGTTTAGTTGCGTGCACTTTTTTTTACTCGAGTATTACATAATAGCACCTTATTTCGACCACCGGAAAACCATACTTCCTTTTGGTCACGGCTATCCTATCCTATCTCCATCAGTGACATAGCACGAATGGAAAATAGCATATGGTGATTCCCCAGTTTTAGGAATATTATGTCCTCCACCAAGTTTTATCGACCGGGTAGCAGCAGTAGTAGTAGACCTGGTAAAAGCATGGGGTCTCGTTGTCCTGCGCCAACAAAAGAACAGAGAACATAATTTCATACCTGTTACTTCTCTCGGTTTGGCTGCATAGTGCTGCATGCAGTTCCACTACGTAGGTATGTATGGACTTATGTACTTTCCCCGTTTTTGTTTGATCAAACATCATCATTTTCACCAACCACTTTCCCCACTAATCGGCTGTATGAAGAGATTGGGAGCTGGTTTCACTTTCATCATTTTCTGCTCCTCTGATTTTGTCTTTGAACACAAATGTTTCGCATTTGATTGCAATTCGGCCAACTTATCGACCCTGTCGAACAAAGTTGAAAGAGAGTTTTCAAACTTTTCATATTTCCATCCAGCTAAATGTCAAAGGTGGTAATGAAGCCTAAACCTCGTCCACATCTTCCTTCCGACCCTTGCATAACTTTGGCATCCAAACCCACGGTGAGTTCTGCTTTGAGATTTGGAAAGACAACGCTTCCCGTGAATCACTTGGATTTAGTGCTTTCTTCCAAATATGACCACCACACGTGTTGGCTGGTTGACAGGCCAGACATGATTAGACAACCGGCAGACGAGGTCAGATCAAGACCTTGGTGCAAATGGTGAGTTGAGTCTGTGCACGCAGGATGATTTTGTGGGGTGGATTAACTTCAAAGGGGTAAATTTGATACATTTTTCTGTAAGGAGGAAGCTGGGAGAGGACAAGGAGGAAGAACAGCCCACCGTCATCCTCATTCCACCCATCATTTACCAAGAAAGATTTCGAAATAATATCAACCATGCCGCAGTCAGCTTGACCTCGCATCACTTGCCGTCCACGCAGAGAGGATATGGGCGGAGGGGAAATTGATGATGATGTTGAGATTGACACATGTATCGCTCTCGTAGAAAGTATATGTACAGTTTAGAAAAATATTGCACCCTACATTTTGTGTACTTTTGTATTCTATTCCTGATGACACTTCTTAATAATGCCCAAGGCATAATATTTATCGTGTGTGTATAGTTCATGTAATAAATTTTATTCGTTTGTATTATTTCTTGCAAGGTATGCAATACATAAAGAACAAAGAATGGTTTACAATTCAAGAAAAGACTAAAGATTTAAATATTATTTTATGGGTTGGATACTATAGCTAGGCAAAAAAAACTCACTACAATTAATATTACATTGTAGTATTTGTAATGCATACTTATTTCATTAATGACAAACTAAATCGAATTTGTAGATCAAAATTGGATTATTACTTAACGTCATACATTGGGTCTTATAAATGCACTTTTGTGGCTGGTATTATGCGGGACGTCAGTATAAATAGGGGTTATTCTATCAAATAGTAAATGGGATTCATCCCTAGCGGACTGCTTATACAAAAAATAATAATAATTAGACATTGCTGAGACTCTAGGAAGAATTGAATTAATTCCAATTTCAATTACTTGAACAAAAAAAAGTATTAATAATACCGACGAAAAGATTGCACGCAGCAGTCATGTGAAAACGGACTTGTCTAACTTGTAGTAATAATTTATCTCCTATCTCTATACTTCCTTTCGCGATCACGCAGGTCCCTCTCACGATCTCGCTCCCTTTCTCGATCTCGACGACCATCACCAGTACGCCTCAGAAAGTCAGAGACAGATTTCTCGTACTGAAATAGTGAAAATTGTTCATAAATAAACTAAAATACTTGGCAAGAATCTTGTAAATTTAATGATACGCATATATTATGCATACACTTACCGGGCTAGATGCACGAACAGCGGACCTAGACGACGACGGAAATTCTGGTAATGGTGGACCGTCATAATACCGCGGTGGTGGTGGCAATGCATCGAATGGAGGCTATGAATTAACGAATTCAAAATTGGGTGATGTAATTTTGCACGCATTCATAAAAGTATGGATATTTGTATATGTACCGGTGGAGGATATGGTAATGGTGCCATTGGTGGTGGTCGGTGGTAATCCCGATAGTCTTCATATCCATGAGGTGAGCCCTATCAGTCCAAAATTTAAAGATTGGCGTGTATTTATATTTATTTCGATATTCAATTCGATCTTACGTAGCTTCTTTCACGAGCATAGCGGGCAGCAGGAGGGAGATCCACATCCCGACTCATGTAGGACATCCCACCACCCATGGGTCCCTTATTATAGTATTCGTAAGGTCCTGCTGCAGAAAATTAAATAAATTGATATATTCATTGCAAACTAGCATTTTTAGCTTTCTTAGCTAGCTATTAGGATTAATGTAGGTACCTCGGGGTCGCTTTGGACGAGAATATTCATCTTCCATTGGGAATCGTCGTCGCATTGGGGCTCTAAATGGCATAGTTAAAGCAAACATTTAAAACCAAACTATAAAAGTGTGTCTGTTCCACTGAACCGGTGTCTTCTAAATGTTTGAAGTTTTACATTGTAAAGTACAGGATCGAAGAAAATGCCGATATCATATCGCAGTTATTGTACTTACCGTCATCTCTCAGCTTACGATTTACATAATTTGTAATAATAATTTAGGATAGGTAAAAAAATCTTATCATAACAAAATATTAAGGTAATTAAAGGTGAATGGTAGATATAAACAATAATATGTATGTGGAAAATAATTAATTCACTCCCTTTGGTCAGATTTCGCGTGCGGAGTAAAAAAAAATACGTGAAGCCACTAACCTATTGTATTGCACAACAAACTTCTTTGTGGTACTACGTACTTGGCGTAATTTTCATGCCACCCACCCATCACGTGCCTGTGTGTGATTCTTTGTTTATAATAGCACTAACGGATGAAAACCTTTGTTGAGGAGTGTCACTAGATATGTTCTTAATAACAGATACAAAATGTTCTTTCTTTTTGAATGCCCTCACCATTACACACCGCCTATAAACACAACATTCTTGCATGATGAAATCCTAAGAACAAAAACACATCACTATATAGTTGAGGACAAAGGTGGAGGACGCTCATGCACTTTTTTGTGAACCTATATGGATGGCTTGGAAATTGAATACCGTCCTGATAGATAGAGCACACTGATGGACGAGTGAGTTCATATCTTGCCGTTGCAACGGGTGCACATTTCAATTTGTAATTATTAGCAATGTCCCATCCTGTCGGGTGCAACACAGTGGATGTATTTGACATCAAATGTGTTTGGTAGTATAAGGCGAGAGAGAGAGAGAGTTCACATTTATCACAATGTAACTATTTTTGTGTGTGGATTACTCATGGAGGTTGAATTTGGTACGAAAGAAATAAGAAAAGTAAGTGCAAGTCCACATAGTTCATTAACAACAACACTCACTGCTGAACCCATTTGAAATAATAGTCCACTGTTATAATACCTCCCATAGTCGAAGGGTCTTGTATTACGAAAGGATGTGTTGTTGTTGTTGGGTCTTCCTCTCATCATATCTCTTCGATCACGCATTCCACCTCCTCCTCCTCGCCCCATTGCCATTCCTCCAGGGGCTCCGATCGGACCGTTAACCTTCACTGGTCCAACTCGCTTAGCTGCCTCCTTGCTATTCTTCAAAATCGAGCTCCAATTCACTTTAGTGTCCGAAGGAAACAAGCGACAGAGTTCAGAAGCCACGTGAGGTTCAACTTCCTGTGTACAGATAATAGATATTTCGACATTTTGCATTTATAAAACGACTCAAAACATTACTAATTAAGTGGTAATAAACTGAAAATAACCCTGACCTGTCCATCGCGTCCAATCTTGACAGGTTTTCCTTCATTCCATGGATTGAAAAGATGTTGAGTTTTGGTGAAGGACAGTTCGTTCCTATTGCACAATACAGTAAGATATGTTACTTGTGACAATCATGATATTACAAAGCAAATACAAATGTGAACCTCACTTTGCAATCCATTCAATGTTGAAGACTCCACCTAAGGCTCGCTGGCTTAATCCGGCCGGCAGAATCCAATTAATTTGTGTACCATTACGCTGCGATTCAGTTGAAAGTCTAGCAAAACCGGAGAATTTTCCACTTTCTTTGACAGAAAATATGAGAACAACATTTCGCGATTCTCGAAACGCCTGATTAATTTTATTCTCATTTGCTGGAAGTGTTGACCAAACCCCTTTCATTTTGGATAGTGCAACATTTTCCAAATTATTGCTCTTCATCAGATAAAATCGGGCATCTCTCAGAATGTAACTCAGTTTTGATGCATACTCTGCAAAATAAAATTCAAAGATAAATATATCAAGCACAGATATGTTGTGCTCATTACACTTGATACGTACCTTTCTTTTGCTGCCTTTGAAGAGCCTCGTCGCCTAAAAAATTACAAAATAATGTGTCTTATCTTTTTGTTTAAATCATTACTCGCAACTAATTTCAATCGATTTAAATAACATCCTTTTACCAGAAGTCTTTTTCTTCTCGTCATCGGTATCTAGATCTTAAAAATTTTACGAATTTAATTTAGAACATATTTCATTACTATATTCGTCTCCTACCACTGTCGGTCCTGAAACTTGCAGAGCTAAGCGATGGGTTGGATATCTGTTCCTGATCGTCATCGGAGGAACTAACTTCACTCCTCGTATCGTAGTGATCCTCCTCCTTATCTTTCGATAAGGAGGAAGACATGTCTTCATCCTCTCCACCATTGCCTGCCATATTGCGTTCACCTGATGACCCCTCGATTTTATTCGGTTGCTTACTTCTACTCTTGTCTTGAGCCTTATTGCCGATTCCTCCTATGTCTTCCAAATTTTCTTGCAATATTTCGTCAAGGATGTTAACCACGGAGTCTGTCGACATTTCATAACCAATGAATCCAAGTCAACTCGTAAAACCAAAAAATGAAAGCTTACCCTTTCCTGACTCCGTATTACTACTCATTCTGTATCTAATTTCCGATGGCGTTGACGACTCGGGAGTCGGGATGATATAGGAGCGTCAAGTTAATATTTGTATTCACTTCTTTGGTCCCGCACTTTCTTCAATTGTGGAGTATTTCTGATAATATAAAAATAGAAACTTTTTTTATTCCTAATGTCCCAATCTACGGCGACGCACAATCGCCGAACCCATACATACAGCAAGAACTATAGTTAGTTTGACCAAAAATTCAACATCGTTATTATTATTGATGTATTGATGTCGTGATTCAAGGGTACACTTTGAACGTAAAAATTCAAGTTCAATTTTCGACTGAAATACTGAAAGAAGATATAAAACAACAATGCACATGAAAAATCCAACATTTAAATAATGCGAACACTGTTGAGGCATGATGATGGATGATGATGGAAGTGATTCACCATTAGAATGATAACAGAACCAAATGAACAATGAAAACTAAATTAGCAATAATAAAGTGGCAAAATTGATGGAGAGCAAGATAGTTCTTTCTTGAAGACATTTAGATTTGGACTAGACTAACAAATCAGTAATTCAGTAGTGTTAGATTATCTCGTCGTAGGGAATAGTAGGGATTAACTAAATAAGATAACTTAATTTCTTACTTTTTTACTTATCCCCAATGTCCGACGAACATAAGCAATAAACCGACCAATTCATCAACAAATTAAACCTAGACTATAAACCATTCTACTAGAGAATGGCCAGGGTAGCCATTGATTTTAATGTGGAAATTGAAATTCTTCTAGATTAGATGAAAGAAATATTCTAAAATATCAAATTACAATTATTAAAACTAACCGTACTTTAACTTTGAGCAGTCCCAGCCAACAGCAGCAGTACAGCAGGTACACCAAAACCTGTCATTTGAGATAAGTCGTTACCATAAGTCTGTCTTCAAGATAAGAAATTGCTTATTTTCCGAACAAAAAAAATGTTGTGTTGCAGAATGAAGTGCGAGTGAAGAGTGAAGACTCTCCACAACATAAAATGATGATGGTTTGGTGGTGGCTTTTTGAGTGCGCCGGTGTGTGTTACTTCTTCACCGTGGACTGGATTACATGATTGATGTGATCATTTAATATGCATAAGTATACCTTTTTTATTGCTTTTTAACATATTATGTCAACAAATTCATGGGATCATCGCTCTCGAGTTGTGTAGTGCATATACTTATTAGTATCAAAATATCACGAGTTTTATCAAAAATAGCTAAAATTATTACTTGAATTACCTACTACTACTACATACATTAAGATGAATGTACATAATACAAGAAGGGTGCAATATCGAAATGTCAAGCATTCTTTTTCTTTCGTCCTGGACGCATTCGTGGTTTCTTTGCAGGGGCAGAAGATTCTGAAGGGAGTGAGACTCTGAATTAGAGAAATATGTTAGATATTATGGGTTAATAGTTTATAATCGTATTTAATTTGAGCATTAAATATCAAGGTTAGAAGACTACCTTGCCGTTTTTCCAGAGGTTAAGCGTTTTTCCGAGGCCATGTTTTGCTCTACTAGTTCTGCCAGTTTTCCTGTCTCGGCAAGCATGGTGAGGAATTTGCATATAAAGTCGTTGTAGTCATGCGTTCTTCGACAGTCCTCGACCTACGTAGGAAATGATAGCATGGGTAGTAATTTAATAACGTTATAATTAAATTATCATTAAAAAGAAGCATAGGCAATGTTACGATTATTACTTTGTATTGTCTCAGCTTCTCTTTTTCTTCATTAGACTGGCTTTGGAGATTAGCTTCGACTTGGGCACGTTCAACATCAACATTTCTCAACAATGCGAGCATGTCTTTTGGAAGTAGGGCCCGGTTTTTATATATTTCTGGATATTTTTCAAGCCAACTATCGTCCAAATCTTTGTTGTCTGAATCAATGTCACAAGTTGCGTTTGACATTTCTGGCTTGTCTTTGCATTGTTCTATAAAGTTAGTTAAGGACTGGAGAACACAGTTTCTGTAAGACGAAATATGCAATTAGTTATTTCATTGAGCGTACAGTCATGAATATATGAATGTAATTCAATCCACAATACTTAAATACCTATTAAGTGTTAACAATTTAATTTTTCCATATAAAGGATGCTTCCCAGTTTTTATCTTGTCTGGAACAACTGCCATCAGATTAAACATGATGTCTTGAGGTGCATTTGAATTCCCACCCGTAGCACTACCAAGACGCTCAGTAATTACTCTTCGAAACTGTTCCGTCCATTCCTCCTTTTCACCCCATGGACCTTTAAAATGTTCTCAATTTAGTTAGTTCCTAATTAAACATACGTAACTAAAACAAACAATATTTATTTACCATGATCAATAGGATACGGTTTTAATCCATCCAATTCAATCAGTCTCCCATTAATAGGCACATAACTGACGAAATGATACGCTTCCCCAGTAAATCTTCCAGTAGGAATTCCGGCCGACTTATTTTCATTCTTTGGCTTTGCTGCTTCTGGCGTTGCGTGAGAATTATGTGCCAACGCGAGACGAGGAGTGTTACCAATGGCCCACCCCTTATTTTCTGGGCTCATTCCCTGCGTATACTCCTTCAAACGGGTTAATGTTTCTCCAAGGTTGAGATCAGGACAGTTGAGATTTAAAAGAACGGAAACCAATGCATGGGTCGCGCAACTATTGGGCACCATCTTAAAACATTTTTAAAACAATACCACTTCAATATTAGTCCAACCTGCATAAACTATTTAAATGAGCTCATTTACTCACCTGCTGTGCAAAGAACATACTATTGACTACATTATCATCTCGCACACAGGAATCACTATCCTCGATTATCTTTCGTCTCGAACGTCTCTCCTCGCTCCAACGGAATAGAAAAATAAATCCATAAACGGGACCTTCTATTGGTTTTTGGACTTCATAAATTTCTTTAACTTGCACCCCCACTGCACCAAAGTCTTCCAGGAGAAGGGTGAACAGACCTGTTGGCATAATTAATCACACGAAAATTATAAAAAATACTTTAAACAAAGATTTCTACAAACAAATATAAATATTAATTACAACTTGAATGGAAATATTTTACCTGGATCACTTTCCAATTCCAACCACCCTTCGGTCAAGGCCTTAATATCGGCTGGCATCCTTAACCCTTTGTCCTTAGATGCTAGCAAAAAATTAATTTCCTGATTCAGGACAATCAGGAAATAGTTAAAAAATAACCCAATAGTAAAACTTGTAGGGCTGGAGATTTGGATTTTGCGGGTCCACTTTCCACAAAACCCCGTCCACCACGTCATAAAGTTGCTCAGTCATCCAACTTGCTCAGCACTCTTCTCGTCTCTGGCAGTTTAAAAAATTGTAGTTTTTTTTCAGAAATATTGCCAACAGATTAGTTGTTTTACGAACGTCCCCACCCATCAAGTGGAAAAGGAGGAATATTTTGGAAAAAGTTGGATAATAAATCCTTGACAAAGTTTTGGGTTGATTGTGTGTGACACGTTGACTTGACAGGTGTCATTTCTTCGACCGGCTGTCAAAATTAGGCGACGAGTGGGTCGAAATGTTGACCAAGTTTGAGAGCAAGTCGGCCCGTGTCAAGGGTCTCTCATTCCATCCGAAGAGACCTTGGATTTTGGCGAGGTATGTCAAATAATAGGGAAAAAATCATGATGTGTGATGATGATGATAATGATGCCGTGAGTAATAGTTGAAATTAAATTTTCTATTAACTTTGCAGCTTGCACAATGGCGTGGTCCAGCTGTGGGATTATAGGATGTGTACTTTGTTGGACAAGTTTGACGAGCATGACGGTCCTGTGAGAGGGATTTGCTTTCATAGCCAGCAACCCATTTTTGTTTCGGGTGGGGATGATTACAAAATTAAGGTGAGTGGTTAGCAATAGTAGTTAACTAGTGGGGGATAAAGTGAGAGAATAAGTGCTTAAATATCATATTTTATTTGATGCAGGTTTGGAACTACAAGCAGCGTCGATGTCTATTCACCCTGCTGGGTCATCTGGATTACATTCGATCCACCTTCTTCCACAACAAGTACCCTTGGATCCTGAGTGCGTCGGATGATCAAACTATTCGAATATGGAATTGGCAGAGCCGAAACTGTATTTGCATTCTGACTGGGCACAATCATTACGTGATGTCTGCTCAATTTCACCTCTCGGAAGATCTGGTCGTTTCTGCATCTCTGGATCAGACTGTGCGAGTTTGGGACATTTCTGGTATGTAGGAGGAACATTTGTAATTATTTTATTGACAATGTTGATAACAAAAAAATGTTGTATCTGCAGGGTTGCGCAAGAAGCATTCTGCTCCCAGCTCGGCGAGTAGTATGGATGATCACATGCGACATCCCGGAAGTGCTGATTTGTTTGGTCAGGCGGACGCAGTTGTTCGTCATGTTTTAGAGGGGCATGATCGAGGTGTGAATTGGGCATATTTCCATCCAGCCCTCCCCCTCATCGTTTCTGGGGCTGATGATCGTCTTGTAAAGTTGTGGAGAATGAATGAGTCGAAGGTAACCAGATTTTAATATGCTGACGTGTACTTGTATGTATTTGTTTATATGTTAGATGATGTAATAATAAGTGATGATTGTGTTGCTAATACGCAACTTGGATTTAAACAGTAGACATCTTTACTTTGCAGGCCTGGGAAGTAGACACTTGCAGAGGCCACTACAACAATGTGTCTTGCGTACTCTTTCATCCACGTCAGGAGTATATCCTGTCCAACTCGGAAGATAAATCCATTCGAGTGTGGGACATGTCGAAGCGAACCTGTTTACATACATTCCGCCGAGAGCACGACAGATTTTGGGTCCTCTGTGCTCACCCCTCATTGAATTTATTTGCTGCTGGCCACGATTCCGGGATGATAATTTTCAAGGTATTCGCGCACAACGAATTATTACTAATTTGCTCGTCTTACTTTAATTTGTTGCTTACCTGTTGTGATTGTTGAATGTTCAATCTGTGACTTAATACTTTACCAACTTGCGTCATCATTTTTCAGTTGGAAAGGGAACGGCCTGCATACGCAGTTCATGGAAATCTGATTTACTACGTCAAGGAGCGGTACTTGCGACGTTTAGATCTTACTACAGCTAAGGATTGTGCAATTATGCAGTTGAGAGGTGGTACTCGTGCACCAGTGTACAGGTATAAGAACTAATTACAAAAAAGAGGTGTACGAGAAAACTAATAAGAATTTCATGTATAAATAGCATGTCTTACAATCCTGCGGAGAATTCTGTGCTTTTGACTACTCGAACAACGATGGACAACAGTACTTATGAACTTTACATGGTCCCAACTGAGACTGATCCGCAAAATCCAGATGCTCCCGACTGTAAAAAGTCTTCCGGTATGACGGCAATTTGGGTGGCAAGAAATCGGTTTGCTGTTTTAGATCGTAATCAAACGGTTGGTTCTGAAGTTTTTATTCCAAAACATATAACAGTTTAAAGGGCTCAGTTCATATTGTGTAAATTTATTATTGTAGTTGGCAATCAAAAATTTGAAAAATGAAGTGAGCAAGAAAATTCAGGCTCCCAACTGTGACGAAATATTTTTCGCCGGAACAGGAATGCTACTCTTGAGAGAACCTGAATCATTGACCCTATTTGATGTTCAGCAGAAACGGTATGCACATAACTTGATCAATAAATTAGAGTGCTTGTTTTACAACTGTCCATATTTGCAGGGTTTTAGCTGAAGTAAAAGTTGCCAAAGTTCGCTATGTCATATGGTCAGGTGACATGGCATACGTCGCATTGTTGGCGAAGCGTTGTATCACCCTTTGCAACCGCAAGTTGGAGATTTTGTGCTCCCTACACGAGAGTACTCATGTAAAGTCGGGTGCTTGGGAAGATTGCGGCGTCTTCATTTACACAACCAGCAATCACATTAAATATGCCATTACCAACGGGTAAGATAATTTAATGCGTACAAGTGAAGCAAATAAAACGATTTTATGAATTTCGGGGTACTCAAATTTTATGACTTTGAAACTTGCAGTGATAGTGGAATCATTAGGACTCTTGACCTACCGATTTACATTACCAAGGTGAAGAACCAGCAAGTCTATTGCCTCGACAGGGATGCCAAAGCCAGAATTTTGACTGTTGATCCCACAGAGTATCGTTTCAAATTGGCTCTCATCAATAGAAAATATGACGAGGTAGCAAATTAATAATGATAATGTTATTTCTAGTTTATGCTGGCGATCATGTATTTGGATACAAATGAATATTATTTCTCTCTATATTTCTCACCGTAGGTTCTCTACATGGTTCGCAATGCAAAATTAGTAGGCCAGTCGATCATCGCCTATCTCCAAAAGAAAGGGTATCCTGAAGTTGCCTTGCATTTTGTAAAAGATGAAAAGACACGATTTGGACTTGCACTGGAATGTGGGAATATCGAAATTGCTCTCGAGGCAGCAAAATCTCTGGATGATAAAACATGCTGGGAAAAACTCGGAGAGGTGGCACTACTTCAAGGAAATCACCAGGTATGCTTTGTTAATTCGTATTCGTATTCGCTTCGTCCTAGTATTGCATGATTTGTATTTAAATATTCTTCAGTTAGGTACAACAATTTATTACAATAAATAATAACATTATTGTGTCAATACCTTTATAGGTGGTTGAAATGTGCTATCAACGAACCAAGAGATTTGACAAGTTGTCATTTTTGTATCTCATCACTGGAAATCTTGAAAAACTAAGAAAAATGATGAAAATTTCTGAAATACGAAAAGACGCTTCTGGTCATTATCAAGATGCATTGTTGTTGGGCGATGTTGGGGAAAGGATCAAGGTGCTAAAGGTAAGCGGTTGTCTATTAAACTATGTCTCCAAAATAAAGTTTGAAGTTGTCAACTCATTATCAACCGTCATTTCAGAACTTAAACCTACATACGCTGGCATATTTGACTGCTGTCAGTCATGGATTTGTCGATGAAGCAACAAGCATTCAAGAATTGGTTGGTCCTGAAAACCTCTCTGGCATAACTCCAGATCCGAATGCCGTAATCATTGAACCGTCGTATCCAATAACGGTTAGTGAGTCGAATTGGCCTCTCCTCACAGTTTCAAAGGTACGCAAAATATGAGACAAACCAGATGGTATGCATTATCCTGTCGTTGTAATGTTTATTTAAATCTAATAATTTGTGTCTGTGTGAACAGAGTTTATTTGAAGGAGCTGCTTTAGCCAAAACAAAACCAACGTTAGTCCAAAGTTCTGGTTTGGTCAACGAGGAGCATGACGTACAGGCTGGTGGCCTTTGGGGTGATGACGACATGCCACTAGACGATGAAGATGCAATGCTCAAGGATGAGAATGACATTGGTGATGAAGAAGGTACTAACGGTTGTTAGATATTACAACACAGATGATTTATTAACTAGTATTTCGTGTTGGATTGTTAGGAGGTGGCTGGGATGGAGATGAAGTTGAGCTTCCACTGGACGCCGAGGTACCAGCCGGTACTGGCGACGAAGGCTTCTTCGTGGCTCCGACTAAAGGCACACCAATGCCTCAGCAATGGACCAACATGTCCAAGCTGGTTGTCGATCACGTTCTAGCAGGAAGTTTTGAATCGGCTGCTAGGCTCCTTAATGAGCAAATTGGTGTCATTGAAATTCGGCCCTTCAAGTCACTTTTTAATTCTACTTTTTCTCGTGCCAGAGCAGCCTACACAGCACTTCCAAATATGCCTACCCTCTACTTGTACCCACTTAGAAATTGGAAAGATCAAAAAGCACCACTGCCAGCCATTGGATTGCACATATCCGATCTTATTACCCGTCTCCAGGTGAGTGACATGTTGTATTTATTCCTTTAGTATGGATAGAGAAAGTCATATATGACCAGTCCACAACCAACCAAGATTCATTCTGACATGTTTTATAAATTGTTTAATTTTGTGTCATGCCGTAGAACTGCTATCAATTGACAACAATGGGGAAATTTGTGGAAGCATTAGAAAAGTTTCGGTCTCTCCTCTACAGCATTCCTTTACTCGTAGTTGAGAATAAACCCGATGTAACCCGTGCTCAAGAATTGGTGTCACTATGTCGAGAATATATTCTTGGTATGTTTATTTATGTATTGGATTATCCGATGTTCTCTCAGTTCACTGATCCATATCGAGTAACCAATTTATTTATGACTTTGATTTTCTGTCACACAGGCCTTGAGATGGAGCTGTACCGGAAAGATTTGCCCAAAGAAAATTTGGACGCACAGAAAAGGAGTTGCGAATTGGCCGCATATTTCACCCATTGCAGTTTAGACCCCGTCCATCTCATCCTTACTCTTCGCACAGCTATGAATCTTCACTTCAAATTAAAGAACTACAGGTTTGCAGCATCATTTGCGAAGAGATTATTGGAACTCGGACCCAAGCCTGACATGGCTCAACAGACGAGAAAACTTCTCGCCGTCTGTGATAAGAATCCTTCAAACGAGCACCAAATCAAGTATGATGAGCACAACCCATTCAATGTATGCTCCAAAACATACGAACCTATTTACCGAGGAAAGCCTGAGATTAAGTGCCCGTTCTGCAATGCATCATACATCCCATCCTGTGCAGGCGAGCTTTGCAGGATTTGCCTGGTGTCGGAAGTAGGAAAAGATGTCATTGGTCTTCGCATTAGTCCACTGCAGTTCCGCTAACAACAACTTATCCTAGTTGTTGACCTCCCATCATCAGTTATTACTATTGCTAAGCTGTTATATATACAACTATTATCATGATTCTAATTCACGCCACTATTCTATTTCAAATTAAAATTGTGTAGTATTTATTTGCTATTATGAAACATTTGAATCACAAGATTTTAAAACTGTATTTAATTTGCAATTCAATGTATACTTTTGTTTGTTTTACAAGGGAATTAGAATATTATTCTTTCACTGATACTACACTACACTACACTATACCGTGTAATAAATATATCGTAACTCTAATCAGCATCACTTCAGGGCCTTGTTTGTCTAGCTATTAAACAAATAATAATAAATGTTTAGTAACAAACACTTGTTCTCAAGCAATCCGTATCAAAACATGGCGTATTTGCTACAGTAAGTTTCCATGCACGTTTAGCAGCTCGCCTCATAAATGTTTCATAGATTCTCAGAAGTATTGGTCACTCTTTACTCATTTCATCAACTGAACTCACAATTGATGTGCCAATCTGGTTACTCGTATTTTGGAAAAACTAATTCATGACCCGAAAGCTCAAATCCAGTAGCACCACGATTTCAGGTGCTAACCAGTAGGCGGAGGAATGCAATGACAAACACAAATCCGTCATGAATGACTACCAACCAACAATAATGTGCGTCTTCTTCATGCATGAGATTCCTCTCTCTCTCTCCAACAACACTGAAGAAGATGAATTGCATGGCTAAAAATAGCTTCGACGGATCCCCGCATTGGCTGAGATTCTTAGTTGGGATGGGACAACATCATTATTGTCGACATGAGAAAAATTCACTGACACAGCCTTTAAAATCGAATCGTCTATCGCTAAACCAATCCGCGCACCGATCTAAATATAATATTGCTCAATTTCTCAAAATAAATGTGCTAATAAAGTCCAATTAAGTAATTGGGTGTTCAATTACGTATTTATGTAGAATTTCTGTCACCATGTTTGTGAAGGACAGAAATATGTAACATTAAATCAAATCATACCGATTTATGGACTCACTCAAAGAGCTCTTAATTGCAAAAATTGCACGAGTATGTAAAACTACTCTGAAGTTTTCACGCTCGTACACCCAAGGTGGAAAAATGTTGGAGAAAAATACTAAATATGTACTGACTACGCGAGGTAAAAATAAAATGTTCTAATTTAATTCACTTTAATAAATAGACCGTGAAAACAAGACGGAGATGAGAAAATTATGATGATACTTTCATCTCACAATTACACATCATTTTTCTCTCTTTCTCTCGGCATCCATGCGATATGAGAAGAAGAAGAAATGATTCAATTCATTGTTTCAATGAGTGAGCATTAATAACTTTGTAATTGGTGTAACCTATTTATATCGCTCATCGGTTATCAGCATTTTCATCGAGGTGAGCTCTTCGAAAATAACAACATGTTTGTTGATTATACAACTTAAAATGTGTATGCATAGAATTTATTGCCAAGTATTTAATTGACGTGAAAGGGGAGATTCATTACTAAATAAAAATGAGTACGATATTATTTATTAATAGCAATTTTGTAAGATTATCGCATGTATGTATTGCCAATTATAATTGACGAAATTAGCTCATTTGCGTGGGTTTCAGTATGCGGATTCAAAAGACGTCAACGATTTTACTTGGCATTGTTGTGCACAAATTTGTATATATAGAATGCAGAATGACGTATATACCTACACAAATAGTGAAAGAAATGCTTTAACAAGAGCAAAATTATCTGGAGTTGCATATCATCCGTTATTTTTTCAGAACTCAGATTTCGTAATAATCCAACTTTCTACAATACTTGTAAAAACAGGAGTAAAAATAAATCTAAACCTGGATGCCATAAATTTCTTGGTATGACATCATCCATTTTTGAATTTATTACTTCCTCTAGTTTACATATTCGACAACTTGAATCTGAACCCCACCCTCAATTTTCTAAAGAAATATATCATCTCTTCTTAATTAAAGTATTAATGACGCATAATACGTTTAGCGAGGTGGTTGACTTTTTTCCGACTTAGATAGTTGCCCATTCACGTTAAATAAACTAAATTGAAAGTAATCGTATTTAGCAGAACCATTTTTTCATCACAGTCAATTGAAATAATGAATCTACGTCAAAATATTTAATGCGATACATAAATGTTTTCTTCTTCTCCTCCTCCTCGAAAAGCTATTAAATTTATATCAAATTTCATTAACCACAAAGACTGACTTTGCGTAGTCAATACGATTTATGAGCTCGCTTAATTTTTTTTATAATCTCAATCTTTCATTTCTTTAAAAAATAAATGAATGAATGAACGAACAAATGAATGAATGAAATGCAAAACAAACTTTCTCTAAAATCTATCCACTCAGCTCTCTGTCTGGCTGTGGTCAATGAATTGTTGTGATTTCGAGACAATTTCATTAAAAAAATACAAATTAAGAAGTAACAAAAAAAGAGTTCATCCAATCCCAATTTTGATTATGACAGTACGAAAGTTATTACATGAGCGAGCCAGTGAACTCCTGTTGATATTGTTACACGACGACTTTTGTATTCTTAAATACGATGATGTGATGATGAGGATTAATCTTTCGAAATGATTCTTTTTGGCAGGGACAACCAACCAAGAAATTGAAAGGTCACCGTATTAACGATCAACCTCCATTCGTCATGCATACATACGCAGAATGGGTGGTGGTGGTATTATCTGAACAGAAAATTGAGAAATATACACGGTGGTTATTCCACTCCACCACGAAACTAATGTGCTAAACCGCAGCCAGGACAATGTGTGTATCGGACATTCTTATTATTCGTCTCGTGAACTCGTGTGATGTGATTTGAGGGGCAATTGATGCTAACGGTCTTTATTATCATTACTTAACAAATTTTATGGTAATTTTTAAAACGAGTCTTGTTTTGGCTGTGGGACAACGGTGTAAAGAAGAAGGAGATGAAGAGGTGTATAGGAAAACTGATACATGGATGGACTTGGACTGACTACTTATTTACTACTTGCGTATGTATCCAACGGGGATTCTTCTTCATCATCACACGACATTCATCATTTCATTTTATTATTGAGACTGGTTTGGACGAGGGGAATCATTGGCAAGGTTTTGTAAATTTGCCAGAAAACAATATCACCGTTACGCGTTACTTACTTTGCTCATCATCCAGTTAGCTAAGTATTCAAACTTTTCGGGGGTTGCATTGCAAGTCTTGTATGATTGCTGTTTACGGCGTAAATTATAAAAATGATGAGGTTTAGTTTTAAATGCCGTGAACCCGGCTTGACTGACTAAGAAGTAAAATTCCACAATTATGATACATCATCTCGAAAATATGCCATCTTTTTATCTAGAATGTCTTATTCCTCGGGAAGAAGAAATACTCTGATGAATAACAATTAGCCGACGTCGTTCCCGTCTCACTTGCCCCACACAGAGAAAATTCCATCGTAAATACGCATATGCATGGGTTTAGTGAGACATTCGTCTTCTTGACACATTTGACATATGTACGTACCGGACTTGGTTTGGTTTGGTTTGGTTGGTCCAATTTGTAAACTTTTTCATACGAGGGCATGTAGGACGACGAATATCGTTCCCCTTATCACACGTCACGAGTTAATTTAATTAATTTGAGATTCAATTTTCAAAAATTCAATTAGTATTTTGTTTATTTCCTTATTTATTTGTCATGTTGTAGTCATCATTGTTGTCGGTGAAACGAAGAGTCCATCCTTTCAAGAACATTACTAACTGTGTAGCAGGTTGCAAAAATGTGCGAAATTGTGAAGAATGAATGTTTTACTTTTGTTAGATTTTGGGTTTAAGAAACGCATCACACATTCGACCGACTTTTCTTGGTCATCTTACTCATCCATCCCTGCATATCCGCCTCGTTTCAGTTTTCATAGCAGAATCAAAAGTGTGTGTGTGTGTGTAGCTCACCAAGAAACAAACAGTTTATTATGTTTCTTTTCTTTTAGTGCAGCAGCCTTGTCGTGTAAAATATTAACCGGCATAGGTGTGGTTTTTGTAGGAAATAAATCTGTAGTCGGACCCATGTAGGCGATGGTCATGATTTTTCGTCCTCATTACAACTTTTGTCCATTCCGACTAAACAAAAAGTGAGACTTTTTTTGACAGTCAACTCAACATTTGTACGAAAGTAACTGCTAAATAAAAAAAGTAAGCCACGCCACACATATATTTCTGCATAAAAGAGAGTAATTTATGAGCTGGCCGCGATAAATTATGCACATCGGTCCTCCTCGCGGATTAGTAAGATCCTTCTAATTAATGGAACCAGCGTCTTTTTGCTGGTACATATACGAATGAGATAAAGTGCTTAAATAAATATCTGTATATTTTATTTTGTGCCTTTTATTCTGAAATGTTTGGACGTGAAAATGTCTGCATATACAAATCTGCTTAAGTACATGTGTAGCCTTTTTTTACGATGGGATGCACATTTTTAGTTAAATCCATCCATTCCGATGTCTTTTCCTCATTTTGCGTACACACTTTCAAACCCAACTGGCACGTAATATGTGTTACACACGATTTTAGTTTACTGAACTAGTGCTGACTGACGGATGCTCATAATTCCAATGAAATGAATTTTAGCATCACAATAACTCTTTTATTATTACATTACACGAGGCGAGAAGAAGAAGACGGTTCTTGGTTCTTGGATTTTAATCATCTTTTTATACTACTCATTTAGAATTCTCGACGAACCCATCAACAATTTTAATGCTTAATTATTATTAATGCGAAATAATAATATTGTAATGGGTTTAATTCAGATTGGAATTTATGTAGTTTTTGTTTATGTTTATTAATAACATCAAGTATCTAGTACCTCACTCGCTCAAAAATTTGCAGAGATGATGGCACGATATGGATAATTCGTAGCCTAATTAACAAGTGAAGTATATAGTACATCTTCTGCTTAAGTTCAGAGTCAGTGAGTTGTTAGATAGACGTTTTTTTACCATACTTTTTGAAAGATAATCAATTTTGAGATAAACATTTAATTTATTTAATTTCCTCTTCACGGGCGAATACTTAACTACCTCGACGAACTAACAAAGTCTGTGTCACCAGGCACATGAGCGAATTGGGGTAAATTTTAATTAAAAACTCTGTCGCGGACACAATTATGAAATTGATAACCATTTAGAAATTGAAAATTTTCGTTGGTTTACAAATTAATAATTCGGACGTATACATAGTCACTCAATTTGTGTGTGGGTTGGGTTCATTTCATTTATTTCGTATCTTATTAGCCGACCAACATGTCGAATACGTAGAAGTAAGAAATAGAGATGAGCAAGTGAAGTGTAGAAGATGTAGGATCGGAGAACGGTACTCTGTCCCAATTTGCGGACTAAGTTATATTAAATGACCATCTTCTGCTCCCAATTTCAAAGATTATCCTTCTTCCCAACTCTTCACGTCTTTTTCGCATAAAAAAACAAAGCATGCTACTACACTGGCAAATATTTATTACATTATTGTACTACGTATATGTACGTGTTTTAGTAGTGAAATGAGTCCTCTTTGTCTCATCGTGCTCGTTCTGTCTCCGATTTTGTCCTTTCTTTCTGCAAGGGCAAAAGCGAGCGTAAAATCTAACTAACTAACTAACTCACTATGCTAAGTGGTCTTAATCTCATAATTTGGACCTCCTCATTCTGTCATTTATTTATTTACCTCTCACCGAAATCTAAAATGGATGGACATGCGTTTTCTTCCTTCAATTAAGACAACCCGCGGTGCTAATTGTCTTAATCTTTTTAATTTTGCAGGCAGACACACGGGAAATTACGGCTAATTCAATTTAATAATTTCTCCCCACATATAACACCCAAAGGATAAAAAATATATAAAATAAAAGAAACCATTACATTTTTTATTCATTACACAAATCTTCTAAATGATACAGAATTTATGACTAAATTTCACCCGTAAAACACACCACAACTTCTCATCGTCGCTAAAAAAGATGAAGACGCGTACATATTTACGATAAGAATAAGCGTTTAATGAAATATTTCAGTTAGTGTATAAAACGTCGTCCATAAATATAATGAGAAATCAGAAAGTGGGTGCATACACACACACACAAACATTAATATTATTATCAGCTTAATCTTTGAATTCACAGACACCTATACGTTTCATTTTTTTCTGTGTGTCTCAACTTTGATTCGTAGCCGTACCACCACCACGAAAAACAAGCAAAATCTTATTACCAGAAGCTGCATATTTTGTATGTAACTTGGTTCGGATGATGGATCAAGAGAGACTTTATGTTCACGGATGCGCTTATTTTTCAGCATAATATTCATCCACCAAGCACATCATCATCCTCATCCTCGCCCCTCACCTTTGTTCACACGGTGGAAGAAGAAGTCATAGCCTCGTCGAAATCAAAAGTAAAGAAATTCACAAGATTTATAACAAAACATTGTGTACACACGTTTTCCACAATTTGACATTTTATCGCCAAAAAAACGTGTCGTTGGGTTGGATGAACTTGACTTTTTAAAGGATCAAGATACATATAAGAAGAAAGAATGCAACAAGTGAGGGTAACCCAGTTACAGGATGGATACGTGCAGGCATACGTATTCATGATGACTACATTACTTCGAATGAGGCAGGCAGGTGCAATTAATAATGCACTAATGTTTTGCCATTTTTCTTGCTCAAGTTGTAAAATTGTTCATTCATTGTAGACGACGATGAAGGAAGGAAAAGGAAGAAAAAAGAAAATGAATGGTTGGAAAATGTGAAACAACGGATGGATGGCCGAGGCGTGGGCTAAAATGGGAGTAAAACGTAAAACATGCACAATTTGTAAGTAATTTCTGCAGTCCGTGCAAAAATAAGTCAACTTGAGACAAAGACCTAGGTTACGTTATTATGCTGCACAAATTTTTGTACTATATGCCGTGACCAATATTTATTACAACGCTGCTGCTGCTTTGCTTCCCACCACTTGATTGTCTTTTCCTGTGCAGCTACAAATTCACTATCACTCTCAAGAATCTTCTTCTTGGTGTGCAGTTATAGTTTTTAGTTTCACATGAAACCGAGACATCACATCCTTTCGTTCGAATAGGCTGGTGTAAAGTGTGTTATTATAAAAAAAAGAGTTCCCAACTATGCATATGGATGGACGACGTGATCATGCACTTACAGACATGCTCCACTTTGACATGTGTGTATTGTGTAAATGTATTGAAAAAACTTCCATTTTCATTCAGGACATCGGATATGGGCTGAGAGACTTGATAGATAAGTAGCATTCGGTGGATGGGAACTTTTCCTGTAATCTGTAATCTCACTTTCAAATTGGACTGAATTATGAAACGTAATATGTATGCAGGAGGAGGAGGATGATTTCATTTTACTTGTGAAATTTCAGTTTCATTTTCATACTCAAATATTAAAGGGAAGGTTTGAAATTTGATTTTGAGATGATAATAAATCGGATTGATTGGAAATAAGTGACGATGATAATTTCTACCCTGACCTGTTCAATGTATTAAAAAGTGATGGATATACCCTTATTTATTCCTATATACAGAGTATTATTGTTTTACTTTCAAATTTTAATGATTGGACAAAAATGTTATAGATTTTAGCACATTATTATTAGAGAGAAAACTTTTTGATATTTCATTTTAAAAGAAAAAACTTGTTTCATTGTCGTTATACAACTAACCAATTTAGGGTCGCTGTACGGATAATTGTAGTCTAACTATACATACAACTGTGGTGTGTGTGTAGCTGGTTGGTTTGGTCAGAAATGTTATTAATTTGGCCACCGTATGTACATTCAAATTATGTTGGTAATAATTATTCAATTAAACTTTCCAAACCGGTAGAAATGATGACAATTAATTTCAGGAAATTTCATCATTTCTGGAAATGCCCTTTAAAATATCTAAGACTTAATTCTCCCCGCAAAACAAAAAAAAATCTGTAAAGAAAAAGTCTACCACAATTATTTACATTCTTTTTTATTTACACTTCTTTGATCCACATATCATCAATGACGATATACAATTACTCCCACTACGTACGTATCTAGCCCTGTTATTCGATCCGCTTGAAAGTGCAAAAGTGAAACAGGATGCGTCCGTCTATATCAGTGATTTGATTTCAATAGGAACAAAACCAGAAGGAAAAAGAACAAGAAACCCTCGAGAAGAAAGAGCTTTGCACTAATTAGCATTTTGTTGAGGCCGCAGCACCAGCAAGAACAGGTAACCATCATCATCCTCAAGAAGCAGGTAGGTGTTAAGTGGCAATACGTATGTAATGTATGAGAATGCTTGGTTGGTTGGAAAGGACAGGTGAATGAGTTTACACGTTGGAATGTCGTCCCTTTTCAAGAAGAAACCACAGTCCATCCAACATGGCAGACTTTTCGATATCTTGAAGAAGAACTTGGTGGACAACTCGCGGACTTCCGTCTAACCTTCAATGATCTTGACCTCTTGGCCCAGCCGGCCGGTCAACCTGCTGAACCACTGCTATGCAATTATGGATGCATCATCACATCATCATCATCGCCATGAATGAGCATCGGAGGAGTGGAATTTGTGTCACTTTATCAATTTGTGGTGTGCTGTTATTGACGAAGTGCAGGAATTGTGCCAAGTTTTTGGGAGGAGATGAGATGTTATTTATTATTTGGGTTGGCGATTGTTAAATATTTACAAACTTGGCACAAAATCAGAGCAATAAAAATGTCGCCAATATTGGGATAAGAATTGAGGAAAAGATGCGTGGGTAGGTGTGACCCTTCTTTTGGCGGAGATGATCTATTTTTAATAACATTGCGCATAATTGTAGAGCACTCATTAAATTAAGAAATATGTAAGGCACACGTTGTGCGAGGAGATTATATGGACGGGGAAGATGAAAAATATTAAGGATTTTTTGAGGTTGCATTGTGTGGGTCAAAATTCACAGTCTGGATATCTCGCATCGCTCGCATTAAAATTATTGTATTTTACACACTTCTCAGAAGAAGTTTGTGTGCACTAAAACTGCTCTTTGGTGGTGCTAGGAATGAACAAAATAATATGAAATTTTTGGTTGGCCTTGTTTTATCCGAAAAATGTGTTGAGCACGCACTGTGACCTTCGTTCGTCTTCACATATGCTCCATATTCGAGCATACGTAAAAATGGCTTAAATGTACATACACCCGTGATGAAGGAGGGTTTAAATGGTCGGAAAAAGTGTTTTGGTCAAAATTAGCTACCGTAGCGTTACACGATTAAAAGAAGCGATTGGCTTAATTTTTTGATTGCGAAGAATGCAACAACGTGTGCTGCCGAGTGGTTTGAGTGTCTGAGGACTCGCAATGATATCTCTATTTTTTCATTGACGGCGAACTATGAATTACTTTTTTATGCAAATATTTGACAAGAAAATCGTCTCGTGGAGAGAGAGAAGGATTTTTGGTGAGATATTGATTCTGATAATTGGCGCAGCTGGTTGATTAGTTAAACAAGAAGGAGACGAAGAAGAAGAAGATGAGAAAGTTGTGGAGAGGAGAAATCGCCGCATATCATATCACTACTCACTCGAGTTGTTGAAATCGTATCACCTGAGATTGAGGTGTGTTGGTAGCGACCTGAAGGTGATATGAACCGGAGTTGGCAAAATGCAGTTTCCGTTAAAAAGTAGAAATGTAGATCATACAGATTTGTATGTATGGTGGCCAAGTTCAAGAGCACACATGTACACACACATTCATGAAATATTGCTTACTTACTTGCACCTAGCCACAGAGCCAGAGCGAGTAAGAAGCAAGTAGCGTTGATTGCTTGCTAGTTATTGGGGGTCGGTCGGCCACTTACTACCACTTGAGGAAGAAAGAAGAAACTCGCCCATAAGACCAAGTAAGTCGTCGTAGTCGTCGTCGCCTTCGTATCTGCACCTACAACTATTTGCTTACTTTGTATAGTGGTTTCGCACTGCTAAAAAATGCTGTCCGTTTGGCTGCAGGGTAGCCAGGTCAGGTATAAAGAGATGGTTCGGAGCCTCACCAACATCACAAACCGTCCAAATCTTCTCACAGTCACATCTCAAGAGAAAAACCATTCTCTCAGGTAAAAATCTCAGCATAATTTTGTGATTTGTGTGCAATAATTCGTGGAAAAAGCCTCAAACAAATCAGTGGTAGAAATAGTAGTAGTAAATTAAGCGAAGCGTGGGTGTGGTCCCTTATTCGCCCCAAAAGTGTCCAAGGAGAAGCAGACCAGTTCTCACTTTGTTCTTTGTTTCTTCCTTGATTTTTTGGAGGATTTTTGCTAATCATCTTGGATTCCTATAGTACCGTGAGTAACGTTTTTCTCTTTTGCCGTGCCAGGTCACACACCTCTCGGGAAGGCTCCCTGCCACACACTCTCACTCAACATGATGCGTCAAGTCGTCCTTGCTCTTCCCTTCGCATTCCTCCTTCTCGCCGGCGTCAGGGCCGAAGGTGAGGTCAACAAGTCCCCCTTGGCTGATGAGGCTACCCGTGGAGGTGGCGGTGGTGGTGGTGGGTACTCTCAACAGTACCACTACAACGCCTACCCCAGCCATGACCCCTACGGCTACACCTACGCTGGACTCTCTTTCGACCTCTCCACCGGACTTTTCCTTGCTCTCGGAGCCATCATTGTCCTCCTCGCTCTCGCCGCCGGTAAGTTGAAAATTGACCTTCCTCCTCCCACCCTTTAGGTCAGCTCGCTTATCATCACTTAAAATTTGCAGTCTGCTACCCACTCTTGAGCAAGGGTTCCGGATACGGAGGTGGTGACGGGTGGGGATGGTCCGGCAGCAGCTATGGATCTTACCGATCCCTCAACCTCGCCGGCATGTCCGAAAAGGTCCTCAACGCCGTCGAGAAGGCTTATGAGCTGTACAACAGCAAAAACCAATAATTGGTAAGAATTACATACTTTCACTCGTTCATGAGAAAAAGAGAAGTGTTTGGTGAGAATTTCAAGTTAGACGGGGGAGAAAAGTATGTAAGATTTTCCTGAAAAGTTAAAAACATTTTTCAATCCCAACTTTCATTTGGTTTGCGAGGACACGTTGAAAATGTGAGAAACAACGACATTGGTAAAAGTACAGTTAAACAGGTTGTTATCTTAAAGAGAAAAAAACATGTTGGAAAGTAGACCTGGTTTTGCAGGATGTAGCGACCTAGGAGAGTTCAAACTTGACCAATCACCCAGTTTTGCAAAGTGCGCTGATAATAGTGATTATGGGTAGTCGTTCGTAGTCGTAGTTTACATAAACAAGTTTGCGAGTAGTTTCCTGTTCTCGTCTTCAAGACCACTTTGTACTCGTAGTCGTAGTAATGGGGTCAGACCCAGTATGTATATTCACTTCTTTACCGTAGATTTCTCTCCCTGTAGTAGTCAGTCAGTCAGTCAAACCAGTTTTCATTCATGTTTATGCATGTGTGAGGCTAGAGAATTATGTGATGTGACGTGACCCTGAAGAGAGAAATATTATTATGCGGTTCTTCACAATGTGAGACAAATCTCATCTCATTTTTTCCTCTTTTTTTACCCCTTACAGATTGGAAAATAGCCAATAGCCAAATTTATTCTAAGTTCTTTCTCTAATTCTTCGGGCTCACTTGGTCTTCAGCCGCTTTCCCTGAAAGTGTCTGGAAATCATCTAAACTCAGGAATCTGCTGCTCTTGTTCCACACACAATTACGTAAAACAAAAAATCGGAATCCAGTTTGAGAAGAGTATGGTGAAAGCCATGATATAAACTAAAACTCAAAAAACGAGGTGGGGATCCCCTTTAAAAAACGACATCATCACAAAAAAATACAAACAACGCGTGACATCCAACCGTGGACGGACGTTAGTGGAAAATGCTCAAAATTTCTTCAACACAACTTTTGTAAATGGTTTTCCTCCTTTGGAGAACTTTGGACTCTTAGATTAGTTAACGGGACAAAAAAAAACATATTTAGGAGATACAGTTTTGTATACAACCTTCACACCCTTTACTTGCGTTTGCTAACCAAAGACTGACTTTATGGACAGGTGACAATACGTATATAATAGGTAGATTTTTACTAGGTTTACTACATACAAGCTCACTTCAAGGGGTGAAGCGTTTTTTGCACGCACTGCGACAAAGATATGTACTTATCATTCTGTGTGCGTGTACAAAGGTGACATTCCTGTACCCAAAGCCTACGCTTATATTATATATATAGAAACTACTTTTATGAGGGATGCTGCACCTTCGGGTGCCTTCTCAAAGCCATGACCTCTGACTCGGGGTGTGTCCGCGTCCACGTCCTCCTCCTCCTCCTTCGGGAGGGAGGGAGGCACCGTGTGCAGCACCCCCACACACATTGCGACGATGACGGTGGCCACGACGATAACGACGACGACGATGAGGGGGACGATTACAAATAAAATAATCCAGCTGACTGCCAAAGATTTTTAAAAAATGAGACAATGACGACTTGGAGTAGTAGTGACTTTCTAGTTTTTTTTGACTGTTTATTGACACGAACTTATATAAGAGACGAGACGTTTTCGTGACTCAGACTTTTACCCAGTACGTAAAAAAAGATACGGTGACTTCTTCGTCATTTTGGACAAACCTCCCGAATAATCCCACCCCCAAAATTGAATCAAAATTCGAATTATGATATCATCGAAAAATGAACAATCAGCGTATACACACCGCTCTTCTCTTTCTACGCCAAGCGTGCCTTTCCCAGCAGTTTTTATTGTCCAATGGGCTGGCTAATTGTTGACTAATTTGTTAATTCATTGTTATTATTTTATTTGTTGAATCTGTTGATGATATTTATTCCCAAAATTTATTTTATTTCAAACCAATCCAATAAATATTTCAAAATAATCTGATCGTGTAATGTTTTGACTGCTTTGTTCATATGCATTACGCGACTTGGCGTACAATCTTTCCACCCACGACGCCCAGATTGATGATACCAATAATTTGAGACTCATGATTGCACATACGTTATGTAAATTCATCTGGAGGAAACCTGCATATCCAGCCCGGAAAAGTTGCTCACAACCAAAACCACAATAGAGGCATGGTGATCCCACCCCGGACAATGGACTAACCGGGCAGCAGGCGGAATATGTAGTCGACTCAATGAACATGACCCCATCTTTACTACATACACACCGACCGAACTGTCTTCTTTCTTACCCGGATAAAAAAAACTTCCCGAAAATGGTTTGTTTAAGGAGTACCAGAAGCAAGAAGACGTTATGTACGCAAGTTATGAATTTTTGTGCATACATTTCCCCATCAAGAGCAGCAACAGTTTACTTCATTATGGGCCAACCCAACTTTGTGTTTATCGTCGTCGTCGTCATTATCATCATCATCGCCACCACTACGTTTGAACATGTGAAGCCTTCATAACACGGCTCATTTGACGTCGTGTATAAGAGGAATAATAAGGAAGCATATTTAGAAGCTCTTCTATACATACGCGAAATCGATCCCAACTCTGCCGTAGGAGTGAAGAAGTAGCAAGCACAAAATATAATTTATCTCCAGGCTTCCAAAATGCAATATGACTATGTTCCTTAATTGACTTAAATAACCTGGTCGGGACTGAGCGAGTTCCAACCAACATAGGAAAGATCTACATATAATGGAGCATTATATCCCAGGCATTTATTTATTAATAAGAAAAGACTTGCTTAAAGTGTACGTGTTGAGGTTGGGGTGGTATTATTTGTACGAAGGAAGGAAGGACGAGGCCGAGAACGAATACTAGCCAAGCAAGTATTTCGAGCAATCAACTAAATCAAATGTATCCAGTTTCCTGGAGGAAAAGATGAAAGAAAATTTTCCGTGGGCAAAAGATCCACAAAAGTTGGACCTTTCTCCAGTTCACGTGCGAGAAGAGAGAAAAGTGACCGAAACCATGATATATGTAGGTACTTTGCTAAATAGTACATAAAATAAGGAGACGGATGGATGGATGGACAGATAATAATAATAATAATGACTTCTGACATTTCCACTTAGAAAATCCCCGACTTGATTGATATAAATTATTCTCCATTGTTCCTGCCCAATCATGTCGACATTGATTAAATGGATAAACAGGGTGAAAGTAAAGTAAATCTGTCCGCACAAAGGGACACGTACATAAATACGTACGACTGACTGGATAATAAACATGCAGAGATGAATAACTTGGTCCTCATGATCAGTGACTGCGGACAGAGGGGCAATGTCCCCACGGTTGTTCGATGTCCGCATCATCTGCCCATGTTATACAAACCCGGCCCTCTCCTATCCTACAATGTTAATGTCCCCACAGCTTCCGCGGCCACTGTCGTTCGACATTGCGTTACGCCATCGCGAGACAATAAACTCTTTGACCTGACCAGGAGCATCGTACTCGTCGTACGAGAAGCAGCAGCCACTTTCACTCCAGGCCTGCTGTTCCGTACTTATTATTATGCAAACTCATAATTTTCTGCACATCATCATCTCCTGCCTGGCCAAACAAGTATTCACTCATTTGTTTGAATGTTTGTGTGAGTTTTGTATTTGCAAATTGCTCAAGGATTCATTGCCTGGTTGGTTGGAAGGGTTCGGAGGAGTCTCCCCTTCCGGCTCTCGTTCCATGTTTGTGGTGAATAATAGTGAAGAATTATACTGTGAATTGAATGGGAGGAAAGTGGAACCATTGTGTTTTTTAGAAATGAGAAAAGACAAAACTTTCTGTTTATTGAAGCACTTTTCGTCGTTACGTATAACTTTTGGGGAAAGTTTTTTATGCAATTTTTATTAATTATTTAAATCAGTTTTTGTTGCTCTTTGTGTTTTTTCTGGGTCTCTCTTAATTTCAATTCAACTGGAATTCTCGAGGGTAGAAAAGAGGAGAAAAACAGGGCTGACAATTCGACTTTTTCGCGTGTGTAGGTATGAGGTCAATTTTCCAATGTCAAAGTGAGAACTTGTCGCCGCTTGTTTGCAGTGGCCGCGGAAGCCGTGGGGACGTGTGGGGACATTTACATTGTAGGATGGGGGAGGGACAGGATGCGGACATCGAACAACCCTGGGACATTGTCCCTCTGTCCCCTCACCCTTCCGCGGCCACTGCTTCTTCGTGTATGTAGGAACATGAAAACATATTCTTGACACATAATTGTTTCCCGAATTTTTTGTTATTTGTTGGATAAATATTAAGTACTTTCTCCCTCTAGAAATCTCTTTCTGAGATTGATCACAAATTTAATTTCTCGCTCATCCGTTCACAATGTGGACGAAGGAGGTTAGGTGGGAAATGCCCTTCATGGCGTGAAGAGCACCGAGTTCATTATCCACTGTATATTTAATTACCTTGTGGATTACCTATGACCTTTCGGCGCACTCAGAGTACGAAACTATGCAAAATCTGGCTTATAGGTAAGCACTAGGCATCACCCCATCATGAGAGGAGTCAACCAACATCCCGTATTTTTAATGGACATCATCATCCATCGAGAATACATAACTAATGGGCACAAAGTGTCACTCCTTCATCCCAGAATAGATTCATTTGCAACTCACCAGCAGCTCCAATAAAAAGTGCACAAAAGTGGTGGTGGCGTCGGGTGGAGAATTAAATTTTGTGCACATTTTATCTAAAATAACGGAACGACCACATGCAAAATCTATTTACTCGCTGTACATCGAATCAAGGTTTCCATTATTTCCCCAGCACAGGATTGTCTATCTATCTATCATCCTCTCCCAGTTTTTGACACAAGTTGGTTTTTAATCACTTAAATAAATGTGTACTATCTATTTTCACAACTTTTATTTACCATTTAAGTACTTTTCCATTTCCACTTATCCTTGGGGTTGGGTGGTTACCTAAATTTGTTGGCTGGCTAAAAAGGTTCCGTGAACTCTAACCCGATCCATCCATCCATCCATCCATCCATCCATCCATCTGCAATCTGCGGAATATTGCATTAGCTCTCTCGGAAATTTGCAGCACGCAGGGAGAGAGTGATGATATAGTGGTTTGGCAAATAGGTATGTGCCATTGTGTGGTGTGGTGATTTTAAAATGTTTATCCTGAACATCAGAAATAGGGGCATCACCAAGCAAAGTGAAATGAAATCATCTTGCCCTTTTCTCACAAAACTTGTACACTCCAACCAACTTTTGATTTATATATTATTTGTGACTTTGTGTGTAGTCATTCTTCTGGATGATGAGTTGCTGAGATTGCACAATAATCATGAAAATTTTAGAGAGAGAAAGGTGGCTGGGTGAAGAAATAAAGAGTTGATTATCCTGGTTACTGGAACTTTTCACCGTCTTTATTCCCCATTTTGCAGTAATAATATCCAATATACTTTCTACGAGGTTATTGCATTGACGACATCATTCTGGTCTGAAAAATTGATGAGTTTTTGGCAGGCAGACATGATCTCGTAATTTTACAGAGAGTGAGATGATGCCGTATAAATTAGCTGATCGAATCTTCTACCCGACAAATAAGCAAGTCTCTATCTCCAGATAATTCTGGATGGAATTTTGTTTGCGGTCGACCTTATTGTCTCCGATTTTTTATCTGGAAACGTCGATTCGACTCTGTCTCATTGCATTTGAGGAGGATGGGGAATTCTAAGGAAACCTGTTACGATGGATAATAGGCTTTCTCTCCTCTCTTCTCCTCTCTCGGGTTTCAGAGGAGCCAAAAGTTTGTGAAATCTTAGAAGTAGCGAAAAAAAAGAAATATGCAAACATCCTTTCTTTTTCTCCATTCAAATGACTATTCAATGTGCAAGTAGAAGAGTGCGGCTTTTCGGAGGTCTTGTTGGTTGCATCCTTTGTCAAAAAGTGTGTATAGTCGTCTGAAAAGTTCAAATTTATTGATTTATTTATTCATCACAGATTTTGTGCAGCAGCCGGTGCTCTGTGTTTTTATCAGCCTTTTATTTTCCAGAACTTATAATTGTTAGTAATTTTATGTCTGCGTTTGGATGGAACCTTGCCAAGAAGGAGCGAAGGACGCCGTGACATTGCTGCTCTCCCAGAAATAAATACTTACCTAATAATTCTGGAACAACAACAAGTAAAAAAAAATGTCGAGATTAATTAGAGACAGGATTTTACCAGTTTTTTTCTCTAATCATCGACCCGACAAGGCAGCAAGAATGCATTTGCATTAATATTATTTTTATATAAATATTTACTTATCATGCTGAAAAATGCATGCATGCATGAGCAGCGTCCTTAAGTGACAACGGATGGGATGCACCTTTGATTCATCGAGAGGAACAGTTACATGTCGTTATTGTTCGATGTGCTGCATCATATGAACAATGAGTGAGTTTGCATGCATCGCGATTCATCACCAACAAGTTTGTGCTCAAGATTCAAGGTAAATGGTCACGGTGATAAGTAATTCCTTAAAAAAAGTGTTGACGACAAGTCCACACTTTTTTAGATGTGTGTCCCAAAATATGAACGTAAATATGTAGAACGCTGTTCTCATTGCTGACACCTTGCTCCGTCGTCACCTATCTGTTTATAGAATAAAAAATGTGTGTTGTGCAAGTGTCAAAAATGGGATGAATGCGGCGACACATGGGGTTTGAAGTGCACTTGGTTGTAAAGTGAATGAATCGCCTTTTGTGTCGTGTATGCATGTACACTGCAAAAACCGAGGCGAACATCTAAGATACCCGTCCCCTGCAAAAAAATGAGACTCATGAGAGTAAAACACGCACATCATCACCTCGCTGCTCGAAGAATAAGCCGAGTTAACGGCTCACACAAGGATCACAACGGAAACGAGGCGAGACGTTTTGAAAAGGAGGAAAGAATAGAAGGAATGGGAATAAGAGAAGGAAGCAGAGTAGGTCAGTATTAAATACAAATCCCAAAAGTATAAGCAGGCACAGAAATGGAGCACCTTATAAAGAATGCTATCATCACATCGTCAAATCGCATCATTTCCTTCCCCCAAAAAATTATTCCGCATTTTTCTTGCAACGCGTGCTTCGCCAGAAGCAGTGACGAGGGTTCCGCAGCGTGTGCTCAACAAAGTCTTCTTAAAAAGTTGACCACCAAACCAACAAAGTGTCAGACTTTTAATGGGCGACAAGTTTTAATTGATTTGAAAATAATAATTTGACTTATTTCTCTGGAATGGTACCAGTGATTACATTATCGTCTTCTTCCTCCACGCCGACGACGACGACATTGTGTCTTCTGCGTCGAATAAAGGAGGAAAGGTTACAGTGAGAAGAGATCATCGAAAATCGAGTTATCCACCATCCAGCATATTTTTCTCAGGTGGAGAGGAACCCGTTATGGATTTCTGTTCTGCGTTGACATCCCCACAACTGATCCTACTCACGATTATTGGACTATCTTTTTGGTTCGTAAAAAATAAAATATAATCTATATTTCATTCCCTTTGAGAATTTTGGCATTATTTATGCAACAGTTGTACTGCATGCAAATGGTATTGTTCTTGATGTACTACTACGAGAGAGTAAATATAGTTTCGAAAAAAAGAACGAGGGGGGATCGCACAGTGTTAGGTTTGTGATTAAATTACCAACTTTTCAAGGTCAGAGTTGATTTCGTCACTTTGATTTCTCGTGCTGACCAAGAAAAAAAGGCTCAAAAGTTGTTACAACTTTCTTGTATATTTTCTTTACCATTCCGACACTTACTTTGCCCATGTGAAATATTAATGCAGAGTTAATTTGCCCCGTGTCAACACCACGACTTGAAGAAGAAGTCATATATGACGAGGTTACATACACTCGTTTTTTCCCTCGAGTTGCGACACGACTATTTTCACACGACCTGAAATGGTGTGCACAGGTCATTAAATATGCAACGACTCCTTGTCCAACTAGGTCCCCGATGGAGTGTGTAGCACTTCGACTCTTTCGCGGAGCTGTTTCTTCTTCTTCTGGCGGTGCCAAAGCCTATTTCTCTCAAGAAGAAGAAGAAGAACTTGGCGGTGGGGATGATGACGGAGAGCCTGCTTCATCAAGAACGAGTAAGAAATCGTCCATTTAGAAATTCTTAGCATGATTTACAGTGTTTTTTTATTCGGTGAGCAATTTCACTTCGGAGTTGTTAAATTTTTTTCTGCCCTCGAGTAGTTGCAATTATCTGTACGGTTTTTGCAGAGTGATAAATAACATAAGATGAATCTTGCCCAGTTGACGACGTGGGAGTAATTATTCCATACATGTTTCTGCCTAATAGGAATAGGGAATTGGGTGAATGAATGAAATGCGGATGTAAGTACGTAGTAGTTCATAAGTCTTGCCCACCTATTTAGAAGCATGTGTCTCATTTAATGACTCGAGAAAGGATTTGGCACAGTGGGAATATTGGGGAAATGTACGGAAGGTTCAGCCTATTTCGTGATAGGAGTATCTGCCTCCTTCCAGGAACTCGTTCAGTCGAGGAACTAACTAACTAACTAGAAATTGTAGGAAGTGATGCGAGTAGTCCCGTATCCATAAATATGTAAACTGTGCCCAATGGAATATGCATTCCGAATCAATTAATAGTGACGTATGTCCCCTTATCTCAAATGAACCAGCAGCCGGGCAATTCTGGGAACTCGTATCGTCCTCCTCGGATATCATCCCAGTCCAAAACCGATCTTCTTCTGACTTACCACCCTCGTCCTCCTCGTCGGTCCATATCAGCCTGGAGACACGTCTTCAAAAGCTTGAACATCACTTCAACACGCTCAAAATCTACGATGAAGATTGCCGACAGCGTTTGTTGTGTAACTTGGCGGAGAACCCTAAAAAATTCGCCCCTTTGAGCACAGCCCTCTTAGACGAGACCAGGTTTGTGTGTGTGTGTGTTTTGACTATTTAATTACTAAAGCCTTCTCCTGATGAATGTGCCCCTTTTACAAAAAATCAGCTATATCGGAGATGAAAAAGTTCTGGCAACCGCTCTCCTCTCGACGAAGGAGGGGGCTCGACTTCTCAGCTATATCGAAGCCGTGCAAAAGGGATCCTCCAGGTATGAGAGAGACCGAGTCAAATTATGCCATTATGCAACTACATAAATACGTTTTCCCCATTAAAAAAATATCCACTTTATGTAACACAAAGATGGTCCAATTATATCAAATGACAGGTTCGGCTGTGACGTCTGGACGTATCGATGTCCCCTCAGCATCACCGCCATGATTGATTACAAGGCTCTCCTCGTTTGGAAAGAATTGTCAAAATGGCTCACGGTCAAATTTGTGGCGAGTAAACGGGCCTAAATTGCATACGTAAGTGCCGTTATGTAAAAGAAGAAGAAGCAAATTAAGGTTAATTTTCCACACATTTTTATTTATTTATTGGTACACATAATTAATTAATTAATCAGAGTTGCACAAGATTTTAGAGAATATTTATCATCATCATCATCATCTGTAGATTTCCATACAAATATTTATTAAGTATCCCGATCTGTATATATCCGATTTATTTTGATGCCACAATGATAATCGCTTAATAACGTGGATGTGGTGGTGAAAAGTGAGTGGGGGTTGCACAAAACCAGGGGATAAATATAGATTAATAACATGTAGATTTATATATATATGTATTTACAAGAATTGCAATAATATTTCATCATCATCATCACGGACTCATAATTTCCCAACAATACATGTGTCATGTCGTCGGAGAATTGTTAAAAATAGAATAAATCTAGCAACTCACGCGTAATTGGTACTTTACAATTTTTATCACAAAGAATTGAACCCTCTAATTGGGTATCATCATCAGCCTCGCATCATCATTCACCTTGATAAACTAACTACAAGATACTCGAACGAAATCCTACCTCATCAACTGCAATCCATCCCAAATTGAATTGATGCTCCATTCCATCAGACTTGTCAAAAGTTGGCAAGTTGCACTCAATAATAAAATATCGACGTCAACTTGCACAATCCAGAAGTAAGTACTTTGGATCGTCGAAGAGCACCACCACGAATTCGAACTCGAGAAGAAGATAATAATATTACTTTTTTTACCGACTTATGTACACTCTTCTAGATAATAAATATATATATATTTGTGAGACCAGGGATCTAACGAGCAAAAAAGAAAGTATCGTCCCCTCTTTCAGTAATTTGAGTAAGTAAGTTATATAAAGTGAAGGAGAAGATAAATATCTATCTATCTGTTATATTTTTATTTGTTGGTTTGTTTGTTCGCCACGGTTTGTTTGGTTGGTAGTTTTTTGTTGTTTGATTTTCTATTTATTTGCGGATAAGTTTGGATATCTGGCTCCTTTGAAATCTATGCATTTCGTGGCTAAACACAGGGGCCGCGGAAGAAGCCGTAGGGACATTAAGAGGGGAGGGCCGGGTTTATATAAGATGATGCCGACACCGTGGGGACATTGTCCCCCTCAAGCTTCCGCGGCCACTGGCTATCTAAACATACATTCTGCTGCACTTTATCAGTGCAATAGAGACACCGATTATGGATCCATTTACACGGAAGAAAGCCACGCAGAGGGAATTAATATGATGGAGAAAGTGATACGTATAAAAAGAGAGAGAGACCTTTTCTCTATGTGGGGTCTCCTATTTAAGTTAAGTTTTTTTTTTCTTTCCTATAAAAGGCAACTATTTAGAGGATAAGTTGCACTGTTGAGTTAGTTAGTGTGTACATACAAGAAGAGTTATTTAGTTTGTGTGTCTCGAGAGAAAATAAATTGAGTTCTCTTCATGAAGAAGAAGAAGAAGTACAAGTGAAAGTAAGTGTATATAGAGCGATATGGGTATTCTCTCGATCCACTTTCATCCGATAAGTCAATCTGCTACTGCACATACATATATACGAACGAAATACAGTACATTAAACACCCTTGAGTCTTAATCGACTCGAAAGTTTGAGCACCTTAAATGTAATAAATGTAATCGGATTAGTATTAGTCATTTGATCTGTCGTTATAAAAAAGATGTGAGGGGAGGGAGATATATTTGGATTGGACACATTAAGCAGTTGGGTGGGTCGGAATAATTAAACTTTTCACTGGTTTACTTAAGTTTACAAACTATGTTATTTAAACTAAAGTATGCTATTTTCTAGAGTAATTTTAACTACGTACATAATTAACTAACTATTACACTGGTATATTATATACATTGGAGGAATGTTTCTTCGACCAGTTAGTATGAGGAATATTTGCAGTGGCCGCGGAAGCTGTGGGGACATGGGGGGACATTAACATTGCATGATAGGGGATAACATGAGGACATTGTCCTCTGTCCCCTCCAGCTTCCGCAGGCACTGAATACTTGCAAAAATATGAATGCCACCGTCCCGACCTTGATTCAGTCTCGAACATAGGACTACGCCGACATTTTTCTATCCCTTTTACTAACTGGTCTCCTACTCATACAGCTTCTCTCCATATAGCATCATTTCTATGAGTATAAGAATGCATGTACAGACTGGGATTCAATTGGGTTTGGTGGAGTGAAAACATCGCCAATTGCATGGGGACATGATTTCACTCTGTGTACTGTAACGTAATAAAGTATAATAAAGTTGGATACTTTTTCTCCCCAAGAACTCCAATGCCACACATTTTCCTCTCCTTTTCTTACTTAGAATTATGTATCTGACATGATTTTGAGAACTTGTTGTGATTCATTAAAGCAATTTTTCTCGGGTTTCCTTCGCCATGAGGGTGCCTACATACGCCCTCCCTAAATAGTACTAAACGTCCACACGGAGAGATAGGACCAGCGTTGTACATTTCGTGGTATGGTGAAAGTGGGTGAAAGTAAGTGTGTTGTTGTGAGACGATGATGGTTTGGTCCTATGTCCTGGTTACATTATTGTTTGGAAAATGGGACTCGTGTCGTGTTGTGTGTCCCATCATCGTCGTCATACATATCACGACATAACAAGTACATACGTACTCCGAGACTACTGCACTATTAAAGGGAGAAGAGAGCGAGTGTCAGAGCACAAAGTACCGTAAATTTATGTAACACAAAAGCTGTCTTCTACACATCGAATCGCTGTCCTCCGTCGTATCTGCACCAGTGAAAAATCCTGCCACACAGCAAAAAGAGATACTCAATTTCTTCTCTGAGACATCCTTTCATCCTCCAGTCAGCAGCAGCAGGAGGAGCAGCACCACCACCACCGCCAGCCTCGAGATAGGACAGAAGAAAGACGCGATGATGGGGTGACGACAATTTGAGACGAAGAAGATAGGTCACAACAAGGCGATGGGTGAAATTGGTTTGCGAACCCAAACCAGAAAAAGAAATGACTGATGTTACTGCTGCTGCTGGTGGTGGTACTACTATTTCGATACAGCGGAACGAGGTGGAGAGTGCGATAATGGGGATCTTGTAAGCATATCATATTGGATTCGGTCGTCTTACTACTTTCTTTCTTAAAGGGATCATATCATGTCGCACATTGGAAAGAGAGTTCTAATCCCATCCTGCTCCAGGGGAACAGATGACATCTCCAAGCCGTCACATCAGACCTGACAACTGGGCCAAGAAGAAGAGAGGGGCATATGGTGCTACTATTACTAGTGGTGGATTTAGGTAGAGAGGATGCCGACGACGACGATGATCTCCTGCCTACCACCCATTTGTTCCAGGAGTTGTTTGTTTATGACTGCGTGCGATAAAATATGAACCTTGTCACTTACGGGGACAATGGCATGATGGCCAACATGATTTGACATCAGCCTCATCCTCTCATGATGGATTGTTCCTCCTAGGATGAACATGTAACAGTCATTTCTGCCTGTCCAGGACTTGGGTGATGAGCGTGCTCTCCACATCCCCATCGGGAGGGGATGCTTTCGAGTTGGTGGATTTCCTATAGTGCACCGTCGCCGTCTGCTCCCTGTCCACTCTGGATTCGCGGATACTTCTTCCACTCAGGTCCCCACCGTCGCCTCGTCGAAACCCGGACCAACAGCAGCAGCAGCAGTAGAAGCTCTTGAGGGATTGCCAAATGTCACGAAACTCCTTGCGAAAGTTGTCATTGAAGAATCCGTACAGCATTGGGTTCGTGTTCGCACTCGACATGCCGAACATGTGGCAGAACGCGAAAGCCACCCGTTCCGCGTAGGTATCCTCCACAAATGGGTTGAACAGGTCGACCACCAAGTTGAAGACGTTGAGTGGCATCCAAGAGATTCCGAAGATTATGGCGATCGAGATGAGGAGCATATTCGTGCGACGAACCCTGGCCTGATCTTTCCGTACGGATCCACCTCGCCGACCACCTGCAGGATTCTCAACCGTGCTCCGGCAGCCAGGCTTCATCCGGTACCGCAACTTTTTGCAGATTTGACAGTACGCCACAGTGACGACGGAGATGGGGAGAATGTACTGGATGATGATGGAGAAGAGGGAGTAGTATGCCCGTCCTGAGGATAAGAAGAATCGTGGACTTATGTAACCCTGACATTGTGGACCTTATGCCCTTATCGTCTTATGACATAATACTTATGTACTCACCATGTGTACAAGGCCATGCCTCGATGCAATAGTCCACAGAATCCAGGTCCGTATAGTTCACGTCGATGTGTTGCAGTTTGCTGTACACGATCAACGGCGTGGCCAGAACGGCAGCCAGAGTCCAGATTCCAATCAGTGCAAATACGGCTCCAACGCGTTGTACGGATGCCTTCGTGGGGTACACGATCACCTTGAAGGAAATCCAGCACCTCGATTTACTTATTTTGTTTGCCCATGTATTTACTCGCAGTTGGGTGGACCTTAAAAGCGTTCTTCGTCTGAAAACAATGCCCCTGCTGCTGCTGTTCAAATAAACACTACGACGCGACATTCCGCAGACAGGGTGGCTGAAGGCTTTCTTATGTCTTTCAACCCTGTCATTCTTTGGTTATCTACGCCTCTCTCTCTGCATGTGGATGCCTGGTACATAATTCAATGGGAGGAAGAACAGTTGCAAATTGCGACCAAATTGAAAGCCTGGTTAGAATTTTGATCTTTGTTAAAATCTTGAAGGGAGTGTCAGGTGCATGACTTGATCAGAAACGAGGCGCACCACCCATCACCGCAGATAAGCGGTTTGCCTTCTCCCATTTCCACCAATGCAAGACGGAGAAGAAATCAAAGGCTACATAAAATATTGCGAGAGAGAGACGCAGAATGAGCTACTACTGCTCGTCCCAATTTTCCCACGGAATCCCTTCCCCCAAATTGAATGCTTGAGATTCCTTGCATCGCAATGAGATCGTGATTTCGAGAAAGTGCTTTTGAACTATCAAGTTACACCGTATAGACGCACCGCTAGCCTAAATATGTCTGTCCGTGATATTCCCTATTGCATCGTGGAGGAGTAAAATCTAAGGGAAGTATCCATTTGCATTTGAGAAAAAAGAGCCAACAGGGAGTGGAGAAAGGTACCCACGGACCAAGGTCGCAAAAAAGTGCTCCTCCTCCTCTTGCTGCTAAATTGTTATCATTTTTTCACTCCCGGACTCCCCCATTTTTCAAATACATCATTATTATGCATGTCTTCATCCCGCATGGTTTGCCTTATCTGCGCGTGCATGATGCCCGTACAATAAATAAATATCACTTACGTGATATCTGTCCAGAGCAATCGCCGTGATGGAGATTGTGGATACGAAGATGGAAATGGCATGCAGACTGGAGATGGATTTGCAGAGAAAGTCATAGTTTCCAAAGGGCCAGTACGCCGTGACGATTTGGACGAGTGTGAGGGGCATCGTGATCACGCAGAGGAGCAAGTCCGACACGGCAAGATTGATGATGAACATGTTCCTCGGCGTCCGCATGGATGACTTCCGGACCACGGCGCACACCTTCAAGAAACAGGAATAAGAAGGGATTAGTCCTGATTCGCGACTAAATATAATAATGTCATCATTCCCTCCCGTAGCTATTTTTATAAAGAAACGACTGAGCAGTGGCCGCGGAAACGGTGGGGTCAGGGGAGGGACGGATCTATATCAGATGGGGTCACCTTGGGGACACTGTCCCTCTGTCCCCCCACCCTTCCGCGGCCACTGTGCACCCTGAGCACACACCGTGAGACAATTTCCGACCGTGCCAAAGGAAATTAGAAGCGTGTAGACGAAGATGAGGAAATAGAGCATCGGCCCGTCGATGAAGAGGTTCGTATGGTAGCGTTTCCAGCTCAGCCGGATCTCCTCACTCGTCTTGTTCAACGTGTTCAGAGCACTGGCCAACTCCTCCCCGTCGATCGGACTGCTCATTTGTAAAAGCTCGAGCAGACTGGCCGGGAGGCTGTAGACGCTCCCATTGTTGTCACCACTCGCCCCCACGACGACGTCCCCCATCCTGCTCTTTGTTCAGCGGCGGAAGTGTAACTTCAAGATAAGTACTTATCTATCTAGGATGCTCCTCAGACAGCGAGATGATGTCAGGAGCAACAGCTTTCTTCTCCTGCAGACAAGATAGACAAACGAACACACATAAAAATATATATATCATACGAAATGTGACATCACGAGTGTCAACAAACAACACGGGGTCGTGGTTATGCATTTGAAGAGCGACATAATATTCATGAATGTGTCTCTCCTCCTTGAATATGTAGGAGGTGTTTTTGCCTCTGTATGTACAGTTGGGCTTAGGGAGTAAATTATAAACGTGGACTGATGATGAGTAATGAAGACCTACGGACTCGAGTGAAGTGAAGTCACACTTACGACACGTATAAGACAAGCAATATTCCTTGATGCCAAGAACCAACAACGGGCGAAGTACGTACACACGTAACAACGGGCGAGGCCGTGTTGTGTCGTGTGCTGTAACAAATTTCCTGTCTCCATTTCATGAAATCTTCATTCTCTCTCTCTCGTTCCCTTTCTTCCCAGGCAGAGCATCATCATGTTTGGCGAATAAACAAGAAGTAAATTGGATTTGTTTCTGCCTAGGTGGTAGTTGTGTTACCCAAGGGTTGTGATGGCATTGGTTGGTTGGACTGCAGTACGCCAGTGGTGGCGGCCAAGGTCTCCTTGTAGATAACACTTCCGTCTCACAATGTCGCCTGGCTTGCATCCATACATGCAATTCCTGGTCGTCGGTTTCATTATCCGAAATCCGAAATCCGTGGTGGTGATTACATGCTTGGTGTGAGGCAATCGACCCTTTTAAATCCTTTCGCTTTCTCCGAACACACATAATAATTTGGTAGTTTCAACAAGTTGGAAATATTGACAAACTCGTGTTTTGTGTATATTTAGATAAACGAGAATTCTGTTACGCAAGAGGATGTGCAATCAAAAATAATTGGTGGTGCAAAATGATGATACGTATTTATAGATGGATTATGATCTTGTTATTATGCATGTAAATGCGCACACGAAGTAAGTATTTCGCAAGATGATCTAAGGAGTTCAGGGACAAAAACATGTTATTTTTTCAATCATCAGCATATTAATTGGACATATTCAATATTCTTCTTTGGGGAAAAATGAAGTTATGAAAGTTGTTGCGAAAGATTATCTGAATTACGAAAGTCTACTGGCGCGTGTGTATTGTTAGGAGAAAAGTACAAGGCAAGATAAAAAGTTGTTAAAGTGTGAAACTTGATTTGGCCCGAGTCAGATTTCTGTCGAATTTGATCCCTCATTTGCCCATGTGTTTCAAGTCGTTGGCTCGGAAACCAGACAGACGGACGGACATAAATACATACACGACTGGTACACAAGCCTTGACACGAGCTAATAAGTGTCCTCGAAAGTAAGAAATACCGAGAATAGAAACTCCCACACATAAAAAATAATTGTTGCTCTTGCACAATTTTAAATCTTTCTGCCTGCTAGTTAATCAAACTATGGATAACTATCTATATAGCGGAAATTGTATATCATTTCGTAGAACCTGCTTTCATGCCTTGAAAAAGATGGTAATTTACAAGCCTAATCAGATCCGAATATTTCACCCCGTTATTTATTATCCACTGGCCTAGAAAATTTCGAAATTCGCCTGTCCTTCAATTCAACTCACCCACCGGATGTAGCTTAATGACACTAACTAAACCAAAATGTAGCATCGATCCATCCCCCCGACTGATATTATTGGCCGTGCATATTAATTGATTTTAGTGACAGGGCGAAATTTATGGCCAGATATGGGACAAGATATACACACACTAAAATTTGTATTCTACCCCGACTTTCACCAAAAATCAGCCACGGCACGATGCAAAATCCTGTGCGACTTATAGGATTGAATTTTGAGCTCCCTCCCACAACAATGGAGGCAAATTAAAGTGGCTAAAGTTTGAATTTTGCTTAATTTTTTGGAGAAAGTCAACACGTTCGTTCAAATCCTGCTCGCTGAATAACAAAAAATGCAAAGTTGGTTGTTTCAACCAACTACTCGGCTTCCATGTTTTTCGCTGCCAAGAAGCATTCCCCACTTCTTTAGTCCGGATGCAAAAACATTTTGACATTTTTATCACTTTCACTCATTCCCTCGAGAAGTAAACTTGAAACACATTGAAAACGTCGTTTTACTTTGCCTCTCCCCCCACGGAGTTAGACCTGCTCGGCTACTAAACTAATGTCAAGTTTGCGACGGAATCATACTCGCCTGCTTGTCCGCTGTTTTTGAGGAAATCCACGTCCTCACTTTGCCTGACAGGTCGAAGGTCTCAAATTAGAGGCAGCCGCACCGCAGTAGCTTAAGTACAACACACTAATTCCTAAAGAAAAGCCAGGACTAATTTTAATCTCGTAATTTTTCTCAAGCTTTTTCCTTGACAGGCTTGTCGTCGTGGAAAGTTTTCTTGTACACCAACGACCAACTTGGTCTCATGCAAATCAGGCAGCAATGGTCGTTCCCACCCGCGATATAAATATGTGGTTGGTTGCCCTGATAAGCGGGCAACATCATGATGACGCTACATCAACGTATGTATGTATGCATAATGAGTATAAATTTGTGTACAGGTAGCAGCGAGTAGTGGGTGGCAATGGAGGATTTCTGGAGCTTCTAACTTCCTTAATACGTTTAACTAAGTTACTTGTAACATGAGCTAAGTGCTCGCCCCTTTCGTACAAAGTGCTTTGGAACATTATTCGAAGTCAGTCATAATCATATCTCTCCAGCGGCCTGTGTTACCAACCGACGGACCGACTTGGGTAAAAGTTATGCTCTCTTGATGATACCAAAAACCTAACGCTGTTTCATTGTGCACACTTTTACACAACACTTTTCCCACCCTGACTTTCTTTCCGCAATGGTGAAATCTTTTCACAAACTTCTTGTCAGCTTTACACTTTTTGACAATTCCTATCTTGATTTTGGACGACCAAATCTCGCAGAGTGGAACAACTCGATAAGAGATAACCTTGGGTGAAACGACAATTAGTAAAATATTGCTGTGTATCGTTTATGACGCGAGGAGGAAGGAAGCAATTTGTATGGGGAAAGTTTCCCGTTGTAAATTTCCGGAAGGATATGGGGACCACTTCTCGCTAAGAAGAATGCAGGGGGCTTTCGCGAGGTGGTGGTGGTCGTGGTGTTCAGTGGTCCAGTTAATGACCGTCATCAATAAGACGATACGACGGTGCTCGACCAGTGGCCGCGGACAGAGGGACAATGTCCCCACAGATATTCGATGTCCCCATCATCTCCCCATCTTATATAAATCCGGCCCTCCCCCCACCCTACCATCCCATTACTTCCGCGGCCACTGTGGCCACCACCACGGGAGAGAAAGCATGAGCTGTGAGGACACTTGGTTTCAGGGTCGATTGGGGTTATATGAAATTCGTAAGGAGATAGATTTTTATGTGAGAGTGACAGTTTGAGGCGCTTGTGGCAGCCGTACTTATGTATGTAATAGGCACTTGGAAACATCAGACTGTTTGGATCCATTAAGAGTATTAAGGACAAGAAGAAGACGAGAACCCCAGCAGCGTTGAGAGTCAAATCGTCATTCGTTTCGTGGTGGTGGTGATGGAGAAAATTGAGACTGACTGCGAAAAGCAGAGAATGGATGGATGGATGGACTCGTGTCACGTTCGGAATGAAAGTTATTCATTCCGTCGCTCACTTGATGAATCTGAATTGCCTCGAAAGTCAGTGTTCATTCACCTTGAAAGGTTAGGCGAAAAAATAAGAGAGAGTCGGTTTCTTTTGCCTGTTACTTACTTTGTGTGTCCTCCTCGGGGTCACTAAGAAGAATGACTTTGTAATGATGATGATTTTATTGTTCCAACATAAAAATACCGCGAGAGCGACGGAAACGGTGGCGGACGGAGAGAAAGCATTTTATTGCATCTTTTAGAATTAGAGATCTCATCTCTAAACGAAGAAGGGCAAGCAACCAAGCAATCTGTTCCATGAAAAAAACTGCATCCGCCGCAGTCTGGAGCCAAAAGGCACAAAAATCTTGACGAGGCTTGTTTAACTGGAAATTTCATTTTTTTGATTGTGCATCACACCGTCGCGTCGTCCACTCAAAAACCTTGCGATATCAACTACACGATTGTTCGTGTTGTTTTTCTTTTTCATTCTCACTCTCACAGAAGGAAATTGAGTACGAAAAAACTTTCCTGTTTATGGATTTGCTTCAAGATATGAGAGTTCAGGAGTGGAGGAGGCAGTAAATTGTGTCGTACTACTAGTTGCGACATCATTCATGCCACATATTGCAGGAAATCTAGACGAGACGCAGCCTGTAGACATACTTGCTACTCCTCCTCTCGAGATGACGAGAATAAGAAATGCTTTACATGTCACCCCGTTCGTTCGTCATTGCCTCCAATTTGTGCCTCAAACCAACAACAAGAATATGCAATATTTCTTCTCCACCCAGAATATCTAAGTACGATGGTGGATGGCGGAGTGATGTCTTTGCTTATTCAACCGATACGACTTTCCCCTATGCATTATGCATCCCCATATTTACACAGCAACAAACTTAGCAAATTTCCCTCTAAAATATAGTATGCCTCACTTAATTCAAATGCAGCCAGCCCATTGTTGGTTCTCGGCGGCGGTGCATGCATGGTGTGTAGTAAAGCGAGAAATTAATTTTATACGTACACAGATACATACGTAAAGTCAAAAACTTGCCTCGAGTGATGTCAAGAATTGGGCCGGGCGGCGGTAGAGAGATGATGATGATGACTGCTTCGGATACGACGAGGACGACGACGATGTGATGCACTGATGAACAAAACTGATATCAAACTGTTTCTCAGTTTGTAGAAACTATACCATTCAATTCACACGAATTGACTTTGTCCAAAGTTGAAATGAGATCAAATGAAAATTTATTTTCGGAATAATGCCAAATGCCAAACAATTAGCGGGCCAGGAGATGCAACGATACGAACGTATCGAGAAGCAACTCGTGGCGTGGCGTATCTTTGAAGGAGGCAAAGTGATACTGATGAGAATCGCTGAGGACTGACGGA